GCCGGGCCCCCCCCCCCTTTTTTTTTTCGACTTTATGAGCGCACACTCCAAAATAGGGCGTCTCATTTAAAAGCAACTCCCTCGCCATTTTAAGGCTCCGCTTCCGCGTTTTCCATGCGTTGATTTTCGCTCCTTCCATGTGTCCCGCTTCTCCTGCTCGCCATGCCTGTTATTCGTGATGCTCCTCTCGCATTGTACCTTGCTGCCTGGCTTTTCGAAGCATGTGTCTTTTTCACATTTCGTGCGAAAAATCACATTGAGCGACAACCAATCCTCGTTTGGGAAACGCTCATTTTATTTTTTTGTAAATTTTGCTTTTTGTTTACTTTTATTTGGGTTTGGCTCGTTTTTTCATTATCTGGACCCAAGCTTTTGCTTCTTTTTGTGAGTCGCCTTCACGCTGTCTCTCCTTCCTCTCTCTCGCCTTCCTGCTGCTATGTGCAGCCTGTGTGTCCCTAGTTGGTATCTTGTACTCCTCCAGCTGCGCGTCCCAACAGTCCAGTGACTCAGGCCAGCTTGCGGTCCACTACCGCTTGTTCCATGTTTTTTTTTTCAATTGTTTTTTTTTTGTGTTACGGTCTTGCTTTGCCTCCCATCGTTCTGCCCTCTGGCTTGCGCTCTTGCGCTTGCATGTGTGTGTATGTGTGCGTGTGCTTATGTTCTCGTTGATTCCTTCTCTTCTCTCCCTCGCTCTGGCGATTCGTTTTGCTTGCTCTTTTTTCCCGTTGATTTTTTTTTTTTTTTTTGCTTGCTTTTTCCCTACCAACCCCACAACCGCTCCTCGCTCGCTCGCTACCTCCCTCGAGGGACGAGAATCAGCCGCCAGCAACGCGAGCACAAACACCGCAACCAACCACCCTTGCCCTCTCTTGCAGCGGAGTGCTCTGCTGCAGCGAAGGAGCGAAGGCGAGCAACTGGTTTCTCCACTCCTGCATTGACAATTTTCGCAATGGGGTGTTTTTTTCATAATTTTTTGGATTTTTTTTTTTCTTCTTCTTCTTCTTCTTCTTCGTCTTCTTGTCAACCTCCTTCGATCGCGTTCCTTCGCTCTGCTTCCCCACTCGGGAGGACCCATCTACCAACATCTACTCCAGTCGCGATTTGTCCCATGCAGCTTCTTCAGTCCGACCCTGCCGTTCTCACCCACCAAACAAAACCTCTCAATTCGTTCCAATTGTTGTTGTTTACACTCAATCGAGTCAAGTTGGTTTTTTGCAATTTCCCGTCGTCAATTTCGACTCACCTCCTGTCTGCATTTGTGTTGTGACTTTGATGACAGGGATTCGTTGATTGAGGCTTCGCGATAACACTTGAAAACCCCAAATTCATTTATTGCACAATCTTTCGTCCACTACAAGCGACCCCCAGGTCAAATGCGATCGCAACGCGCCGTGCTGCTGGCGGCACTCGCCCTGGCCTTGACGGTCGCGGATGTTCAGGCTCTGGGCACGCTCACGATGAGGTTTGGGTCGATTACCGGAAGAGGGAACTGCGACTCGTCCATCTTTGCCAACTATCCGAAGTGCGACTACAAGATTGATACGCTCTACTTTTACAACAACAACAATGCGCAGACGGAAAAGACAGGGTCTTTCTCTGCTGGTGAAATTGAGAATAACGACAACCCGTCCTACAGTTATACCTTCAGTTCCATTACCATCGGAAACAACTTTGGGGTATGTTTGGCCTTCGTTCTCATGTTCGCTGATTGTTGCCTGTTTGTTGATGCTTTGACCCTTGAACTCACGGAAGTCGTGGTTGGACCTTCCATTCAGGGTACAATTGGCCTCTACATGACTCTGAGGGACGTTGATACCACCACGGACGACATGGGGTCGGCATCGACGACTTTCACCATTTCCCCTCAGCCAACCTTCACCTCCGTAAACATCCCAAACCCTGCTAACGCATGGCCGTATGTCAACTATATTACTGTTCAGTACACGTTTACGTGCCAAGCAAACTACTACGGACAATACTGCGTCATTAATTGCGTCGTCAATTCTGGCGGCTGCACATCCTGCGGATCCACTGGATGCCTTTCCTGCCTCACTGGCTACACTCTTAACGGTGGGTACTGCAACCTTGTCGACAATTGGTGCACTGCCCCGGCAATCTCGAATGGTATCCGAACTTGCCCCAATACAGTGGGAAGCTCATGCACCACGACATGCAATCTCGGGTACACCTTGGCCCCGAACACCTATCCGGTGGCCACGTGTCAGTCAAATCGAGCTTACAATATACCAGTCGGCACGTGTATCTGGAATGTCAACTTTTGCCCGCCTCTGTCGCTTCCCAACGGCACAATCACACTCTCGGACTCGCGAGCGATCTCAAGTGTGGCCATGTTTGACTGCGCCCCCGGATTTGCCCTTTCTGATCCGTCAGTGACGGCGCAGTGCCAGGCAAACCAACAATGGGATCAAGCCGCTCCAACTTGCGTCGACAAGTGCATCATTTCGACAAGCGTTGGGGGTGGTGTTCGCCCGGCGTGCAACAACACCTTTGGCGGTGGCGTTTGCACCACGAGCTGCAATGTTGGCTATGTGCTCCGCGCCGGCACTGCAGCCTCCACCACGTGCCAAGCCAACGGCTACTGGTCGGCCGGCAACCCTGGCGTCTGTGATCTCAACCTCAACTACTGCACGACGCCGCTGGTCGCCCCGGTCAACGGCTCTTTCAGCTGCAACAGCTCATCCTCCATCTATTCACGATGCAGTTACAGCTGCAACACTGGTTACACGCTGTCAAGCTCGGCCAGCTCGACTTGTAATGTGTTGGGCACTTGGGAGGGCACTCCGCCAACTTGCATCTGGAACAACTCTTTCTGCCCCACGCTCAATCTGCCATCGGGCTCTGTTGCTTATACCGCCGTCCAGTCCTTCCAAAGTGTCGCCACCTTCTCTTGCAACGCGAATTATGCCAACTTGGACCCGTCTCGCACTGCAGTCTGCCGCTCCGATTCAACCTGGTCGACCACTCCCCCAACCTGCACCAACACCTGCACCATTCCGTCGGTGTCGGTTGGTGGTGGCTCTCGCACGTGTCCAGGAACGACAACCACAGTGTGCACCACCACCTGCAACACTGGCTATGTCATCCGACCAGGCACCGCGGCCAGCACAACCTGCCTCGCCTCGAATGCAACCTGGTCCGCTGGCGACCCGGGTGTGTGCGACCTCAACACGGCCCACTGCTCGCCGCTTTTGGTGAACAATGGTGTTTTGACGTACACCAACTCTCAAGCGTACCAGAGCGTGGCCAATGTGACTTGCAACGTCGGGTACAACAACTCCAACCCCTCGCTCACCACCACCTGCCAAGCAGCCCAGACGTGGTCGACTGCGCTGCAGAACTGCACTCTGATTCCAAACTTTTGCGCAGTCCTGCCGCCGCTGCTCAATGGGTCTGTCGCGTACTCGAGCGGGCAGTCGCTCCAAAGTGTGGCCACCTTCAGCTGCAAGACGGGTTTCGTCGCGTCTGGTCCTTTGACGGCAACGTGCCAGTCCAGCCAGACTTGGAGTGATGTTTCGCCCACCTGCGAACTGTCGCTCACTTTTTGCCCAACGCTGTCACTGGATCAAGGAACAGTCGCATACTCCAACAGCCAGGCCTTCCAGAGCTCGGCTACCTTCGCTTGCACGTCCCCTGGGTACGTTCTTTCCAACACTTCAGCAGCCGTCTGCCGTGCTGACGGTACGTGGTCCCCGACACCCACATGCATCTCGTCGTGCATCATTCCAGACGTTGGCGGTGGCGTGCGCTCGTCTTGTGATCCCACTTTTGGAACGGGCAATTGCTCGACTGTGTGCAATTCCGGCTACATCCTCCGTGCGGGGACGGTGGCCTTTGCCGCGTGCCAGGCGACCGGTGCTTGGTCTCCATCTGCACCCGGTGTCTGCGACTTGAATCCGAACTACTGCTCGACAAAGACGGCGCCGTCTGGTGGTCTCATGAGCTGCACAAACGCCTTCACGCTGGGATCGGTCTGCACATTCTCGTGCTTGAATGTCGGCTACACGTTTTCGGGATCAAACAGTTTCACATGCACGGAGGTCAATCAAGCAACTGGCGCATGGACTGGCGGTTCTGCGCCCATGTGCACGCGGAACACTGCACTGTGTTCGCCACTCAGCCTCCCCAATGGTAGCGTCACGTACAGCGACTCTCAGGCCTATCAAAGCGTTGCAAGCTTCCAGTGCGACGCAAACTTTTTCAACCCAACTCCGTACACCCTTTCTTGCGTCAATACAGACACTTGGAATGGCACCGCCCCGACATGCGTGAACGCGTGCACCATTCCCTCGACAAGTGTCGGTGGTGGTAGTCGTACGAGCTGCACTGCTGCGTTCAACTCCGTGTGCTCTACCGTCTGCGATACTGGCTACATGATTCGCATCGGAACTGCAGCAACAACAACATGCCGGGCCAACGCGACTTGGTCGAGTGGCGATCCGGGCGTGTGTGACCAGGATGCCAACTACTGTCCACCGCTCCTGATTGCCAACGGTGCATCGAGTCACTCGGCCGGCTTGACCTTCCAAAGCACTGCGACCGTGGCATGCAACGTTGGGTATCGCAACACGACAGCCGTGTTTTCTTCTACCTGTCAATCCGATCGTCAGTGGTCAGCAGTGACCAACTGCACTGCCATTCCAAACTTTTGCCCGGGGTGGGTTATCTGGTTTGGGAATGCGAGCTACTCGAATGGACGCCAGCTGGGCAGTGTCGCATCGTTTTCGTGCAATCCCGGGTATTCGAGCCCGACTGTGTCCGTCACAGCTACCTGCCAAGCGAGTGGCACCTGGTCGAACTCGGGGCCAACCTGTGAAGCAATTCCAAATTACTGCAGCACGTTGCGTCTCAACCAAGGAACTGTCACTTTCTCCGTTGGGCAGCAGGTCTCGAGCTTGGCAACGTTTGCCTGCAAACCCGGCTTCCAGAACACAAACCCGTCCCTCAACCTGACTTGCCAGACAGATGCGACTTGGTCAGGGACAATGCCACTTTGCCTCGCCAAGCCAGACTGGTGCCCGTCTATGGATGTGACTGCAGGCACCGTGGCTTACACGCAGGGTCGGAAATACCAAAGCCAAGCGAGCGTGACCTGCTCTGTCGGTTACTCGCTCAGCGGGCCAAGTGTCGCGACCTGCCTTGCCAACGCAACGTGGTCGGCTGCTCTGACGTGTAACATCATCCTGAACTTTTGTCCACTCGTCAACACCGACTCTGGCGTCATGGTCTCTTACTCACAGAGCCAAGCTTATGGCAGCGTCGCCTCGTTTACCTGTCCGTTTGCATACTTGCCCCCGAGCTACGCGAGTGTGTCGTGCGAGGCCAATCAAGCGTGGTCTGCGTCTCCGCCGAGCTGCACCAAAGATCCGAACTGGTGCCCAACACTCGACCGTCCGACGAACGGACAAGTTAGCTGTTCGGCACAAAGCTCACTGTCATCGGTGTGCTCCTTCTCTTGCGATGGTGGGTTTTTGCTCAATGGAACCACCGGGACGACCTGCATGACGGGAAAGTCTTGGTCTGTCGCGTCTCCGGTTTGCGACGTTGATCCTACGTCGTGCTCAGCGCTAAACCCAATGCACGCAACGTTAACGACATGCTCTCGATTGATTAATGGCACGTGCACCATGTTCTGCAATGAGGGCTACGCTCAAGTCAGCGGCGACAGCACTCGCAAGTGCATCATGACCGAATCTGGTCCCGTCTGGCAAGGAGAGTTGCTCAACTGTGTGACGATTGCAAATTACTGTCCGTCTGCGGGGTTGCTGCATGGCTCTGTCTCCTCAACTGCTCGAGACGTGGACGCTCTCTTGCAGTTCGATTGCAGCCAGGGCTACGAGCTCCACGGTGCTTCGAGTAGCGTTTGCACCACTAAAACGAGTTCGGAGGGCGAGTGGCTTCCTCCGCTGCCCATCTGCCAGTTGGTGCCGACTTCGAGCGACACTCCGGATGCTGACGGTGCCTCTGGCGGCTCGGTGGCTCCCATTGCTGCCGGCGCTGGCGCTGGTGGAGCCGTCCTGCTCATTTTGCTGCTCGTGCTTCTTCTCGTCCGCCGTCGGCGCGCTCGGCAGCAGCAGCAGGCTGATGGTGCAGAAAAGCTCGCCAATCTGGAGAGCATTCGATCTGCCAGCTTCCCAATGCAACCCTTGCCCAATGATTTGTATGCCGCACCCGGGCGGCCATCCCTTGTGTCGCAGCGATCACAGCAATCGCTTGGTGCACAGTATGCGTCTCAGCCAGCCGGTCCAGGCCTCTACGAGCAGTCCTTTGGGCAGTATGCGACGCGGCCTGCCGCCAGCCAAGGGCACTACGAGCCAGTTGCCGCCAGAGTCGACGAGGACATTTATGCCGAGTATTCAGAGATGCCGGACGACTCGTGCATGTGCTACGAAGAGACCTCGAGTTTGCATTCGATGCGCTCTGTCCTGCGTCTGGGTGATGTTCTCGGATCCGGCGAGTTTGGAATGGTCCAACTGGGCAGCATTCCGGCGCTTGATGTGCCTCGAATTGGGCGCGCGCTCCTCCAGCCAAACCAAGCGGCGCTAATGGTAGCTGTGAAACTTCTCAAGGAGAATGCGGATGATAAATCGCGTCGCGACTTTTTGGCCGAGGCCGAAATGATGTCCCGCTTCCGCCATCCAAACGTTGTGCTTGCCATCGCCGCCTTGGTCGAAACATCGCCCAACATGCTCGTGCTCGAGTACATTCCGTACGGTGACTTGCGTGGCCTTCTCGTCAAGTCCGCATCCCTCAACTGCTTGTGGTCGGGCGCGGAATTCGCCCGCGTGCTTTCCCAGGTGGCGGCCGGCATGGCGTACCTCGGCACGCTTCGTTTTGTGCACCGTGATCTTGCTGCACGCAACTGCTTGGTGGGCTACAACCTCGCGGTCAAGATTTCCGACTTTGGTCTCTCGCACACTCTCTCCGAAGAATCAGAGTACTATCGCATGCAGACTCGAGGCAAGCTTCCTTTGAAGGTATGCGCAGAGTGGCTGTTCGATGGATGCGTTATTGGTGCGTTGAAAAGTCGAGAGTTGCTCACTGTTTGTTTGCGTCTTCTTTTCTCGGCAGTGGATGGCCATTGAATCCATCCTGTTCCGCAAATTCTCCGTCCTGTCCGATGTTTGGAGCTTTGGCGTGCTCGCTTGTACGTGCCTATCTCGCAGAAATTTTGCTGTCGGGTTGGAGGAGAAATCAGGGCGAAACTGGGCTTTGTTGATTGTTGTTGTTGTTTTGTTTTGAACTTGCTGACCATTGCTTCTGCTTTTGTTTATTTTGTCGATGCGCCTTTGAATTTTCATGCGCTGTGGCACAGGGGAGGTGTACAGCTATGGTGCTGGGCCGTATGGTGCGATCACTGGCGCAGAGTTGGTCCAGTTCCTTGAACAAGGCAATCGGTTGCCGCAGCCGCCCACTTGCTCGGCGGATGTATATTCCCTCGTGACGCAGTGCTGGTCCTACGAGCCGAACGAGCGACCCAACTTTAACATGCTTCACGACTTTTTCGCCGGTCAACACGGAAACGCTCCGACTCGCGATATTGGCGCTCTGGTGGCTGGTGCGGCCAAGACTGTCAGCTATGCATGAGGGCTCTCGGCATAGTCGTCTGACATGCAGCTGTTTTTGGATTACCAAGCGGGCCTTGGGATGGGCGCGATTTCTTTCCAATGGGTGATTTTGTTTGGTTTTTTTTTCCGCCACATTGGTTTCTGTTTCGTTGCGATTGAATGTTCGTTTCGTTTTTGTTTTTTTCATGTTCATTCTCTTTCTCTATTCCCCTCTGTTGCTTGCCATCGTGCGATGCCTTCTCTTGGCGACGCTTTTTCAAATAGAAGTAGTTCATGTACATGCTTTTTGGTGATTATGAGTCAAGTCCGTCTCGATCTCGCCTTGACTTGCAGATACATTTGATTGTGCAGATACATTTGATTGTGGTCAAACACTGGTTCTTGGTTTCCAATTTCACTCAAAGTCAGTTCACCTTTCCTCGTTCAATGCTGGCAGAGTGAAGAGCGAGAGTGCGAACTGAGCGAGAAGATGGCAAACGCATCTGCAAATGTACCACCGCCCGAGGTGTCCACCCCGACGACCTCCCCAGCGCAATCTGCAGACCCAAACCAACCGTCCCGCTCATTCTGGGGCCGAGCGGCCGCGTGGACCAAGCGGTACGTGCGACGGCTCAGAGGCCAGGGCTCGCATGCGCATCCATTCCCACGCCGCCCAACCTGGCGCACCATCTACGCCACATTCATCGGAAGCTTCACTGGTAAGGAGCCACAATCCCAAAATGCCGAAAAGCCAACATGACAAGAAAGAGAAATCAAATGGGGGCTTTCGCTTGACCGGCTGACTTTTGGACTTTGGTCGCTTTGGTTCTCAGATCCTGAGGGGGAAATGAATTATTCGCTCACAATACCATAACGGCGATGGTTTGTTTGTATTTTGGGTTTATAAAATCAGGTATTGCGGCTTGTGCGGCGCTTCAGTACAATGCATCGTTCATCGAGGACAACGATCTTGCCATGCTGATCGGATCGTTCGGAGCAACTGCGGTGCTCGTATACGCCGTCATTGACTCGCCGCTTTCCCAGCCCCGCAATGTCTTTTTTGGGCATATTCTGTCGGCATTCATTGGAGTCTGCATGGAGAAAATATTTGGTCAATCGCCCTCGACACTGTGGCTGTCTTGCGCGCTTGCCGTATCCCTGTCGATCACGGCCATGCAATTGACTCGCACGGTCCATCCCCCAGGTACTAGAATTGCTTCGAATGCAGTTGCTAAATACTCACAACACCAACCAGTGCAATGATTCGTCTTTTCTGACCGTGTTTTTGGTTTGGTTGTCACAGGTGGAGCAACCGCGCTGATTGCAGTTACGGGCTCGCAGACCCTTCGGGATCTTGGCTTTCTTTACATTGTGATTCCAGTCGGTGCGGGTGTCACGTTGATGCTGTTGATAGCCCTGCTGATCAACAACATCTTTCGATCGTACCCGCTTTTCTGGTGGCGCCCTCGCAAGACCGCGAGAGTTGTTGCCGTGCCAGAGCCAGCACCCGGTGTGCTGCCAATGTCGAATACGCCGGTGGATGTTCTCGTCTCGACACCACCCGCGCCCTCGTCAACTCAGCAACTTGCTGCCCCAGTGGCTGTCCCCGGCGCCAGCCCCGCCGCCATGCCGTCGTCATCCAACCTGTACGCAAGACCCGCCTCCCTGTCAGCATCCTCCTCATCATCGTCTTCTGATTCCACGGAAACGGCCGAGTTGGGTGACATTACTGCCGCAGAGGGCGTCCAAGTCGATGAAACGAGAATTGATACGCCACTATGACCGCCAGCACTTGACGTCTACTGCTCATCTTGTATTCTACTCACTCACTCACTCACTCACTCACTCAGACCTGCCCACTACAGTATTCCTAACGCGACACACTATGATCGACTGATCTTTCAATACAGCTTTTTGTTTTTGCGTCCAAAATCAATCCAGTGAAGGCATTTCAGGAGACCAGGTTACGGCGGGCGTTGCGCGACAGTGATCCGATAGTTTCTTTCCACCTACAATGCTAGATACACTCATTGGCAAAAACATGAGCCCCACCCGAGGAGGGCGTTGGCATGTCGAACTTGTAGTAGAGAAGGACTGCCCGTCAGCTAATTCGAATGAGGCCGAATACTGTACTGGGTGTACTTCTATTTACAGTGATGCGTATTTCCTTTCGTTACTGGATTCTAAGCGTGTGCGAAGTACAACCAAACCGTAAAAGCTCAGTCTTTGCTCAGTTTTCTTTCTTTGCCCTCTCTGTCTCTCTCCCTTCCCCTTTCTCGCTCCTTTTCTTAGATTTGCAATCACCATCATGGAAGCACCGTCACAGCCCAATCCGATCGTCTTTATGGATGTCGCGATCGGCGGCCAGGACGTCGGTCGAATGAAGTTTGAGCTGTTTGCCGACACAGTGCCCAGGACAGCCGAGAACTTCCGGTGCGCGCGCCAACCCCATTCACACGCATACATATATGTATATTCACACCAAGGCGGAGGCGGGGGCGGGGAGCGGGGACAAACGAGAGCTTGCTTGCCATCCAACGACGATCCAGCAGCGTTTCCAGTCAGTCCTCAGCGCTCGTGCTCGGGACAGGGTGGGCTTGGGGGGGTGGCGGTTCAGCGATGATGCATACGAGCAAGTGAGTATTGAGTCAGAGCGGTGGACGCGCCGCGGGATGGCGATGCACGGCACGCGAGATCTCGTCAATCTCAACACACTCAGTCAGTCAGTCAGATACCAAGTCAGTCACCAAGTCAGTCACCAAGTCAGTCAAAACTTGGACGAGACAGAACTCGGCAATAGTGTTGATCTTTATTGTAGATACCTTGTGGGAATATTTCTAGTCGGCTGAATCCATACGTTTGACCTTCCGAGAGTTTTGCATTGTGCTGCAATATACCTGACCTGCGTTTGTATCGGATTGTATTGTGCTGTAGGCAATTTTGCACTGGCGAGTTCAGGCCAAAGTCAATCCCAGTCGGGTACAAGAACGCTCGGTTTCACCGGTACGGTTTAGTCGATGTTGACTTGATAGGACTCAGAATGCGCCTTTCTTGATTTTTGCTCATGGCACGCAACCGAATGGCTCGATTTTGCTTTGAAACAGCATTATTAAGGATTTCATGATCCAAGGAGGCGATTTCATCTCGGTAAAATTGTCAAATCCTGCTTTTGAGGCACTCGTCCTGTTGACCAATGCTCATTTTGCTCGTCATTTTGGTGCACGTTGGGCAGCATGATGGCAAGGGCTCCCTTTCGATTTACGGCGAGAATTTCAACGATGAGAACTTTATCCACAAGCACACTGGTCCTGGATTGCTGTCCATGGTAAGGTTTTTGATGGATGGTCGCCCCAATCATTTGGACAATCTACTCACATTGACGCCATCTTTGACACATTTGCACCAAACAGGCCAACTCGGGTACCAACACCAACGGATGCCAGGTACGTCTTGTTCTCCAGATGCGTCTGCAACAGTAGTCGCCTCTTTGCTGACTCGCCGTGGATCTTTTGGGGGTTTTGTTCATTTTGACAGTTTTTCGTGACTTGCGCACCTGCACCCTTCCTCGATGACAAGCACGTTGTCTTTGGCAAATTGATAGACGGATGGGTCGTAATGCGCAAGATTGAGAACGTGCCGACCGACCCCGGCAATCGACCAAAGCTGAATGTGATTATTACTCAGTGCGGTGAAATGTGACTTGTTCCCGCCATCTCAATAACATAGCATCACATACAGTACCCTTTATTTTTATTCCTGCTTCCATCTTGTCTGAACGAACGTGTGCAAATGGCGCCATTTTCACTGCACGGCGATTTCCTGCTTGAGCGCTGAGATCAGCGCACAGAACTTTTCTCCAATGGTTGATAAACTCAGACATTGCAATAATTTCGCATCCATTTCACTCTTATTTTTTTTTCTCTCTTTAAACTTCCACTTCCATTTCATGGCTCAAGCGACATCCAGTGCTGCTGCTGCTGCTGCTACTGCGCCCAAGCGTGTGGCCATTGTCGGCGGCGGACTGGTGAGTGTTCAGAGCATCCAACAAGACCTCCTGCTCCTGCTGCTCCTCCTCCTCCTCCTCCTGGACCACCACGCTGCAACCGACGTGGTTGAGGGGGGAGCAGGTCGGCAAGTGGGAAGGCTGGGGCCCGACGGGAGCCGGCTTGACTCCAATTGCCAACGGACCGTGACTGGGGCAATGCAGCCACACACACACACAATGCTTGAACACAACAGAAGGCTCACTGATGCTGACTGAATGCGTGCGTGCGTGCTTGATCTGTCTGTTTGATAATCTGGGGTGTTGCGGGGGGGGACACCCTCATATATCTCAGGTCGGCGCGCTGAACGCAGTGTACTTTGCTCGCCGTGGCTGCAATGTCGACGTCTACGAAGCCCGCGACGGTGAGTTTTGACAGTGTTCACTGATAATACTATTTGGATCTTCATAGGTTTGAGTGTCGAATTTGCTGTAAAGTGCAGGGAGGGATGAGTTCAGATGGAAGCACGAGAGCTTCGCACTCACTCCAATCTCACTCACTCACTCAACACGATGTGCATCGAGTACTCACGAAACGTATCTTGGGTGTGTGTGTGTGTGTTCTGTCGTCTGTTACATCTGGTGTTGAATTTGCGTCGGCGCTCTTCAGACATCCGACAATCCAAGACGTACTCGGGTCGAAGCATCAATCTTGCGCTGTCGACGCGTGGCATTCAAGCTCTCAAGGATGTTGGACTCGACGAGATGGTATGCATGGCTATGACAATTCGTATCGAGGTTGAGTGGAGTCCGGCTCGACGATAGCGGGGTTGGAAGGATCCAAATGCTGAATGTTCGCGTTTCTGCTGGAACGGCCAGGTGGTTGCAACCGGCATCCCGATGTATGGTCGCATGATTCACAATCCCACTGGAGGCAAGTACGTTGTCCCGTATGGCAAGGACAATCAGGTACAGTGCACATTCTTCGCATGGTTGGCTGTCGTACGTCAACGCTCACCTTGAAGCATTGTGTGGGTTTGTTTGTTGTTTATTCGCTTTGCAGGCCATCCTGTCGGTCGATCGCCGCAAGCTCAACGAACTCTTGCTCACGACTGCCGAGAAGCTTCCCAACGTCTCGCTACATTTTGAGCACAAGCTGACGGAAGTGGATGTCAAAGCTCGCAACCTGACACTGCGCGCGTATGTCTCCTCGTGAAAGCTATGCGTGGCGAATGGGGGAATCAAGCTTTGGATGCATGGAATTCATGCATGCACTTGCATACCGGATTATTGATTTCGCTAAGTGCTTGGTTTTTTTTTTCTTTTTTCGGCCCGTGACTTCCTAGACCTGACCGTTCGACGATTACCGTGAAGCCCGATCTCGTTGTTGGCAGCGATGGTGCATACTCTAGCGTTCGCCGTCACCTGTTGCAGCAGCCTCGGTACGTGCCCATGGTCGTGTTGGAGATTGAGCATTGAGCCGTGATCTTTTTTTTGTTGTTGTTGTAAGCAGGCACTCATCGCCCCATTTGCTTTCTCCTTCGCCCTGTCTACCTAGCTTCAACTACGCTCAAACCTATATTGCGCACGGCTACAAGGAATTGACCATTCCGCCGGTGGATGGCAAGTTTGCCATGGAGGCCAACTACCTCCACATCTGGCCTCGACACGAGTTTATGATGATTGCCTTGCCCAATCAAGACCGCTCCTTCACCTGCACCCTGTTCATGCCGTTCGACATTTTCGCAACCATTTCGACACCGGAGCTCGTTCTCGCGTTCTTCCGTGAGAACTTTGCGGACGCCATCCCTTTGATTGGCCAAGAGCGTCTTGTCTCTGATTTCTTCACCAATCCCACGTCAACGTTGATGATGGTGAAGGTACGGGTGTCGTTTCTAGAGTTTGTTTCGACGGTATTTTGAGCCTTTGACGCAAGTTTGACTCATGTTCTGTTCTTCTTCTTCTTCTTCTTCTTCTTGCTCTTCTTTGTTTTCAGTGCTCGCCCTACCACATTGACGACTTTGCGGTGATTATCGGCGACGCAGCGCACGCCATGGTGCCCTTCTATGGTCAAGGCATGAACTGTGGCTTTGAAGACTGCACCGTCCTTCACCGTCTGCTTGGCGAGCACAACATGGATCTTGCGACTGCGTTGCCAGCGTACAGCAAGGAGCGCAACCCTGATGCGGAGGCCATCTGCGATTTGGCCCTGCACAACTATGTTGAAATGCGGCACCACGTCACGTCCACGAGCTTCCTGTTGCGCAAAAAGCTCGACTCGCTGCTGCACAGCCTGATGCCGAACACGTTCATTCCGCTGTACACGATGGTGACCTTCTCGCGCATCCCCTACGCCGAGGTGATTGAGCGTCAAAAGTGGCAAGACCGTGTGGTTTCCCGCGCAGGCTACCTTCTTCTTGGCGCCAGTGTGCTCGGTGCTGCGCTTCTTGCCAAGCAGCGTCTGACCAAGTAGTTGTTTTCTTTGGCTGGTGTTGGTGTTTGTTTTGCTTGAGCACTGTCCAACATGGTTTTTGATTTTGTTCATCCAGTATGCTTTAGTTTTTCTTTTTCTTTTTTTCTTTTTGTTTCCTTGCTTCATCTTCAATTCTCAGATTTTTGCTCACTTCTCATTGTTGATCATGTTCAGCCACGCTGCTCTTAGCCGCACAGCATCGCTCGTCCGGTAACCAACCAACCCCCCCCCGGCTGAGATGGACGATTTTTTGCTGTATTTGTGATCCATGATGATGATGATGATGGTGACCACGGCACTAACCCGCGATGGAGTTGCTCTGTTCGGCCAGGACCAATTTGCCAGTCGTTCCGCTCCGGTCGATGAGCGCTGCGACGCACGTCGTCACCAACCAGCCGCCGCCGCTCGCCGACTACAACGTGTTTAGCCAGGACCGCGCGCTCGTCGAGACCGTCAAGCGCCACGGGGCTGGCTGGGAGGCCGCTGGACTGGAGCGCTTTGGCGCTGTGATTGGCTCCAAGCGCGTCATTGATCTCGGCCACACGGCCAACCGATTCCCGCCAATCCTCAAGACGCACGACCGCTATGGAAACCGCATCGACGAGGTCGAGTTCCACCCGTCCTACCATGAGCTCATGTCCATTGGCATTGGCGCGGGAGTCGCCTCGTTTGCGTGGAACGCCATCGCCGCTGCCCCTGCCGGAACCAAGTCCGTGCGAGGCGCGCATGTCGCCCGCGCCGCGTATCTCTACCTGATGAGCCAGGCAGAGTATGGTGTCTGCTGTCCGATGAGCATGACGTACGCCGGTGTGCCGGTGATTCGCAAGCTGCCAAAGCTCGCAGAGCTCTGGGAACCGTTGCTGCTGTCGCGTGAGTACGACTCGCGCTTCCAGGCGGCTGCCATTGCCTCTGCCTCTGCTTCTGCTGCGGCTGCGGGCTCCAGCAACCAAGGAAAGCGAGGCGCCACGATCGGCATGGCCATGACCGAAAAGCAAGGTGGCTCGGATGTGCGCGCCAACACCACCATTGCACGCCCCGTCAACCCCTCCCAAACAGGCCCGGGCTCCGAGTACCTGCTGTGGGGTCACAAGTGGTTTTGCTCTGCTCCCATGAGCGATGGCTTTCTCACCCTCGCGTACATTCCTCGCGAAACGGATCCGGCCACGGCAACGAGCGCTGCCGCCTCCTCGGCCGCCGGCAAGTCTGCTGCCGCAGGTGCGATGAGCTGCTTCTTTGTGCCACGCTTCCGTCCAGATGGCACCAAGAACAACCTGACCGTGATGCGCCTCAAGGACAAGCTTGGCAACAAGGCCAACGCGTCGTCGGAAATTGAGTACCACAACACTTGGGCGGTGCTCGTGAGCGAGCCTGGCCGTGGCGTGCCCACCATTATCGAGATGGTCAACCACACGCGGCTGGACTGCTCGATTGGTGGCGCTGCCATCATGCGCATCGGCTTGGCGCACGCGCTCCACCACGTCACGTATCGCTCTGCGTTCGGCAACCGCCTGTTGGACCAGCCTCTGATGAAGTCTGTGCTGGCCGATCTTGCCATCGAGGCGGAAGCGGCTACGGCGATGGCCTTCCGCATTGCAGAGTCGTTCGACATGGGCAGCGGCAGCAAGCAAGAGAGTCTGTTTGCTCGCATCGCCACGCCGATTACCAAGTACTGGATTTGCAAGCGGACGCCCAACCACGTGTACGAGGCGATGGAGTGCCATGGCGGCAACGGCTACACTGAGGACTTTGTGCTGGCACGCGCCTACCGCGAGGCTCCGCTGAACGCCATCTGGGAAGGCTCTGGCAACGTGATTGCATTGGACGTGCTGCGCGCAATGCAAACCGCCCCAGAGGCCATTCAGGCGTTCCTGCAGGAAATCAAGACGGACACCTCTGGCAAAAACGCCGATCTCGATCAGGCCGTGCAAGATCTCGAAGCCCAGATTGCAAATCAGCAGAAGCTGAGTCGCGATGGCAACGCCCAACAGGCGATGGAGGCCAATGGCCGAAACCTGGTCGATCTGATGGCTTTGACGCTGCAAGGATCCCTGCTCGTGCGGCACGCTCCGCAGGAAGTTGCAGATGTGTTCTGTCGCAACCGCCTCCGCCACCGCTACGCTGGCAACTATGGCGCCATCGACATTCGTGCCGCCGAGGCTGAAGCCATCATCGAGCGACACCGTCCTCGCGTTCATCTGGCTTGATGAGGGCAAGGGGAGGTTTTTTTGTTGTCTCGTTGTCAATGAGCAAATAGATTGAATTGCTGTCTTTTGGTTTTGGGTTTTTTGTTTTGGGGGTTGTTTAAGGGGGTTTTTGATGAGGGACAACTATAGTGCAACTATTAACATACATGACAAAACACTCAAATCAGGCAGCACTCAAATCAGGCAGTGGCGGGCTTGGAAAACCATGCCTGTACAGACCCCAGCAAAGAGCGAACGGGGACGGGAGCAGCGGAAGGCTGGGCAGCGCTGGCGGTTGACTCTGACCCTGCGGCAGAGAGCAGTCGCAGCTGCTCCATTTGCTGAACAACAACTCGTGTAATCAGTTCATCGAGCTGTTGAGACAAGGGCTCGGTATCGGGGTTTGTCCGTGGCTCCTGCTGCAAAATCGAGACCTCGTCCGTGGCGGTTGGAACCGTCAATTCTTCCTTGAGAGCCTGAGCTTCGGGAATAGCGGCAGCAGCAGTCTGATCCTGCTGCAGGGCAGCAGCAACAACAGCAAAACCCTGATCTTGCCGAGGAGTGGATTCAGGTTGTGGGTCGGCAGCGAGCTCCATCTCCTCATCGGTGCACAGAATGGCGGCAGGCAACAGCTGCAGGATCATCTTGGTGGGAACCTTTGCCACAACAGTTCCCAGGCCCGTCTTCATGTACACGTGCTCAAAGCGAAGGATGGACTCGTGAACCACAATGCGAGTCTGAGGCACAGAGGTGGTGCCAATGTTCACCGTGCGCGCCTCGCAATCAGGCAGCAGACGTCCAATCGAGGAACGCTTGGCCAGCGCCAGTTCCGTGTTGGCCAGCTTGCTCATCCGCGCCAAATTGACGGGCTGGGCGCCGTGGGCAAGGACGAGCCATGCCTGCGAGTTGCTGTCCTCAAGCACCAACTCCTTGACCACCTCGTTTTCGCAGACGTTGTTGTTGCGCATCAGTCGCGCGCAGTCGACAATCGAGTAACACCGAGTGGAAGGCATCACGAACAGGGTGATCTCGTCCAGACACAACCCGGCCTTGTTGAAAGCCAGCAGGAGCGGCATTCGCTCAATCACGTTGTTTCGCTCGGGCAAGGTGGCGATAGTGGTCAGAGCAATGCCGCTGATTGGTGCCGCGGGATCGCCAACCACAGCTGCTTCGCGATTCTTGCCGACGCTGATGAGCATCAGCAGCACGTCCAAGGCGGACATGGGCGCGATCAGCGTGCGAGGGTACGTGGTGCCATTGACCTTGCCGCCGGCCATCGACACGCGTACGAGACGCTCAAACTCGGCCATGTTGTGGGTGACATTGCCGTTCAGCCGGGAGTCCAGGTTTGGCACTTGGAGCAGCCAAAGCAAGCAGTTCACGAGCTGTTCAACTCGGATTGACGCGTCCCAGTCGGACGACAGAATGTTGAAGCAAATGTGGCCGTCGTGCCTGGTATTTGAGCAAGCGCAGTCAGATGCGTTGATAGTGGGGGAAACAGGGCAGCAAGTGAGTGTGAACGCCAAGAAAATGAAGGCAAAAAAGCACAAAAAACAAAGAAACAATGATGAAACAAAAGCACGCTCTCGCTGATTTTCTGCGCTGTTCGTTCTCGAGTGCATGCCGAGTTTTGAGTCTGTGTTTGTTGTGTCACTCGCTACTGTTAACAGCCTCGATCGTTGACGCAGTGGCACACACACACACACCACTTGATCATGCTTGCACGCAACGTTCTCCTTTTTAAGTCATTTTTTTGTTTGTTTGTTTGCCGCCCACTGACATCAGCATATCCAACCCTCACTGCCCCCCCCCACTGACTGACTGACTGACTGACGGACTGGTGGTCACTTACGAAATGTTGGGATGGTACATCTTTTGCAAACAGGACACGGTTGGCCGCGAGTTGGGGTAATCCTTGGGGAGGGAGATGCGGAACTTGAATCGGCCGCCTTCGTAGAAACCCGACTTGGGCGTGAGCTCGAGCATGATCTTGAGAGGATTCTCCTCGTCCATCTGGAGAGTAGCTTCGTCATTGAAGACACCGCGCTTGTCGATCGAGACAAGCTCGCGGTAAATCTCCTTCAAGTTGTTTTGCGCCATTTTCTGATACAAATTAAAAAGGTTGACCAGCTAGTTTGGCTGTCGAGTTGAGTTGGGGACGATGATTGGTCTCAAAACTCAGACAGCAAGGTCAAGAAGAAAGAAGAAAGCAAAAGAACAAATGGAACAGACGAAAATAAAAATAAAGACTGAAATCATATTCAATTCGTTTCGAGGCAAAATAAAGCAATCGTTCATATGGAGGGAGAAAATGACGCAATGCGAGCGCACTGACGCAAGATGAAAACGATTACAACATCCGAATCTCAGTCCCACACTGCCGGGCATGCCACGCTCGCGCGACATGCTCAAACGCACCGCACCCGCAGATCGACGGGGAAAAAAAGCTCGGGCATGGTGAACCGGGCCAATGCAAGTGTTTGGAGCAAAGGCGGGAAGAACTGAAACACGGTTTCATCTGCTCTTTTGCAACTACTTCATCCCCACCCTCGTGCGCGCGACCATCTTGGTACGTTGAGATCCTTGTTTCAAGCTAAGGTCGAAGAACTTGCCATTTCTGAATGAAGGACTGCAACAACGAACAGTCTGCACACCTTTGCTGAGCGTTGGAGATCCGATCTGTTGCGTTGAGCTGTCCAGTCAGTCCATCCACCTGATGTTTGCTGTTGATGATCTTGCTTTTTTTGTATTGTGTATTTTGTTCACTCTTATTCTCAGATCAGCAAAGCATCTGACGCCCGTTGTTGAATGTCGGTTGCAAACTACAAGCGAACCGTGCAGGCACAGCCGCTCGTGCCAAACAGCGCCTCGAACGCCGCCGTGCTTGCCCCACATGTGCGATCAGTCGCGCGCACACAAGTCTTTGCCCCGTCTTCATCGGCAAGCAGCAGCACTGATCCCGCAACGAGCACGACGGCGGCGTCCGAAGCAGCAGCCAGCGCAAGCACAACGTCGTCGGGCGTCGCCGACTTGCCCGTCAACCATGTGCGCATCACTCCTCATGGCAGCATGAAGGGGTTTATCAGCTACGCGCTGCGGCAACTCGAGGTGAGGGCTTTTGGTTGGGTTGGTTCGTCCACGCGTTCTTCGAGAGTGGCAGAGCGGGGCACCTCTTCAGGCATGTCAGAGCACTCACTCAACATCACCCAACACGCCACAATGGTTGGTACTATTGGTTTGGTTGAAAATGTATTGTGCTGAACAGGAAACGGAGGCCACAGAGATTGTCCTCCATGCAATTGGTGCAGCTGTCAATCGGGGCATTTCAGTCGCTGAGATTGTCAAACGAAAGTATCCTGGACTTCATCAAAATACGCAAATCTTCTACACCAAGACGGTTGAGGTGTGGGAGCCGACAGTGCCAGGCCTTGACAAGTGAGTGGTTGTTATTGAAAATCGGGTCCAGCGCTTGCTTGCTTGGTCGCGCTGAGCTCGCAATACCTGCGCGGCGTCTTGCTGACTCGCTGGGACTCACTGTGTACAATCACTCTAACGTAATAGGTTGAAAGCGAGCCGCAACCAGCCGACCATTCAAATTGTATTGTCAAAGGCTCCGCTTGATCCCAGCGCTCCTGGCTATCAAGCCCCGCTGTGAAGCAGCACACGCACAAGTAGGGCCCCAGATCAAATGCATTTCACACGCAGCATTCCCATTTGGATTGTACGCACCTCCAACACGCTCATGATCGAAGCCAGATCTTTGCGTGATTGTGCGCTCTTTGGTTTGGGTTTTGTCTTGCACCTCGTTAACAGCCATGAAGTTAATATCCGCCCCACGGCATCCTTTGTCTTTGTCTCTTTGTCGTTGTATTTGTTTTCCAGTTCCATCAATACATCCTTTGCTTCAGTCTTTGTGTTTTGTTGCTTGCAAGCGAGCGATCAACCAAACACCTCTTCTCCCTCAGCCTCCTCCGCTCGTCTGCATTGCATTGCCAGCTGCCTCTCATGAACTGGGTTGGCGGCGCAAGGTGAGAGAGTTGGGGTGGGGGCCTGCATCTCATCAGAGTCGTTTCGTCCCAGAGGAACATTGAGCCACCTTGTCCCCTTCACGCTCGCCGTCTTCCCTTCCTCATTGACTCGTTGCCATCATGTGCCATATTGTTTTGTTGCTTAATGTCGCTTGCTTGGTCTGTGCAGGAGCCGCGTCAAGATCAGCAAGGATCGTTTGAAACAGCAGGTAAAAACTTGAACGCACACTGTTTTCCCGCCAAAAAAAAAAAAAAAAAAAACCAAAGTGTTTGTTTCGTGTCGTCGTGACTTCAACCTGGCTCTCGAGCTCGACGAGAACAGTCATCTCGATTGGAAGGTTTGCTCAGCACGCATTCGTATGCCTCCCCAACGTGAAACTTGCAGAAGTTTTTCGAAGATCGCAAGCGCGCTGCCGCAGTCGCTCAAGCAGTGCTCGGCAATGCTTCCCGCGAACACAAGACGGCTCGACCCCTCCTTGAGATCAGCAGTAACGAGATCAGCAGTAACGAGATCAGCAGTAACGAGATCAGCAGTAACGAGTTGGGCGGGTCGCTAGACTTGCCCTCGGATGCTTGCTCGAACGACGAGAATGGACTGGAGGATCTGTATCGCTTCCGAGAGCAATGGGCAGCCACAGCTGCATCGGGCGGAGCAGGCGCTGATCTCGAACGTCTCAAACAGCTCGAGATTGCGCATGCACAGACCCAGCAGTACCGCATGCCACCGAGTAAGGCTCATACAGTTGGATACACGCCATCGTTGTGCTGTCCAACCAAATTCAGCGTTCACTCGTGTTGTGCTTTGTGTTGTCCGTAGCTCTACCCGCCACGAGGCTTGGTCGTCGCACGTTTGTCGATCTGGGTCGAGCTGCTCCAGCGGAGGTTGAGCTTGAGCTCCCAATGTCCCCAATTCACTCGCCCTCGCGCCTCGAGGTACAGTTGTACCAAGCTAAGCATCGTGTTGGTTGAACAACGGATGTAGAATACGCTCAACTCGGAGCTTTGTGTGTAGCTTGAAGCTGCTCAGGAGCCTGTGGTGCAAACAAAGGTTGTCCATCAAACTCCGGGTCCTGCAGCTGCGAAAACTCGCTTCTCCGCCGTGCAAACCGGCCCTGCCATTGACAAGGAGCGCGAAAGCACGGCAGTTGAAAGGTTTTGCTCACGATTGTCTGATGTCGCGCGTGTGATTCTTTGAAAATTGAGGCGTTTACTGAGTCGGTTTGACCAATTTTGTGGGTGCGTTTCAGATTGATGGCCGTTCGTTTGCGGATGGAAGCCGCAGTTCCCTCGCAGCCAGCCATGGCAGCGGCGACCACATCAGCCACACCAGCAGTGGCTGCCTTTGAATCAGGTCCATCTTTCGCTGTCTCGGAACCAACTCCAGATCAAGCAATCAGCGATGCAACCATTGCACGTCAGCTGCCTCAGCACGTGCCTTCCTGCAGTGTTGCTCTCCCTTCCGTGCCGTCTGCGGAAGATTGGATCCCGCCACAGCTATTTGCCCGATTTTCCAAGCGGCAAGCATTGAACAGCCCTCCCAGTCCTGTGCCCGAGAAGAAAGATTTGCAACAAGAACTCGACGCAGCGCTGAGTTTTGTGACCTGGCAGCGCGTCGTGCTGCGATGCCTTCGCGACGACACTCGTTGATGGACGGACAAGTACTGTAAACTGTAACGAAACCAGATTAAAATGAACGTACAAATTTCAAAACACAATCAAGAACGAGAAATCGCGCTGGAAAACAAATCATCGCAACTTGGAGTAAATTGGGGGAGCAAATTTGCGCTTCAGGAACTTGATTATGTAGAGCGGAACACAGCTCACGAGTGTAATCAGCGTCACCTTCCAGAGGAAAGTCCAGCTTTGGATAAAGTTCAGATCTGACGTTTGAAGCGAGACACAAATCAAAAAAAAAAAAAGTGAAACCGTGAGTCCATTGTCATACACCCAACCGAACAACACTCCACATTCAACTGTACCAAAGTAGTCTTGAAGGAAGACGAGCGAGCCAACATAAACGAACAAACTGCCAACTTCCGAGACAATCATCATCCAGTGCCTGTTTGTGTTTGCAGACCAGAATCCAATCCAAAAGTGAGTCATTCAAAGATCGCGGCAAGTGCAACGTAGCTCTTCAACAGAAACCAAGAACTGACCAGGTGTTGATGGAAAGCGCTACCATCAAGTACTCGGTCAGAATCAGAGCAGTGAAGGTGATGGCCGTGATATGAACGAGCTGCTCCTCAAACATGAACATGGCTCCGTACATGATGCAGCCGCCTAACAAAAAGCAATCACGACCAATTGAGCGACGAAGGAGAAAAAGGGTGTTTTGAAAAAACCAGCACTCGCTTCGAGCAACAAAACAAAACAAGCATACCTTGGTAAACACTGATAAGAACCCAAATGAAGAAGGTCTTGAACGAAAGCACGCGACCCTGTCTCCCCAAATACCAGTCCATGACCGAAGATGGTCAGAATTGACAAAACAAACCACCTTGAAACAATGACAGGCACCAAAAGAGAGCTGGTACCTTTGTAAGATCCTTGTAGAGCTCGGGAAACGTCATGGCAATTTCCGAAGACACGTCCGTGTCAGCAACAAGGGAAAAGACCGGAGCCATGGTGTAGACTGTGGCGTACCTGTGTCACGAAAACAACCATCCAATGGAATCATCAATACAGTGTCCGACAACTCCGGCACCGAAGGTCAAAACCGCCAGCAAAAAGTCAAAAACATACCCGACCATCAGCAAGCCCTGATACAGGGCGACAGCGGCAAAGTAAAAGAGCGCAGAAAACACTGCCTGGATGATTGAAATAATCAGACCTCGATGGATGACAAACTGCGCAAGTGCAGCGGATCGCTTGTAGCTATTGCGCCCGTGCCAAAGCATGAGGCGCGAAATGTGCTTGAACTGAGTGATGGAAAAGTCCGCGGCAAGCGACGCCTGCATGCCCTCCTTGCCTACAATGCCAATGCCGACATCCGCAGCCTGAATCATGCTGACGTCGTTACCACCGTCGCCAATGGCGGCCGTCCGCTTGCCAGTGTGAGAGCGGATGAGCGACACGATTTGTGCCTTTTGGGTGGGCGCGCAACGACTGCAGACGACTGCAGGTGCATCGCAGGCCAAGTCCATAAACTCGCGCTCGCAGTGCTCGATGCAAATTCGCAGTGACTGGCCGTCAATCACAAGCGCACAGTCGATTTTTCGACGAAAGGCGTTCAGCTCTGCCTGCGCTTCGTACTGGTCAGCAACGGAGCGAAAGATGAACAGACCTTGCGACCGGGATACGAGTCGGGACGAAATGGCAATGTTGGCGGCGGTCTCGGTTTTGTCGCCAGTGAGCATCCAAATGCGCAAGCCAGCATTCCGCAGCAGCTCGAGCGTGCCGCGCACGTCGTCCTGGAGCTTGTCCTCGACGCCTGTCAGTCCAAGTAGCTCGAGGTTTGTTTCCAAGCACTGGGACAGGACCTCGGCCATTCGCTGCGCCCGGTCTGTGACGCTGATTCGAGCGGCATCGTAGCGCGCAACGAAATTGGAATAGTCGGCTTCGGAGAGGAGCTTTCTGCCGACGACGAGGGTGCGCAAACCTTCGCGTGCCATGTTTCCGCACTCCTCGTCCAGCCAGTGGTTGTACTGAACGAGCTTGCTCATGACGGCGTCCGCGCCCTTCATGTAAAAGTATAGCTGGTTTGTCTGGAGGTCTCGGACAATGATGCCCATTCGTTTGGTTTCGGACGTGAATGGGAAGACCTGAAGAACTGCGAAACGGAGCTTTGCGCCGCGGTACAGCGAGGTCAGCTCGATCGAACTGGAATCGCGATGCGTCAGTGCCAATCCGACGCTGGCAGCCCACTTGACGAGTGCAACTTCGTCGGGTGACGATGCTTGGTAGGCGAGCGCCGGTAGCGAGGCATGCATGGACTTGAGAGCGGCAGAAACGTTGGAATCAACCGGCAATGCTTGTTTGCCAAGCGCTGGAAGACGCGACTGTCGCCGACGGGCCCCCTTGGAAACAGACTGGCGAGCTCGCGATGCAGACCCAATAATGGCCGTTTTGTCAGTGACAACGTCCTGGTCCGAGTCGTCGTCGTCGTCGTCGTCGTCGTCGTTGTCTTCGTGGTCGTCAGCGTGGCCGCGATCATCATCAGAGTTATCACTGTGCTCTTGAAGACGGCCCATCTCGATGGCTTCAAATCCGTCGCGTCGCCGTTTTCCGCCAGCTTGTGAGCGGCCCTTGCCAGAGCCAATGGGTGCGGATGTCGACGACGCGCTACCGCCCGCGGGTTTGGTGTGATCATCGTCATCATCGTCATTGGCATCTGCAGCCGAGGGCGTAACATTGTGACACAGAGCAATCGCTTGCAGCAATTCTGCCACGCGAGATGTGGTGGTACTGCGTCGAGGGGCGGACGAAGTGGTTGTGGTCGCAATGGCAATCCCGATCGTACTGCTGGTGGTGGTGGTGATGGTGGTGGTAGGGGTGGAGCTAGATGGGGCGCTTGCTGACTGGTCGGCTAGGTAATTGTGCAAGTGTTGCGAAACTTCGTGCATGCCATCGCGACTAAACGACACTGTACCAAGGTGGAGCTTTTTGAACACCATGTCGTTCTGGGTGAGTGTGCCCGTCTTGTCGGACAGGAGATAGTCCAGCCGACCAAGCTCTTCGGGAATGGTGCTGGTGCGAACAATGGTATTGGGAATATGCTTGTCCCGCATCATGAGCCAAGAATACACGGTTTTGCCCATGTCCAGGTTGACGCGCAGGCTGATTGGGATGATGTACGACAGCAGCAACAGGAAGCGGAACAAGGACACCAGCCACGAGCCTTGAAACCCTCGCAGGGCCACGAGAATGAAGGCGAGGATGAGAGTCACCACAAACAAGACCTTGGCCAGCCGGTTTACCTCGATGTCGAGGAGACCGACCTTGGTGCGCGGCGCGGACGTGTTCATGGATGCGCGCGTCTCCTTGCCAGTGTAGACGACAATGCCGATCGCAACGCCGCTCGCAACCACCGTGTTTGCCCAGAGCGTGTTTTCAATGCTCACGGGCTCAACGGTAGGTGAGGTCGCGTGTGCAGCACCAGTGTCCACGGCCAAGCTGGGATGCGTCGTGACCGTACCAACAAACGAGTGAATGTCGCGTTGCGGCTTTTCGACGAAAAAGGCGGAAGCGTTCGTCCCAAAGATGTCAGACTGTCGAGAGAGCCTTTGGAACGACGGAACGGCCACTCGAAGCTTCCAATCCGTCTCGCCATCGAGCTGGTCTGTGCGGATGAAGCACGTGCCAGTTGGCTCGCTGGTTTGGAGAAGCACCAGATCTGCAGGAACGCGCTGGTTGGTGTGCACGACAATGACATCGCCGAGACGCAATTCCGAACTGGCGACATGCTCGCGGTCGACGTCCGGCAGGTGAATGCTGCTGGAGGTGGACAGCGACGTGAAAACGCCAGAATTGCTGGACAAGGCACTGCGGGACGAAGCGGTGGGTGTTGCGCTCCTTCGAGGACCCGGAATCAGCCGCTGATACTGCGCCGAGTTGACTTGGCGGTCTCGCCGAAAACGCTGAAACTCATCAAAGGCCTCTTTCGCCATTGTTACGGCAAGCACGAACAGCAGCGGGCCCCAGTACGTGTACAGGTAGCCGATACGAAGCGCAGGAACAAACTGAGACATGGCGACCAGCAAAAAGTAAAGGTTGAAGAAGAACTTGAACTGCTCAAAGAGCACCAAAGGCACAAACGACAGAAGTGTGTACTTTTGGTTGCAAATGACGTTTCGTGGAAACAGCTGGTGGTTGCCGGCAGCTGTTGCTGGTGATGGCGATGGTGCGTGTGCTGTAGAGGAGGAGGAGGATGCTCTTGATGACGACCCGTGCGACGGAATGGGTGGCCGAGCGGGAATGACAGTTCGAGCGACAAGCTTGTCGTCCGGGTTGCTCGAGGCAAAAATCAACGCAAATGGCCGCCATCGCAGAGCCTCTCCCCGTAGATTTCGCAGCATTACAAGCCACCCACCTTGGCAAAACCATTTCGTAAATCCTGGAGCATCCGGTGTCAGCATGACAAGAAAAACAAAACAACAAAGTGCAAAGGGTGAGTTGCGAAAAGGCGGCAGACCGAGCAACACGGCTCGAAACGGATCTCACCTCCTGCGCGCTTGCGTCGACGAGGGTTGTGTTCAGATTCCGTGTCACTGATCTCATGATCGTCGTCCAGACGCATGCTTGACTGTTGTCGCGACCGCATTGGCGCCGACGTGCTGGATGGTTGAAACGCGCTGCTCCCAGCGCCTGTCGCTCTGCGCGAGCCTGAAACCCCACGAAAAGACCAAGACCAGAGGAAACCACGAGACCAAAATGCAACAATGGTGAATGCCGAGGAGCAGAAAAAGCCTCTAAAACCCCGAGGTTCGAGCGGATTGTTACCTGGGACTGGAACGCCTGCCCACTGCCCGACCCCCGCGCTCGAGCCAAGCCCTTTCGTTGGTTGGGTGTGAATTGTAGCCGGCTTGGACGAGGTGCCTGCTCCTCGCGTGCTAGTACTACCATTGCTGAGATTGAACACGTCAACCTCGTCATCATCGCCCCCGCTGAGCGACGGCGATCCAAACTGCTGCGAGTGCGCCTGTGCCTGTGCCTGTGCCTGGAAGACTGCCTGCCCTGTGCTCGAACGCCATTCACCCTGGGTGCCCGCGTCAAAGCCCTGCGCAGCCCATCCAGCCTGCGTGGCAGTTTGCGCCGCCGCGTAGTCCTCGTCGTTGTCGTTGTCGTCCTCGTCATCGCCAAACCCGCCGTCGTAGCCGCGGAGCACGGAGCTGGAGTCGCTCTTGAACTCGTCGTCGTCCAGGAGCAGCATCCCGCGTTGGTGCGACTGGTACATCTTGGTGCGGCGGCCAGGTGTTGCTGCTGATGCTGATGCTGCTGCACCAGCGCGCCGCCATTCGCCGCCACCCGAGCCGCTCGACCCTCGGGCTGCTCCTCCTCCAAAGAACGCAGCGTCAGAGCGCGACGAGCGCGATGTCATTGGAGATGTAACAAGTCGAGAGAAGTGCGCAACTTGGTCGCCAATAAAACAAGACTGACGGTGGGGAGAAAAACGAAACGATGTCCAGCAGTGTAGTGAAACTCGGATGTTGTTGTACGAGATGCAAGGAAGTCAACAAGGGCAAGGCAGGTTGGAGGAGAACAAGCAGAAAGAAAAAGAAAAAAAAACGAAAAAAAAAAAACGGGGTCCAAGGGGAATCGAACCCCTGACCTCACGCACCCGAAGCGTGCATAATACCACTATACGATGAACCACGTGCCCGACGGGCAAAACCGAGTTTGAGCGGAGAGTGACGAACAAGAAAAAAAAGAAAATGAGCCAAAAAATTGGGGTCCAAGGGGAATCGAACCCCTGACCTCACGCACCCGAAGCGTGCATAATACCACTATACGATGGACCCACAGCCAACCTTTCGACTGGTTGATGAAAATCGTGGGCAATTCGGCTTTTGGATTACTTGACACGAATTGATGGCCAGAACAAGTTTGCTTTGCCAATCTGCCGCATGCAGAGCCTGCAACGCCTCGGGTGTTCAGTCCCATGTGTACTTGATGCCTAGAGATGACCAGAGTGGGCGGATATCGCTCGAAAGAAGGATGGTCGTTTCCAGTTTTTGATTCATTGTTCTGAGGTTTTGGCGTTCTTCAAGTCAATGGTTTCTTGGGCATGAGCGGACGCAGACTCATTCAGTGTAGCGATATTTGTGGCATCGCGCTTTAAGAATCATGGTTTCCAAGATAAATACAATGGAGTTATATCAGGAACAAAGGAGAATGGAACAATTAGGTCGCTCCACGAACAATCCGTCGCGTCGCTGAGCGTTGCTCTTTTGACAAGCGGCTTTTGAGCTTGTGGATCTGAGGTGCGCCCTCCTTCGTGGTTGCACACCAAAAAGAATCATATTTTATGTAAAATACGGGCATGCACAGCGTAGATGCGAGATGCGACGCTCGGTGGTTGAGCGCCCAAATGAGGGAGGTTGAAGGGGGTGGAAACACACAATAGTGGTCGCCCTTCGGTCTCATAGTAACAACTCCCAAATAAACGGGTGACCCCAATTCTATAATGCTACTTTATCAGAGGGGTCACGCTCTTTCATACATGTATCGTGTCTCGCTCATTTCACCACCTACAACTGGCTCTGAATACACGTTGTTCTAGATGCCACTTATCGCATATCTCGGTAGTCCTTCTCAATGGTTCTCACCTTGTCCTCCCATCTCATGTCATGGGCTCGAATACAGTAGATGGTTGATTGTGTCACTCAAACATGCGTCCTTCCAACATCCCCGAAGCCATCCAGTTTCCAACCACATCTCAAAAGTCAAAGAAATCAAAACCACTGGCAGAGATAGAAATGCATGTAATCGATGGATCGAGCACAAACAAAACACGGTTTGAAAAAAAAAAAAATAAACGATACAGCATGTAGACGAAACGACACAAACACTAGGGCAGAGACCGTTCTTGACAATCAGCGATTCCCGGTTAATGCTACAATTTTACTCAAACTTGATGCCTTGAGCGAGGGGCAGCTGGTCGCTGTAGTTGATCGTGCTGAATAGAGACACACAAACACACACACAAACAAAAACAACAGGAAACGCAAAGTCAATCAGAGCGCAAATGAAGCAACAAACACTGATCAACGAAAGGAGACGTACCAAGTGGAGCGACGCATGTATTGCTTCCAAGCATCGCTGCCAGACTCGCGACCACCGCCAGTTTCCTTCTCACCACCTGCAAAGCAACGAAAATCAAATCGCAAATCAGTCAACGAGAACCCCCGAAAACCCTGCTTCCAACACGAGAAAATCATCACGAACCGAAAGCACCGCCAATTTCAGCACCGCTGGTGGGAATGTTGACGTTGACAATGCCGCAGTCAGAGCCATGCGGACCCATCCACTTGAACAGGTTGGTGGTGTCCTTGGTGAAAACAGAGCTGCTCAGGCCTTGATCGACGCTGTTGTTGATTTCAACGGCTTCCTCAAAGGTCTGATCGCGCCAAAAGCAAACACCCCCGCAAAAAAAAGGGACGAACAAGAACAAACCGCAACCAACCAAGTCAATCCATCATTGTTGCACTGCACTGCACTAGTAGTTCCCCCCTGCTCCACCTGCTGCGACAACTCACCTTGAACTTCATCACGTAAAGAATGGGGACAAAGGTCTCCTGCTTGACGATCGGCATGTTGGGCGAGGCGAGAATGATGGTGGGCTCGACAAAGTTGCCCTTGCGCTCGAGGACGTTGCCACCATGGATGACCTTGCCACCTTGGGCGACGGCGGCGGCGATGGCGTCCTTGTATTGCTGGACGGCAGCCTTAGTGTGCAGAGGGCCGCAGAGCACGCCAGGCTCAAGAGGGGAGCCAATCTTGATTTGCTTGTAGGCCTTGACGACGCGCTCAACGACAGTGTCGTGAATGTCTTCGTGCAGCAGCAGACGACGGGTGGTTGTGCAGCGCTGACCGGCGGTACCAACAGCGGCAAAAACGGTGGCGGGCACGACCAGCTTAAGATCGGCATCGTTCATGACAATGATGGCGTTGTTGCCACCGAGCTCGAGGATGGATCGGCCAAAGCGGCGCTGGACAGTGAGACCGACTTCACGGCCGACGCGAGTCGAGCCGGTGAAGGACAGGACGTTGACGTTCTTGTCCTCAGCCATCAGTTGGCCAATGTCGGCACCACCGCACACGAGCGACGAGACTGCACCAGGCATGTTGTTGCGCTCCAGAACATCGGCGACAATGCGAGTGACGGCGACGGACGCGAGGTTGGTGCTGGGAGCACCCTTCCACAAGGTGGCGTTGCCGCCAACGAGGGCAAGTGCCTGGTTCCAGCCAAACACGGCCACGGGGAAGTTGAAAGCTGAGATGACACCAATGATGCCCATAGGGTTCCACTGTTCGAGGAGCATATGGCCGGGACGCTCGGACGGAATGACCTTGCCCGACATGATGCGGCTCAAGCCGACAGCATAGTCGCAAATGTCGACGTACTCTTGGACCTCACCTTCGCCCTCTGGCAGGATTTTGCCCATTTCGAGCGAGACAAGCTGACCCAGCGGGCGCTTCTTTTCGCGCAAGGCATCACCGATCTGGCGGACAATCTCACCGCGAGCGGGCGCGGGAATCTACACCGAATCAATCAAAGAAGTCAAGAAGAAGTCAAGGTGAGCGGCGCACAAACCTGGTGCAGGACTCAGACAGATCAATGGAGTCAATGGCATCATCATCATCATCATCATCATTATTATTCCTCCTCCCACGACAGGCACTGCAATGTGTCTGACATGGACTAGACACGAGCAAAGGAGCAATCAACGGCGAATTCGACCGCGCCTGTGAAGCTTTAAAACTCACCGAGGCCCATTGCTTGTAAGCAGCGCGCGTCTTCTGAACAGTGTCCTTGTACTCTGCGGCAGTGCCTTGGCGGACGGATGCGATCGTGTCACCGGTTGCGGGGTCGACCGAATGGGTGAGCGATCCAGAGCCGCCCCACTTGCCGTTGAAGACGCCTGGGTTTTCAGCCGTCAAGCCGAGCTGTGCCAGGAAAGGGTACTTGGATGCCGAAGCTGCAGACGACGATGCGAAGCGAGCACTGTATCGAAGAACAAAAGTCAGCAAAGCAACGGACGTTGAGAAGCAGGTGGAGAATTCCCAAAGGAAAAAAAAAAAAAAAAAAAAAAAAAAAAAAAAAAAAAGTCAGTCGGACATTCAGTTTGGACAGCGAAGACTCAGTGAGTTTGACGACCGTTGCAAAAAACCCACCTTCCCACCTCACAACATGAAAGCACTCAAGACACAACAACCCAGCAATCCAGCGAACAAGCACAGACACAGGCACAGACAGCGAAAACAAAAAGACCTCAACCAGCGGACATTCACTTTTTTCCACAGTTCAGCTCCATGTGCACAGCGACAAAAGCCGTGGCGAAGAACGCAGGCAGCACACGGCAGCGAAGCGGTGGGCGCTGATCACACGCATCGGACACAACTGAGCACGAAAGCGAACGCTGCGCAGTCGCCACTGTGACGGTACGCGCACCAGAAGCAAACGAGGAAAGAAAGAAGAGAATGGAAAAAAAAAAAAAAGACGAAACGTTGCATAAAAAACGGTGATTTACGCGTCACGGACGGCATGTCAGTACAAACATCCACAACGCGATCGACCGAGAACAGGTGCAGAGAAACAAGCTGAGCGAGATCAGCGAGACGAGAGAGAGAGAGAGAGAGAGAGAGAGAGAGATGAACGAGAGAGGTATACACGCGATGAGGGAATGAGAGCGATAAGAGAGATAAGAAGAGAGGGTTTACCCGCGCGAAAATGTCGACAATGCGACACGATGAAGCGAAAGGGGGAAAAAAAAAAAAAAAAAAACCAAACAAACAACAAAACAAGAATGAACTCAGACCGAAATGGGAAAAGCAAAAACCCAACCCGACTTGCTCTGTTGGACATCTGAAAATTCGTCTTAGTCTCAACAAACAGTGCAAAATCTGGAACAATATCATTCTTGTTTTTTTATTTCAAAACCAAAAAAACCCCAAATCCCAAGACAATGCAAGAAGAATTGCGTAGCTGGTTCGCTTCTTACGGCATCCCATACCCTGATCAAGCTCTGAGCATTGGCGTGATTGAAAAAACGATCGCCATTCACGGCAAGGAGCGCTGGACTCGAGCCGTGCGGCGTGACCTCATGGACGAAGCCATCGAATTGTTCGAGGAGGCTCGAGCGAGACTGCAACGTCAAGCTAATCGTATGTTTAGCAATCTGCAGGAGTTCAACAAGCTACTTCGCTTCCTCGGTCGGTCTCCCCAGCCGTCAACGAACAAGGCCTGCGAGGCAATGAGCAGCATCCACGTCAACATTTATGACCTCATCGCCGCCTACAACGCCGACAACAGCGGCACCTTCAACGGTCGCACATTCCCCTCCGTCAAGGAACTGGCAAAGTACTCGCGTGCCAAGAACCTGATCTTCCCGAGGGACAAGGCCAAGTCCGAAGGCCTGAGGCACTTTCTGCGTCACTTCTTCAATCATTGAATCTCATGTTGTTTGAAAAACCGATTCTGGATCTAAACGATTTTTTTTTATATATTTTTTTTTTTAAATTTTGTTTGTAAATTTGTATTTTTTTTTTTTGTTGGCGCACACCAGCCTTCTTGAACCAGACCAACCATCAATGTATGCGATGAGTGGCATCCCAAGAACGGCGTGCTTTACGAGCCAGCTGCAGGTGGTGAAATCAAGGCGTGGATTTCTCTCTGAAAAGCAATCGTTTAGATCGATTTGTTGAAGAGGTTGGGCAGACTCGTGGATTTATGCAAAAACACACAACAAGAAGGGATGGGATGATCTAGACATACACACATAAACCTGTCTCACTGCTGTCAGGGCTTGATCGACTTTGTCGGGCCCGCCTATTAAAAGAAACAAAAAGGCGAAACAACACCGAGTGAAACAAGCACGAAACGAAACTGCATAAATCCTTGGAGATGAACGCAAAGCAGCACGCAAGAAATTCAAAGTTGTTGATGCGCCTCATGGTGAGAAAGAAAGCGCGCAAGAAGTCCTGCCATCGTTTCATCGCACTGCTTTGATGGTCAGTCACACTTGCGCTAACGAATGGATATAAAAGCGGCCGCGAAACGCCGTGGTGGATGTGGATGGTGATAATGACGGATGAGAGGACGGCGCAGTGCACTGGAGGGATGAGAATGGGGCTTGGAAGGTGAGGTAAATCGGCAGTGCAAGTGGTCTCAAGAAGCTTCATGAAATATCTTGGTAAGGGAAGTTGTTTTAAGGAGCGCGAAGCTCATCGCGCTTCCACCCACAACGTCGATGGGACTCTGTGTTCGGGCGCAAGTAAATATTTATTCACAGATACGTGAAAAAAAAAATCAATTCAAGAATCGTTTTCATTCATGCGGAACGCTGTGACACCAAATAAAGACATTCAGAGCTGTTGCGACTTAGGCAACAAGCTTATCTGCTTCAAAGCGAGCGGCAGCCTTGGTAATCGTTTCAAGATCGAGGTCGCCAATGCTGCAGGCTTGGACGCAAGTGTTGGTGCTCGGGCCAGCGAGACGCACTCCCGGAGCGTTCATGGCGTAGTACATCTTGTCCTTGCCCGTGGAGGATTCGGGAATCCACTGCACAAAGATGAGCTTGTGACGAACAACGAGCACACGACTGCTGGTATCTTGAGCATTGTACTGGACGTTGTACAGGGCATAGCGCGGCTTGTTCTCGGGCAAAGCCGAAATAAACTCGTCAAACTCGGCGGTCGCGCTGCCAAGCTGGGAAATGTCAACGCAGCCCTGGTCGTTCATTGCGAAAATGACAAAGCGATGGTTGGCCTTGCCGCGTTGCATGTTGTTGAAGAGAGCGAGGCACTCGGGCGAGAAATGCATGATTGGAGAGTTGTTCAAACTTTTTTGGGGTTGATGCTGGGGTTTCGAGCTGCAAAGGCCAGACAGGGCGCTGCACAAGTCAAAATCAGGGAAAAAAGAAGAGTGAAGGGCAAATGGCACTGGTTTCGAAATCCTTTTATAGGGCGCCAGTTTGTGCTGAACGAGCGCAGACGGGGAACTGCCAAGTTTGGAAATGCGTCGGAACTGTGCGCCCTACTTCCCCTCCATTCAGTCACAGTTTGAACAAATCATGACGACACACAGTTGGGATGACAGTTTGCACTGTAAAAATTTCCACGTTGCACTTTATCTCGTCCCACCCCCCCGCCTCCCATGATGTGTAGGACTGATGCGAGAATGAACACGATCGCGTTCGGGTCATTCAACCTTTTTTGTAGCGAGGATGGCGCGCCGCGATCAGATCATTGCAAGTTTGGTCCAACTCTCTTCCCCCGCCGCTTCCGGTCGCTTGCACTTTGTTGATTCAACTGCACACGGTTGGACCTGACCTTCCATGGATGGAATGCGCGGGACTAACGCGAGCGAGTGATGACTTTGTAGGCGCTGCTCGAGCCGTACCCGCGACTGAGCGACGTCGACCAGTCTTCGTTGCCGACGCTGATCGAGCTCATGATTGAGAACGAGCGCAGGGAAGAGCACATGATCGAGACGCTGTCCTTCTTCATGGCGCCCGAGCACGCCCGCCTCGCAACCCAAGCGTGAGTTTTGGGGTTGGACGAAAGATGGCTGGACTTACATTGTGTGCGCTGGCTCATTTTCTACGTTTGCAACAGAGTGCTTCATGCTGTTAACAGTACAAGTAGTACAGAATTGCCCGTGACGGATTTGTCATCCGTCGCCGTTGTTCCACCAAAGTGAGCCATGAAACCTCAACATCCTTTCGAAAATGTTGTTTAGCAAGCACTTTTTAACGCGATTTTCTGGTGCATGCTGTTGCGTTGCCGCATTGTGGCGGCAGATCGTCTATAGTGGCACACAAGCAACCGAATCGCGCGACACAGCGTGCTGCCAAGACCCTGGCGGCAGACAAATCTCGAACCCCCGCTGGACGGCTCCAACAAGCTCTCGCTGGTTTTGCCCGGCAGGCCAATGCAGCACACTCTGTTTCAGGTACAAGTTGTTGTAGTGCGAGTTGTAACGCGCTTGATGCTCTGGGGGTTGCGGATGCTCTTTTGAGATAACTGTTGCTTGTGTGCGCTTGTGTTTCTCGACGTTCAGAAACCCACGGCGTTGGAGCCCCTTCTTCACAACCAGCAAGGCCAATCAGTCTGAGGCTCAGTGGAACTCCAGCAATTCCGCAGGCGATGGCGTTTGCGTCTTCCGCTGCAGGCAGTGGCATCACGGGCAAGTTCCACGCTCGCGATCGCGCACTAAATCAGCAGCATCAACGGCAAGTTGCGGTGAACCATGCAATGCCTGCGGCGTGGGAAGCATCTACATCTTTGGCAAGCATGGATGATCAAACCGCAACAGCCTTCGATACACAATCATCGACTGTGCCTCCTGAGGGAAGCAGTGCGCACTCGTACATCTTCTCCAAGCCGCTCTGTCAATACTGGCCGCGATGCAAGTGGGGTGATGAATGCAAGTTTCACCATCCCTCCGAGTTATGCAGGTGAGGCCTTTGATCATTGCAGCGCTCCACCTCCGCCTGCTTAACGTCGTATTTTTTTTTTTGAAAGCTCATCGTTTTTTTTTTGGGACACGCAGAAAATTCCCAGCTTGCCCGTTCGCCTCATCGTGTTATTTCATCCATCCTAGCGTACCTTGCAAGTACGGCATGCAATGTACTCGTTCTGGGTGTGCATACAACCATACCGCATAACCAATTCCAAAAGGACAAATACATTTATTTGCACAAAGTTAGCCACGCACCGCAATCACCCAATACGTGATCGACTCTTATGACATGGCGAAAAAACAGGTCATGAACGACAAAATGACCAAAAAAATGAAAGAAAATGAAAGGGGGAAACCCAATGTACAAGCATAAAATCTCCAAACGAGTAAAACGCAATTATCGCGTGGTGGTGGCGCGGCGCGCTTGTACCATCAAGCCAGCCTCCTGCTTTTCAAGCTTGGACTGTGAATCAATAGCGCCGAGGATTTCGGTCATGTTGGTTTCGAGCACCATGCCGCCCATAACGATCTCGTCCAAAATGTAGTGAACCTTGTCGACATGGAAGATGAGGTCGAGCTCGCACACGTTCTCAAAGCACTTGTCCAGAGTCTCAACGAAGACCTAGACATAACGATGCGGGTTGTTTCGACGGTGAGAAAAAAGCAAACAAAAAAAAAAAAAAAAAAAACCAACAACAAAACATTGTTGGAGAGTGCTTGAGACATAGTCACAGTCGTTTGGTTTGACTTCTGTACCTGGATCAAATCGAGAATGCCAAGCTCGCTCTCCGAAGAGTCCACGCAGAAGACGAAATAGAGGGTGGCATAGTGGCGGTAGATGAGCTTGGAGTCCGAGCCGCCGATGAGCCTGTTCATGCGAGCAAGAGGTTTTCAGTTAGAGCTGTGGTTCGTTGCCCTGCATTCTCCTCCCCCGGCTCCACCACAAACACATCTCAAACAGCAAACAAATGCTGATCCCCGTTCAAAAAAGAATTCTGATACAGCTGGAGCACCACGAACGCAAGGTGAACACGATCGACTTTGAACAAGCCAAATACTTACGTGCCGCCTTCGAGGAAGTTGCAGACATTATCCGATCGCTTTGATACCAAGAAGAACGTCTCTCGGATGATCTGTTGCTGCATCTCTTCCGACTGCAGACGAAAAGCCAAAATCAATGTGAGCGCATTGAAAACGGGAGCACAACAAGGGCATCCGGGTCGCCGGTTTCGTCCCGCTGCCACTACAACGAGGTAGATGATTCGCGCAGGTCAAAAGCAACACGACAGAGCAACCATGGCCGTCCTGTGTCTCTGCATCTGGCTTGTCTGGGGCTCAATGTTGAGCCAGTGCCGATGACAGCATTGCCGCGCTCTCTACTCTGCCGCCTGGCTCCCGGCCCCCCCCCGCCTCCTGATCATCCAATGACCAGTTTGCTGCCACTACTCTCTCAAGCATCGCAGCACCAGGAGCGCGACCAGGGCCCCTCCCCTTCCACTGCCTTCCTCGCTGGCTCGACCAAAGTCACTTGACGTCCCGTTTCTCGACATCCCCGCCAGGATCGACGCAGAGTGAATTATGAGAGAGAGCACAATGTGAACAAACGCACGTAGTGCTGGTAGAACTTGGAAAGGCGCGGCTTGCCGTGGTTGTTGAAGACGAGGATGCCGCGAATCATAATGGAAAATCCAGGAAAAAAAAAAAAAAAAAAAAAAAAAAAAAAAAAAAAACGACTGCACCAACTCTTTTGTACAATGCTTCGTCACACGCAAGCAGCGATTCGCGGCACATGAAAAACAAATGGCGGAAACACAATTGCGTAGACACACGAAGAACCGCAACCCCTTGACACACACACACACACACACTCGCCAACACCAGACGCAAAAAACTATCCGGGCACAAAACTTAAACAGAACAAGAAGCAGCGACCTCAAGATGCCGAAGATGCAAGTGCAGCAATGATGGTGTGATAGCGAACGTTTGCAGGAAGCTTGTAGGGATTGCCATCAGGGCTCTGCAATGACAGGAAACAAAAGAATAGCAAAAACAATGGAGACCAAGTTGGTGTTTTGGTTGAAACAATCGTCCACAACGCCCATGAAGTGCACTGACCGAGTCATCGGCAACATGCTCTGAAATCTGGATGATCTCGCCAAGCAAATAGTCTCGACGCGATCCGCTTTTCAACCAAACCAACCGAAAAGAGTGTGAGCAAACCTTTTTCTTGTCTTGCAGATCGCCAAGCCATCTCTCACCTTGTGCGGCTTCCATCAAACGCCTTGATGGACTCTTGCGAGAGATAGTATCGCGGTTGCTGCGAGAACGCAATGTAATGTCCATGGGTAGTTGGGAAGAAGACGACCAAATCCCCAACAGTCAGGCTGAACACCAAGAAGAGCATGCAGTGAGCATTTTCACAAAAAACCCTTCCCCCCATTCGTCTGACATTCTAATCCATCATCCTACATACTTTGAGAACGCTAGCCGAGGGCGATTGTCGTCGTTTCGCTGCGCGGTCTCAATTGTGCGACGAAGCAGCTCGTTTCGGTCGCGAATCATGTCGATGGTCGCCGCAGTGAGTCGACCGACGCAATCGGCCGAGTCGACATCGAAGGTCGGCTTTTGACGCTGGCTCGCGACCCATGAATGGATGAGCTGTGCAGGCGTCAGCGTTCTGCGCTCGTTCTCCCGATCGCTCAGCTCGTTCGTGATGACACTGAGCAAGCGACTCGCATTCTCGTAACGCCGACAGTAGTCGTCGCGCTCCGCAGTCAATCGCTCGATCGTCGCCGCAGCAACCGAGGCAGCCTTGTCCGCAGCGTTGAGCGCAGCAGCATTTGCGACAGCCTTCGCGGTGGCTGCGGCTACAGACGAGCTGCTGGCGTTGTTGGCGTTGTTGGCGGAGCTGTTTCGCGGGCTGTCGGCGTTTGCGCCCAAGATGGAAGCCGCACTCGGCGCGCCCTTCTGCAGCGCCGGCGCAGCCTCTGCGGTCGTCAAGGTCGATGCCTGGAGTGCAGCAATGCCAGCTGCAGCAGCCAGCGAGCCCACGACCACCGAGCGCGATGTGACCCCAGTGTTGGACCTTGCAGCCTTCTCCGTCATCAGCGGGGTTGCTGCTGAAGCGCTGAGGACGACCGACGCCGAGATGGTTGGATCTGTCTCCACCCCATCATCACCATCGTCATCATCACCATTGTCATCGTCGTCGTCGTCATCGTCATCCCCATCATCGGCAGCGCCCCCAGTGGTGTTTCTGCGGCGCGCCTCGCCCGGCAGGTAGATGAGAATGGCTTCTTCGTCATCCTCCATCGCCACGGGCTCTTGCTCGAGCTCGTCCGCATCGCGACCATTCCTCTCGTGGTCGTCCTTCCCGCGCAATGGTTGCGCATGCGTTGGCTGCTGTTGCACTTTGGTCTGCGGCTGAACTGCATCTTCCGGTGCGTTTCGCTGCCAATTCGAACGCCGCACAAAATGTGAATCAAAATTCAGTTTCTTCCATTTCGTTCTACGGCATGAATGGAATTACGCGTATGACAAACAGCGCGGCAAACGTACCTCGGTGACAACGCACCACTCGTCGCTACAACCTCCAGTTACACTCATTCCCGATGTGGCTGATGCGCTGATGAGAAGAGCCGAAGAGTGGGGGGGGGGAAAAAAAAAAAAAGAGACAACCCTTTGAAAAACAAAAAGTCAAAAAGGAAGAGAGGCCGAACACCTGTTGTTGTGAGTTGTTCAACTACAAGCAGAGTACTGTCACACAAGGGTACTGCACAAGGCGGGTGGCAAAAAAAGGATACTTTATGTGCACAGAAACTCAAAAACAACCAACGCAACAAAAACACAGACAATAACAACGCACAACAGCGTCGTTTAAGACAGACCAATAACCTCGCCAGTGGTGAGGTCGAGATCAATCTCAAAGAACGCGGGGCGAGTGGGCAGGCCGGGCATGGTTGGCATCTACAATGAAGGGGAGGGAAGGGGACGGGGTCAACACAACTGAGTCAAAACTGAAACGCGACCAATTTCCTAACAACGCAAACTGCACGTACAGCGCCAACCAGGGGATAGAGGAAACCAGCACCAACACTTGCGCGAACTTCGCGAATGGGCAGAGTGAAGCCGGTCGGAGCACCCTTCACAGTCGGGTCGTGGGACAGCGACAGGTGGGTCTTGGCCATGCAAATCGGCAAATCATTGAAGCCCTGCATCGTGTCACAGACAACATTGAGCACTTCCTCCTTACAGCAGCCTCACGTCACAAACACAGTTGCAAAACGCCCCCTTCCTGCCCCGTTTCCAAAACCACCAACCTGCTTCTTGTACAGAGCAATCTGAGTCTTGGCCTTCTCGCTGAGCTCAATGCCAGCCGCGCCGTAGATGTCGGTGGCAATCTTGGCAATCTTCTCCTCGATGGGGAGCTTGACGTCGTACAGCAGCTTGAAGTTGCTGGGTTGCTCGGTGGCACGAACGACGGCCTCAGCAAGGAGGGTGGCACCGGCGCCGCCCTTTGCCCAGTGGTGGCAAATGACCGCATCGAAGGCGCCAGCCTTCAGGGCCTGCTCGCGAATGGCCTCGAGCTCGGCGTTCGAGTCGGTCGCAAAGTGGTTGATGGCCACGACGACGGGGACGCCAAACAGACGGGCGTTGGAAATCTGCTTGGCAAGGTTGGAGCAGCCCTTGACAACGAGGTCAATGTTCTCCTCAGTGTAGGCAGCGGGCAGGGGCTTTCCGGCAACAACCTCGGGGCCTCCGCCGTGCATCTTGAGGGCGCGCGCGGTGGCGACGAGCACGACGCAGTTGGGCTGGAGACCGGACGAGCGGCACTTGATGTTGAAAAACTTTTCCATGCCAATGTCAGCGCCAAAGCCAGCCTCAGTGACGACATAGCCGTCAGCGCCGACAGACTTGAGGGCGATGCGATCGGCAATGATGGACGAGTTGCCGTGGGCAATGTTGGCGAAAGGACCGGCGTGGACAAAGACGGGGGTGCCTTCCAGGGTCTGCATGAGGTTGGGACGGATGGCATCCTTCATGAGGACCATGAGGGCGCCAGAAGCGCCAATGTCGTCGGCAGTGACGGGCTCGCCAGAGCGGCTGGTGGCGACGACCATCGCGCCGAGGCGGCGACGCATGTCGGGCAGATCGTTGGTGAGGGCCAGGATGGCCATAATCTCGCTGGCGACGGCAATGTCAAAGCCAGTCTCGCGCGTAAACTGCTTCTCGAGCTCGCCCTGGCCGACCTGCACCTGGCGCAGGAAGCGGTCGTTGGTGTCGAGCACGCGGCGCCACGTGATGGTCGACGGGTCAATGTCGAGACGGACAAACTTGGAGCGCTCCTCGGCGGTCAGGTCTTCGGGGTTGGTCTTGTCAATGCCGAGCTTGCGCAGGCGAGTGAACATGACGGGGGCAAAGGTGCGGACGCCGGCCTTGGACTTGGGGCACAGGCGGTCAAACATCTGGACATCGGTGGAGGTGCCCTCGTGCAGGACGCGCGCATCGATGGCGGCAGCGAGCAGGTTGTTGGCGGCAGTGATGGCATGAATGTCGCCAGTCAGGTGGAGGTTGAACTCCTCCATGGGGATGACTTGGGAGTAACCGCCGCCGGCAGCGCCACCCTTGATGCCAAAGGTGGGGCCCTGCGAGGGCTGGCGAACGCACGCGTACACGTTCTTCTTGAGGTGGGCGCCGAGCGCCTGGGTCAGACCAATGGTCGTGGTGCTCTTGCCCTCACCGAGCGGGGTCGGGGTGATGCCGGCAACGACAATGTAGCGGCCGTTCTTCTTGTTGGCGAGGCGCTCGAGCACGGAGAGGGAGACCTTGGCCTTGTACTTGCCAAACAGGTCGACCTCGTTGGGGAGGAGGTTGATTTCCTTCAGGAGGCTGGCGATGGGCTTGGGCTGCTGGGCCTTGGCAATGTTAATGTCGCTGGGAACCGGGGTCTTGAGGTCGAGGTTGAGGATGCGGACCTTCCAGTCGCCCTTGGAGGCAGCGAGGTGGCGCTTGGCGCTCTCGACGGTGGACTCGATGAGCATGGCGACCGTCATCGGACCGACACCGCCGGGGACGGGGGTGATGATGCCCGCCTTGCCGACGCAGCTGGCAAAGTCAACATCGCCGACAAGCTTGGTGCCGCTGGCAGTCTTCTCGTCCTTGATCGAGTTGATGCCGACGTCAATGACGACAGCGCCGGGCTTGAGCCAGTCGCCCTTGATCATTTCGGGGCGGCCGACGGCAGCAATGACAATGTCGCCGCGAGCAACAACCTCGGGGAGGTTTTGGGTGCGCGAGTGGCAGATGGTGACGGTGGCGTTCTGGCGCAGGAGCAGATCGGCGACGGGGTGGCCCACAATGTTGCTGCGGCCAACGACGACGGCGTTCTTGCCCGAGATTTGGACGCCGGCACGCTTGAGCAGCTCCATGCAGCCCTTGGGGGTGCAGGGCACAAAGAGCGGGGTCTCGCCGGACTTGGCGAGCTTGCCGACGTTGAGGGTGTGGAAGCCGTCGACGTCCTTGTGGAAGTCGATGGCGTCGGTGACGGCCTCGACGTCAATGTGCTTGGGGAGGGGCAGCTGGACGAGGATGCCGTGGACGGCCGCGTCGTTGTTGAGGCGCTCAATCTCATCGAGCAGATCGGCCTGGGGGATGGATTCCGGGAAGTGGAGGTGACGGAAGGCGACGCCCGCCTCGGCAGCGGCGCGTGTCTTCATGCGAATATAGACGTTGCTGTCCTCGCGGCCGCCGACCTGGACGATGGCGAGACCGGGCGTGTAGCCGTCGTTCTCAGCCTTGAGCTTGGCAACGTCGGCGGCGACCTCGTCACGCAGCGCCTTGGCGATGACGCGACCGTCGAGAATGGTGGCAGACATGGAGGATGAGGAAGAAGAAGATGATGATGGAAGTGAATCGAGATAGCGAGTGAGGGCAGGCGAGCACGTCGGGTAGGGACGAGGCACGATGCGATAGGGTAGCGAGCTACGGCAGCTGGTAGTGAATGCGCGATGAAGATCAAGTCGTAGGAGTAATGAGGGAGCCGACGATGAGGAGGACGACGACAGCAGCAGCGACGGGTGGAGGACACGAGCGGTGGCGGTGGCGGCGGCGGCGACTACGGGCGACGAGTGGAGGAGAAGGGGAAGAGGACGCTTTGGGATGATGCGAGCGAACGCTCTCTGCAGATGCAGATGGATGCGAGACGACAGTATGATGATCGACCGAGACAGAGTGAAATACAATGGAAAACAAAAAAACACCAAGAAAAGCAAGAGTGAAAGAGTGAGTTAAGAAACAAAAATCACACCATTGAAACAAGATCAGCAAAACAGGATTTAGAAGAATAAAAACACGGAAAAGATTAGAAGAAGATCAACAAAAAGGGGGAGATCAGGATGATGAGAGATGGAGAGTCAAAATGACAAAGAGTGAAAAGAGACACACAGAGAGAGAGAGAGAGAGAGAGAGAGGGGAAACTGAGAGGCCACAGTGTAGAAGGAGGGTGTTGATTGACTGGCAGAATGAAAGAGAGTGCAGTGTGGAACAAGTCACAAAGTTTGCAAAAGCGCAAATGGACAAAGTGAAGTGTGTGCGTTTGTGTGTGCAGAGGCTGAGAATGGGGGTGAAATAGAGGTGAAATGGGGGGGGGGGAAGGACGGAAGAGCCTAAAGTCGAAGGGAAAGAATGAAAAAGCGCACATGGGAGAAAAACACACTGTGATGGAGTTGGAACAGGAGGAAGGAGACCGCGGACCAAAGAATGAAAGGATCAATGCAAAGCAATGCGAGGTGGGGGGGGTGGTGGTGAGCGTTGCATTGCATTGGCTTAGGAAACGAAGAAAACAAAGAAAAAAAAAAAAAAAACGAAAAAAACAGGTTGTGGACACAGTCACGGAAGTCGCTTTTCCGCTCTCCTTCTTTCTTTGTTGCTTTGGATGCTCGCTTGAGCTTGCGCTTGTTGGAATGGTGAGGCTGTTTGGCTGCGTTTGTGTGTGCTTGTCCATTGGAGAAATGACGTGCAAAAAAAAGAGATCAACGAGAACAGAGTGCTGAGAAAAAGAGAGAGATGGAAAACAATGGAAGTGGCAGCGAGATGCGAAAACAACAAAAGTCAGCGCTTCTTTACGAACATGAAAGACTGATCCAAAGTGCTGAATGAGGAAGGTTGGATGAATGCGCAAAATAAAAATAATAAGAAACTCAGAATGGATGTGTTGGATATTCTAACGCGACACAATGTGATCGACTGATCTTCCAATGAAGCTGTTTTCGGCTTCAAAAATGCATGAGAATCGAGTGGCTCAAAAATCACAATAAACCAAACAATACAAACGCTACTTGGACAACGGCTCCGCCTCGCTCGAGGCTTCTCGCTCAACTGCAGCACGAGTGCGAGCTTTTCCAACCAGCGACGAGAGCCACACATCTCGCGCGTCCATGTACTCGGTCCGACGTGCTTGCTGCCGTCCAGCGAGCGCAAATTGCAGCGCCGTCGCCCCGACCACGAGCGCTCCGAGGCTGAGAATCAGACGTCCATTGGTCATCCATCGCCGATGCGCGGTGAGTTGTCCTGCAGCCTGGCGCTTGAACGTCTCTGCATCCTGCTGCCATGTTTCGCCCGGGTTTGGAGCGGAGGACTGCGAAGCCCCAGAAAACCCCCTTGAGCCCTCATGGAACGAGGACGAACTCGACGGCTGAAACTCGTGCAGGCCGCGGAGGCGGTCGTACTGGAGTCGCAGCGTCGGGCTTGAGAGAATTGTGTAGGCCTGGCTGACGACGACAAAGCGCGAGTGAGCCGCGGCGCGTGCGGCTGCCGGCACGACGTCCGGATGCAGCTTCCGTGACAGTGCATAGAAGGCTCGCTTGATGTCCTTGTTGGATGCATGCCGCGGGACGCCCAGCACGAGGTACGGATCGAACTTGAGGCGACCGAGTGCGAGCTGCTCGGTCATCGTTGCCAGCGTTCGTTCATCCAACCTGAGAGTACTGTCTGCCTCGACCACAAGCAACAAACAACAAACAAGAAAGTGGATAGAGCATGCCATACAAAAGTAATGCTGGTAGCACTACGATGGCTCGAGAGGGAGCAAAAAAACAAGCTGTCCGAGCTCATCTGAGCACATCTCAGCATCTCTGAGGAAAACTCTTGTGCCAAACGTTCAGATCTGAGTTTCCACAGTTTTTTTGAGTTTGCGTCTCAGAGAGTTCTCTGCCCGAAAAGCCCGATCTTGATCCGGATTTGTGCAGGCGCTCACTCGTTCGTTTTGTGGCGGAGAGCCAATCGGTCGGAGCGAGTGAAGGGAACTTGTTCCTGACGCTTTCGTACCTTCTGCTGGTGATCAATCATCAAAACTAAAAAATCCCAGTCACCGGCATTAGCTTCACTTTTGGACTGTGCGTCGTGCGGCACTCGCCACTTGGCAGCGTGGATGACCCCTGTCTGGCGGTCGGTTTGGCGGTCGCTCTTCTTTCAATGGGAGACGAACACAAACGAGGACGAAACGTTGAACGTTCAAGACCAGCCGCTTTCTCAAAGACGCGGAAGGCTGATCTCTGCCGACTGGACGACGCATTGAGGCGCGACGAAATGTAAGGCGCCTTTTTGGTTGCAAGGGTGTTGGGTGTGTGGTTGGCAAGAAGAGGAGGGAGAAGCGAGAGAGAGAGAGAGAGAAGAAAGAAAGAGAAGAGCTTTGGTTCTTGTACCTTTCCCCCATCGCTCGCACCGTGGCTGGCTCGATTGGGTCTGCAATGAACATTGCAAGTGTATTGATCAAGTGTGTGTGAGAGAGAGAGCGAGAGAGAGAGGCGTGGGTGGACGATGGCGAGATGGCGATCGCTGGCTCGAAGTCTGCCATGTTCTCTCTTTTTCTCGCTCAATCTCATTGAGCGCGATTTCGATAAGCCATTGAAGCCTGTAACGAAAAAGAAAAAAAAAATAAAAAAAACAAAGGAAGGAAGGGAGGCTTTGGTGGTCAAAAAGCTCGTTGGTTGATTCAGCTTCTCAGAATAGCCGAGTTCATGGGAGCTCGATTTGGGAACTTGCTGAATTTGTGGCGACTCACCTGCTTTGACCACCATTTGCTTTGTTTGGCTGCATGCAGGTCGCGTCTTTTTGCTGACTCTCGGAAGATACTTTTGCGTTTTTTTGGTTGTTCTTTTCGAGCTTCGTCTCCTCGCTCTGTGTTCACAGTGCTCCGTTGAAATGGGTGCTCCCCACGCTTTTTCTGGTTTATTCTCGCTGTCGGCATTTCTGAGGACTCCTCGACGTTGTCCAAGGTGCTTGTCGGTCAATTTTTGGAAACTTTCCACCCCAAGTCTCAAAGCGTTTGTAGTTTCGGCTTTTCAGTTGAATTTACGCGCGCGTCTGAGCAAATCCGTCCTGTCCCTCTTCCCAAGCTCGTTTTGAGTGTTTTTTACTTTCGGCTGTTTCGCTGAAACAAGGCACGCGAGCAATCCTGTCCTTAATCTCCCGCTCTGATCATAGTCTCTGCAGCCCGGTTTGAGCGCCGCGCTCCCATTTTGTGTCTGTCGACGCTTTCTCCATCGAGCGAAGGCATCAGCGTCTGCCTGCTGTTGACACTGGCCCTCAATTCAACCTTTCACCCGGTTGCGCCACCTTTCCTTTGCTGCTAATGCTGCCATTCGTTCCTCTTGATCCATCATCCCCCCTGACTTCAAATGTGATCGGATGTTGAGCAATAAAGCATGCCTTTCTTTATTCTGTTTCACCCCCCGCTGTCCATGTTCAAAAGACCATCATTGTGTTGCGGCGATTCAACCCGTCGTTGTGGTCAACGTGCTCGCGACGATCCGCTCGAATCGGACATGGGCCGCACTGCAGAGAACGAATTGCTGAGCCGATGGCTTGCACCTGTGGAGGATGCGGCATAGGCACCATCGCCGCCGACTGGCGAGCCCGTGGTTGGCTGTGCCGGGTGCTGCACATGAGCACGCGAGGTCGCGCCGTGCATTTGGGGATGGTGCGGGGCGTGCCTGCTCAGACCGCTCGTGTTTTGTGGCGAAGGCGAGTCTGCTTCTTGCTGCAGTGCAGCTTGTTGCATGACCTGCTGCAGATTTGCAGGTGTTGACCCGGTCCGAATGCCCGACGCACCAAGCAAGGCCGAAATGCCGCTGTCCAATGGAGAAGGGGTACTTGGCGCACTGCCGTTACTGGCCGAGCTGTTGCTCAAACTCGACATGAGCAAGTGCGTGCCATGAACGCCGCCCACGCTGGCACTCTTGTTTAACTTGCGCGATTTGGTGCTGCCGCTGCTACTGCCACTGGCCACACCGAGCTCGGCAGGAATAGGTTCCACAAAATCTACAATGCGAATGTCCTTGTCTTGCGAAGCAATGATGATCTTGGTGTCGTCAAACTGCAGTCGCAAGACGGGGAACTTGCACGGCGTGAGCCGCAACGTCACCTCGCCACTGTCGGCGTTCCAAACCAGCACATTGCGGTCGTACGACCCGCTGACAATGCGGGTGCCGTCCTTCTGGATGGCGCGCACAAAGTCCGTGTGACCAGTGAGGGTCTTTTGGCACTCGCCAGTCCGGACATTCCAAATCTTGTACGAGAAATCGGACGACCCCGAAACGATCGTGTCGCCAGACAAGTGAAGACACACGATGCCGCGGAGATGGCCCGTCAGCGTGCGCAAGAGCACGCCCGTCTCAAGGGACCAGATGCGCAGCGTGCGGTCTCCCGAGGCGCTGACAATAATCTCATCGTTAAACTGCACACCGTTGACTGCTGCCTGGTGGCCTTCCAGGCGATGAATCTGCTTCAGGGAACGGACGTCCCACACGCGAACCGTGTAATCCTTGGAGCAACTGACAATCCGACGGTCATCAAAACGCACTTGGAGAACGGCGGCCCGGTGCCCTTCCAACACATGCTGACAGTCGCCGGTAAACAAATCCCAGATGCGAATTGTATGATCGCTCGAGCCGCTAATCACTTTTCGCAGCGAGAACTGAACGCTGAGTACCGAGCCAGTATGCCCCTGCAGCGTCCGCACGCACGAAGGATTGGCACTGCGCAAATCCCACACTTTGATCGTTTTGTCCTTGAATGCAGTACACGGCCATTTCGTGTCCGCGAAGCGTCCGTTCAGTGTACCGCCCGACCCTCCAGTTTTCCGCACAGCCCGACCCTCCAGTTTTCCGCACAGCGCATTCGGATGCGGTATTCGCGTTTCCAGTCAAAGTTACTTGTGAGCAACGCCGAGTGTTTGACGCCCGTGAACATCTTGTATCCTGTGGGGGAGGGGATAGATTGAGTGCAACATGTGGTGGTGTTCGTGCCTTCGCGGCTGGACCATACCTTGCTTCTCATACAGGACTCGCCAGAGTAGATTTTCGTTTGCAAACGCATGCCACGCCTTGCACACTTGAGCGGCAGTTCTCAGCGTTTTTTGGTCGGTGAAAGTCAGAATGAGGTGTCGCAACTCGCCTAACAGAAACAAAACAAAACAAAACAAAACGAAACAAAACAAAACAAAACAAACAAAAGGTAACAAAGTCCAGCCCAAAAAACAAGTCAGCAATCCGCTGCCACTCGACACAAACCTGCAGACCACAACAACGTACTAGGCAAACGACTGAGCATGTCGCCCTCAACGACAGGCAAGGCATCGACGGGAAGCTCTTGGCCGCCTGCGGCTAGGAGCAAATCGTTGATGATGGCTCGTCTTTGGTCAATGTTCCAGCGTTGTTGCCAGACATGAATGAGACGCCACTGCGCCGCGTAGTCTAGCGGCAGAGCAGAGTGCAGCATCGTAGTCTGACTGACACGTCGGTGTCCAATGGAGTGCGCATTCGCTGGCGGCAATTCGCCATCGTTGGCTGGTTTCGGAATGGTGGATGGTGGCAGCATTGTGGAATCGCTGCCTTGGCGGATGAGGGTCGCTGCGTCAACATTGGGCGACGCGACATCTGGCCTGCTCGAGAACAAGGAAGCAGCAGCAGCAGCAGCAGCAGAAGAAGAAGAGTTGCCCACGGGCGCATCGAGGCGGATGGGCGAGAGCGGTCCTGGCGAGAACGACAATGGAGTGTCGGAGAAGGTCTGGCTCGTATCTGTGCCAGCAGCGCCCGGCCACTGACCCGCCTGGTGCTGCTGCGCATAGATGGGGGCTCCTGCGAGCTGGTTGATGTCCTCGACACTCGCGTTGGCGCTGTCCTGCGCTGACGAATGCATCGATCCTCCATAGTGCGACTCGTCGTTCAGCGCTTCGACGCTGTTGCCTGTGCTGTGCTGCCGCCGCGCCGCCTCAGGACGAGTCATTGTCGCTGCTGCTGCTGCTGCTGCTGATGTCGTCGAGTGAATGCTGCTTCCTATGACGCGGGCGGAGGCAGATCGACCGAGAATCCGGTGCTGGTTGCTGATCAGCGTCGCCGTAGCAGGATGATGCAGCCCGTCATCATTCACAGCATCAGAATCGCGACCGGACGACGCCATTGCGCCAAGGGGTGCCCGCGGCCCACCAGCACCACTCGGAAGCACAACAGATGGCGTCCCTGCTGCGGCGACATCCAAGCGAGCGGCGGTGAACGGCGACGGCGACGGCGACGGTGACTGCGGTGGCGAAGAGGCGACTAGAGGTGTTGCGGGTTTGGTGCCGGTGAAGGATGTGCGCTCGGACGACGAGCCAGACCCAGCCGCAGTCGCTTCGTCAGCGTGTAGCTGGGGCGCCTGCGGTTGAGACTGAAGCGGGTGGCCGAGCTGCTGCGTTGGTGGGCGCTGGGCAGCAGCGGCAGCGGCAGCAGCAGCAGCAAACGCCGCTGCGAATGGCGCCGACGCGCTCGTTGTTGTCGAACCGTTTGCCGAGGCAGCAGCAACCGACGTGGCAGGCGCCTTTGTTGCTGACGGTGCTTGCAGTATTGTTGGAGATGTGGGTGTGGATGCTGGCGACGCGACGACCATACTTGAAGTCGGTTGCGGGCTGCTGCTGTTGTTGTTGTTGTTGTTGCTATTGCGGGTCTCAGCACTGCCAAGCAGGACTTGTGCAAATCCGCCCATGGAGCTGTAGCTGTTGCTGCCGCTGCTATTACTCGAGCTCATGGATGACGAACGCCCCAAAGGGATGGAAAGCGAGCGAGCGAGCGAGAGTGTGAGAGAGTGAAAAGCGAATCGAATGAAAAGGAAACAAAAATACACAACGAAACGAAATCTGAGAACGATCAAAAACAAGAAAAATGAAGACTGCTGTGTTGTAGTGCAAAGGACGATGGCGTTGCGATCTGACAATGAGTTGCTTGCATGTGTCGATGCCGAAGAAGGAGACTCGGAATCAAATGAAAGTAAAACAGTGTAAAGTGTGCAGTTCTCAGTTGGTTTGAGGCTTTGATGCAGTCCCAAAAGTGATGATGCAGGAAATCGGAGACTTGTAATTTTGTAACGTGCTCAGAATCCACGAATGCGTTTGTCTGCGGACCATTTTTAGCCTGGGAGGTCGCAGAGAACAAATGATGAGCCGCCACTCATTCTCCCAATTCTCAACTTCTGCAACCCTGCAAACACACAAAAGACACCCTTCTGATGACAATTGCTGACGGATTTCAATGCCGACAAACCCCTCATCCAAAAGCAAAAAAACAAAAAACATTCAACAGCCGATCTGTTTGTTTCGGCTTCTGCTTTCCCGAAAATGGATGTTGCCACGACTCCACAAAAACTCAGTTCTCCTTTTCGCTTGCTCTCTCTTTCTCTCTTTCTCTCTCTCTCTCTGTTTTCACAACCACACACAACCTGCAATGGCTGAAGCACGCTCTGCTGTGGCTGTTGTTCCGCCTCGTCTGGGTGTCACCCTCAGTGAGGACGGCAGCCTGCACGTCCACTGGGAGAAAGACGCCATCGCGCTGCTCCTAAAAGCCGTTCGCAAGGCAGCTGTTCGCCGGTAACCCCATTCACGCCCTCTCTTTCTCTCGCTCGCTTCATCACAGTTGCTCAGCTTGTTCTTCCTTACATACACTCACACACTCACACTCACACGCAACACTCACTCGCACACGCACATGATCACTGTGGGAGGGTGGATTTTCGGGTGTTTGTGCCGGTGGCTTGCGCTCTCTCTCTCTTTCTCTCTCTCTCTCTCTCCCGCACCCTTTCCCCTCAGCACCTCGTCTTTGCACACTTCTCTCAAGCAATGCCCCCAGCAGCACGCACACTCTGGTTTGCAAGCAACGGCAACGCGACGATGACGTTCTAATAACATTAACCCACAAGTTTTCGACCCGTCGGCAAAAGGCAAAAAGCGAAATAGCCGATCGGCTCATTGTTTTTTGCTTCAGTCAATCAGTGCCCTCCTTCCATTGCATTGCATTGGAAACACGACCACGTCATCTCACTGTTGTTCACTTGGAAAAAAAACCCCCAAACCACTACTCGCTTGCGTCAGGTACTTTCGCGTGAGCAATGCCATTGTGAATGGCGTCTGGCCCGCCTCCCCCGCGTCCCTCGCAGTCATGCTCTCGGTCTTTGCCGCCATCATGCTCGCAGACGGCACTGCCAGCGAAGAGTCCAATCTGTACTTTGTGCGCTCCAAGCTGGACTGGATTAACGATCATCTCTGGTGGTACGTGTTGCATCGTGTGTTGCGACAGGTTGTTGATCGTCTGAGTTTTGTTTGTTTGTTTGTTTGTTTGTTTGCCTGACTTGCGTGTTTTATCGTTGTTTCTCTTCTTTTGTTGCTTTTTTCGATTCTCTTGTCTTGACCGATGCTTGCCAGGGCGGAATGGGCGCCGACACTCTTCCGCGTTCTCATCGTTTCGTCCATCGGCGCGGTGCTCTTCTTCCTGCTGACTTCGATTGTTCGTCGATACCTCTTGCGCACGGCGCTGTCATGGAAGGGCTGGATGTACCAAGAGCCGGGCAAGCGCTCGCATGCCGTGACTGCATGGGGCTTGATTGTTCAGGTGCTCAGCTTCTCGCTCAAAAAACCGCTCATGTACAGCTACCAGAATGCCCTGCCCCGGCAATCGGTTCCTGCGTTGAAAGACACTGTGGCTCGCTACCTGAAAACGGTCGAACCTCTTTTGTCATCCGAGGAGTTTGCCTCAGTCAAGAAGAACGCTCAAGACTTTGTCAACACCACTGGCCCTGCGTTCCAACGTCTGCTGCTTCTCAAGTCCTGGATGGCTGACAACTATGTATGAGTTTTTCTTTTGAATTGTTCGTTTTGACGGTTGGCCCAAAGAATGAGACCATTTGCCTTCGATCTCTGCATGTATCTCACCTTCAAGGAGTTTTGCTCCTTGGTCATGCTGACAGGTGACTGACTGGTGGGAAAAGTACGTCTATCTCCGCGGCCGCTCGAGCATCATGATCAACAGCAACTTTTACGTGCTGGACTCAAACAATTGGTCGCCTACCACGATTCAAGCGTCCCGTGCCGGACAGCTCACTTACCAGCTCTGCCAGTTCCGTCAGCTCTGGGAGCGCGAACAGCTTCAACCGTTGGTCATCCGCGACACAGTCCCGCTCTGCATGTGGCAGTACGAGCGCATTTTCTCGACCAGCCGCATTCCGTACGTTTTGGGCAAGCTGTTTTGGGCATTGCGCTCGTTTTGTTTTTCTTTGAGTTCTGACCCCATCTACGCGACTTTTACAAATAGTGGCAAGGAATTCGACGAGATTGTGCACTATGACAAGCACGAAAGTCGCCACATTATTGTGCAATGCCGCAACATCTTTTACGACGTCTCGCTCTTCCACACTGACGGCAGCCCGTTCACTGCGGCCGATTTCGAAAAGTACGGTATCAAGTTTGACTGTTGTTTGAGATGCATCATTGTCTCGAGAGCGAGCCGATTGCTCATTCCCTGCCCGTTTGTTTTGTGTTTTCACCTCGACGCCACAACACTCATTCACCCCCCCCTCCGCCAACAGCCAGTACGAATGGATCCTTCGTGACGCTGCCCAATCGCCCGCGCCTGCTCAGGGCGCTGATCGCCTTGCGGCGCTGACGGCCGACAACCGCGGCATTTGGCACGACGCTCGCCTCAACCACTTCAGCGCTGGCATCAACCGCGTCTCTCTTGCACGCATTGACAAGGCAGCCTTCTTTGTCAACCTCGACGAAGGCGCGCCGGCTCTTGGCGAAGCAGGCGCGTCCGATCAAGGTCGCGCGCTCTTGCATGGCAACGGTCGCAACCGCTGGTTTGACAAGTCCTTCACCCTTGTCGTGTTCTCGAACGGCAAGGCTGGCCTCAACACGGAGCACTCGTGGGCCGACGCACCCGTCATTGGACACATGTGGGAATGGGCCGGCACTGCCGAAACCATGGCCGGCAGCTACCTGACCTCGGGCGCAGTCGACATCCAAGCTGCTGACATTCGCCGCGCTGGCGCGATTGGCGACCTCCCTTCCGATTCCAGCATCAAGGCTGCCCGCGTCAAGGAGCAGTTGAGCATTCATCTGAGCGCGCAACGCCCGCAAAAGCTCCAGTTCCAGTTCAGCCAAGCGGCCGTGCAGCTCCTTGACGAGTCCTTGGTTCGCGCGCAGGCAATGATCAGCGACTTTGACTTGAAGATTCTCTACTTTAAAGAGTTTGGCAAGTCCACCATCAAGAAGGCCCGCGTGTCCCCTGACGCCTTCATCCAGCTAGCGCTGCAGCTCGCGTACTTTAAAAACCAGGGCAAGTTCACCCAGACGTACGAGTCTTCCATGACCCGCCTCTACCTCAAAGGCCGTACCGAGACAGTCCGTCCCGTCACCGACATGACCTGTGCCTTTGTCCGGGCCATGGTCGACAAGGACGGCAAGGTGCGACAGTTTGGAGTTGGCGTTTGGAGTGTTTTTTTTTTTTTTTTGGTTGTGTGTTTGGGATGATCACTGACAAATTTTGGGCACTGATTGCACAAATTGCAGAAGGAAGAACGCGTGCGTTTGCTGCAGAAGGCGGGAGACTTGCACCAGCAGGCGTACCGTGACGCAATGTGCGGCAAGGGTGTCGACCGCCACTTGTTTGCGCTGTACCTGGTCTCCATCTACAAGCAGCAGGAGTCCAAGTTCCTTTCGGACGCCCTGTCCGTTCCGTGGCGCTTGTCGACGAGCCAAGTAAGCTTCTGCTTAATGGTTTGTTGCACCTCCGAACAAATGACTCACGCAACTCTTGTCGGATGAATTTGATCGCTTGCAGCAACCGCAACAGCAGACCGACCGTTGGGATCCCAACGCCCCCGATTCGTGGGACCGTGTTTGCGCCGGCGGTGGCTTTGGACCCGTGGCAGATGATGGGTAATGCTGTGGTTTGATGAATCTGTGTTGCGGGACGGTCATTCTCACTTGTCATGTCATTCCCGCATCGATTTCATCCGACAGCTATGGCGTTTCTTACATGGTCGCTGGCGAGAAGCGGGTATGTACTCTGTGATTTGTACTGAGAGCCTTTTGTTTGTTGTTGGTGCGTTCGACAAGGATTCTAACAGTGTTTTCCTTTGTTTGCATGACTCAGCTCTTCTTCCACGTGTCCTGCAAGCGCTCCTCTTCCAACACGGATGCCACCGAGTTTGCTCGTTTGATTTCGGAGAGCTTGATGGAGATGCGCGACCTCTTTGTCTGAGCAACACAATCCTGGTTTTATTCCAATCAATACAGTACCTTTGTTCATGCCTTGCATTGAATCTTCTACTGCTCCCTTTCTTGTGTTTGATGAATGCGATGTAGAGCAACTCTCTCATTCTCAGTCCGGTCCACTCTTACAAATGCTTTGCCACTTGGCTGCCGTTTCTGCTCGCTGGACTGCCATTGCTCGCCTTCCATTGCTGCCTGCCGCCCGCTTCCAAGGCATCGCCACCACCGCCACTGCCAACGCCACTAACAACAACAACAGCAACAGCTACAACACTACTACTAGCAAAACCCCACAGCAACAACAGCAGCAGCAGCAAGCCCGCGACTTGTATCGCTACCTCGTTCGCCTCGTTCGCCAGCTCGAGGACGACGACACGCGCGATCACTACCTCCAGACCGTGCAAGCTGTAAGATGAAGCAGAGTTCTTAAGGGGAGGTCTGGGTCTTGCTATTGGGGGGAGGTCTGCCTCACATTGACTTGGTTCTTAACGCTTTTGCCCTCTGATCAGTCGTTCAGCGGACACAAGGACGAGAGCGATCCAGTGCGCATCCGCCAGATCATTGCTCAAGCACGCAAAGACGCGCAGTTTTACATTAAGAAGGTTTGAGTTTTTGCAGTCTTGGCTCAGGGGAGGCTCAAATCCATTGAAACAAAGCCTCACTGTTGAACTTGGTTCTCGCTTTTTTAGTACAACCTGGAAGACCCAGACGCCAACCTTCCCAAGAAGCACTAAGCAACTTTTCCAAGTTGCTTCTCAGTATTTCCAAATCCCAAACTCAATATCCCTTCAGTCCTTAATTTTTTCCCGTTCGTTGAATGAGTGCTTTGCGCCATTCACCGCGACGCGTCCCCACTCTGCCGATTGACTCGAGCTCGACCGATTCAACGACTACATCCGCAACAACAACATCATCATCCACAGCATCTAAACAAACCCAACAAGCATCTTTGGCTGCAACGCGTGCTAGCGTCAAGAGAACCGCCGCGCAGGCATTGCCAGCAATTACTCGCAAAGCAGGGCGCTCAACCTACCGTCAAGCTTCGCCTGGCAACGGTCGAAACCGTCAGTCCAGTGAGAAAAACGACGACGACAATCACGAGGACGAGGAGCCCGAGGACGACGACAACGACGACGACGACGACGACGACGACGCTTCAGAGCCAAGCGACGACTCCGCAGACGCATCAACTCACTCTTCGGCCAAAAAGAAGCCCTCCTCCAAGATGAAGCTCGTATCGGCTGCTGCGCGTCTTGCGAAGGGCGGCGCTGCTTCTGCTGCTGCTGCCGCATCATCCGGGAAGCACACTTGGCCAGCATTCACGACCAGCTTTACCCACAGTTCGCCATCGCCTCTCACGACCAAGCTTTCGTACGTCGATACTGCGTCTGCCATCAACACCCCGCACTACACACACGCTGCTGTGCTGCCAACCATCCCACCTCAGGAACAGCGGTTTGCGCAATCTGTGGTTGACATTGTGCGCGCACACTACACGCGCGGAGCGAATGCTGCCGAGGCAGCCCACATGCGCAAGTACATGCGTAGCTTGTTCCACTACTTTGGCTTGAAATCGCCCCAACGCACGGCCCTCAGCTCCGCCATTCTCACCGAGCTGGCAGAAAAGGCCATCCATCCGGCCTCGTTCGACGCCTCCGCCGCAACGATTCGACTCTTGTTTGCCCAGCCCGAGCGCGAATGCCACTACTTTGCCATGAACTTCCTGCAGCATTTTGTTGTCCAGCCCCACGTCAAGCTCCTGCGCTCGAAAAAGACTTCTGCATCCGCGAACAAGGACACCAAGGACCCGACACCGGCAGTCGCGACGACGGGCTTGGACATTCTCAACTTTACGAAAGAGATTGCCCAGCTGCATGCTTGGTGGGACACGATCGACGGCCTTTCCACCACAGTCGTCGGAGAAGTGGTGATGGCAAACCGCGACGAGCTCGAGCCGGTCATGCGCGCCTGGATTGCCGACGACTGCTTGTGGGTTCGTCGCATGGCGCTTCTGCACCAGCTGCAGTACAAGGAGAAGACCAACGAGGACTTGCTGTTCACCTTCGTCCTCGCGCGACACGACGAAACGGACTTTTTCATCCAGAAGGCCATGGGTTGGGCGCTTCGGCAGCATGCACGCGTTCGTCCGTCCGTTGTTCGCGCATTTGTTCGCAACTTTCGCCACGTCCTGCCTCGTCTGACTCAAAAGGAGGCCATGAAGCATTTGTAGTTGCTCCTGTAACATAATAAACACCCAACTGTGAATCTCAGCTTCCAAATTGGAAGATTTGCCGCAGTCACGATTTTCTTGCTCGCATGAGTGCTGAGGTGTCTGGCAGTCACCCATCGCCACTAGTCATCATTGTGATGGGCGTGAGCGCATGTGGCAAATCGACCGTGGCTCAAGCGCTGGCGGACGGATGGAGTGCGAGCAGTGCATCAGGACGAGAAATCCGCCAGACCGGCGCGGCAAGACTGCTCGACGCAGACGACCTGCACCCGCCCTCCAACAAGGCCAAGATGGGCGCGGGCATTCCGCTCTCCGACCGTGACCGGGCGCCATGGCTGGCGGCCCTCCGAGCCAAGATCCTGGAGCACGTCACCGAGCAGCGATTTCGCAGCCAAGCCAATCCCAGCAGCGTCCATTCGTCCGACCAGACTAGCGCTGATAATAATGCTAACATCATCCATGATGATAGTCATAACGAGAGCAATGACAGTGATGCTGCCAAGGCGCCTGAAACGCTGATTCTGGCTTGCTCGGCGCTTCGGCAATTGTACCGCAAAGTGCTCGCTGAGGGTCCTGACGCGCATACGGGTGCATCCACGGCGCCAAGCATAGCGTTCGTCCATTTACAAGCTCCATTCGAGGTGTTTGACGCGCGGATTCGTGATCGCACTGGTCACTTTATGCCTGCCTCGTTGCTGCAATCGCAATTTGCGCTGCTGGAAGATCCAACGCTCGATTCGCCACGCGAGTATCAGGTGCTGGCGGTTGATGCTCGTCAATCTCTCGACACTATTCAAATTTTTGTGATGGCCTGACAATACCCCCATAGTTTACACATAATCTAGTTGGTACAATGTAGAATTACACAACTCCCAGGTTGCCATGCACAAATCACCAAATGTTACGCTATTGCTTAAAGTTGATCGAGTACGATCCACTGGTCGGGTCTTGCACCATCTGGAAGTTGTCCGTGGACAGACCAAACTTTCCAAGTACCATGTTGCCGAGAGATTTGAGCTTGCCTGATCGGGTCAAGGAAAAAAACCCCAAACAAACAAAAGCGAAGGTCAAGGAACGACGTGAGAAATGAAACGGCGAATCGAATCCCCCGTCTCCTTCACTCTTTTTTTCACCATCACTTTGCATACCAAGCATTTCGTCCTTGAGCTTTTCATTTCGTTCTCGGATTTGGTCAGGAAGTCGCTTGACAGCCCGCTTTGCGGCCGCGTCGTTCGGATCCAGTTTCAAGAGCGCCTCGTAATCTAACAAGCGTAGCGATCAGAAGCAGCTAGTTTGTGAATACAACGAGCTTCTGGCAGAAGAAAGAACAAATATTCTAGGAGGCTGGCGTTCGAACATACCGCGAAGCGCCTCGTCTAAATGTTCCAGCGCTTCGTTCGCAACCGCACGCCTAGTCAGTGCTTTGCCGTATTCGGGATTGATTCGCAATGCTGTTAAAGATACAAAGTGATGACAGCACGAGGAGGGAATGAGACCCAGGCAAGAGAAATACCCGCTGTCAAACAAAGACCATAACGCTGTTGTTGATTTGCCTACCGTCATCGCAGTCTTCAACTACCAGTGCATGATTGTTCTGCCAAAAGCAACACCCACGAATTCAGCTGCGAGATTGAAACCTGCACCATCACCACCATGGACACGGCACACGTACCAGCTTGGAATAGCATGCCGCACGGTTTGAGAAGAAAATGGCCGCTTCAACGTCGCCCGCGCTTGCTGCAATGTCCAAGGCCTCCGTGTAATCGGTGATGGCTGCACCAAATGCATCCATGAACCGTGAGATCCATGTATCAATGCGTAACTGGCTCGGTTGACTTTGTTTACCTTCATTGTATCGGCCAGCGCCAAAGTGAGCGTTTCCGGACTGTCGCAGTTCTTTCAAGCGTGCCTACTCCCCGCCAAATCACCCAGTCAATACCAACAAGTTCCACTTTGGTGATGATGCGTCGAGCGTTGTTCTTTCTTACTCGGTCATCGTCAGTGAGTTCGCGCGCAATTGGCGGGATTTCAGCCTCCGTTTCGACGTTCTCAACGTTCTCGGCGTTCTCGACGCTGTCCGCGGTCAATGAAGCGGCCGCCTGCTCTGTCTCGGCATGGCCACCATCCTGCATTGCTGGCTGCACTGGCTCCGTGGCTGGTGCGCCTGTGCTTGGCGATGATGACTGAGCAGCAGACTCTAGGTCGTTGCCGTCGCCACGCGTCGTGCTGCTGCCGTTCGATGATGAAGCAGCAGCACTCGCAGGAGTAATAGTAGAAGTAGTAGCAGTAGTCATCTCCTCGGTCGCGGTGGGTGCAGCATCGCTTGAGACTGAGACGGTCGTCGTCGGCGTCGTCGTCGTCGTCGTGGTAGGAAGGCTCTCGGCTTGGTGCTCTGGCTGAGCGTCGTAGAAGGTCTCACCTTCGTCGTCTGACATTTGTGTTGTAAACTAAAATTCTGTATTCAAAATAAATAAAATACTGGAGTGAATCTCAAACTGGAGCGAGATTTCGCAGCGTAAGGATTTGCAATGGAAAACGTCTCCACTTCAACTCAAACTCCCACACAATTTCACACAATCAATGCGACACTCGAACGACCCACTTTCACTTGACTCGTCCCGCATCTCACACTGGAGCGAGTGGAGTGAATCGAGTTCACAGAGTGGGGATTTTCCCACTGCAAAAAGTCTCCACTCGTTCTCCAAGTTTTTTTACTTCTCACTTCCACCCAAGTGCAGTAGTGATTACTGATGGTAGTAGTAGTAGTGGTGGTGGTGGTGGTGGTGGTGGTAGCGCAATGTGTTGTTGTTGTTGTTGTCGTTGTTGTTGTTGGTGCCGACGGGTGATGAGTTGAGCGCCACCAAAATGCCCCTTCTCCCCCCTTCTCCCTCCTTCATCAACTCTTGATCACCTACAAGTCAATACACTCATTGCCTACATCTCAATCACTGCGCTTCTCCGCCTTTACTTTGTTGATCTCACTTTTATTTTTTGTTTGATTGTATTGTGTTGTATTGTATTGTATTGCCCCATCATTTTGCCACCCCCGCTCACCTGCCTGCCCGCCCTGCCTCACCCTTGTCCAAGCCCCCCCCCCAACACCCACTCCTCCGCCTCCGTGCTCTCCTACTTGTCCGCTTTTCCTTCCTTCCCTTCATCCCTGCCACCAGCCGTCCCAGTGTACAGTGTGTGTGAGGTTCGTTCTGTTCTGTGTCTTTGCTGATTGGCATTCTTTTCCCCTTGTTAGATCAACGACCCAAGAACAGAGACGTACACACACACACACGCCGCGGAGGTCAGGAAACTTGCAAGACGACAAGCACTACAAAAGCACAAGACTACGACCGCCAAAAGGCCCGCAAAGCTCGCTTCATTACAGCTGACTGACGAACGGGAACAATCGCAAACCTCCGAATCGTGATGAAAATGCGGTGCGAGACCACCACCACCACCGCAGCAAGAGGTGCACTCGCAGGGGCACCCGCAGCGACGACGCGGCTGCAGCGTCGACTGGGACTGATGGTGGTTCTGCTTGTCGCAAAGGTCGCTTGCATCGGGTGGCTCGCGGCAAGCAGCGCGGTGCTGGGTGCAGACGCTGCCAACGCTTGCACTGTTTGCACCTGCGATACCCAGCAAGTCTACGCATGCTCAACCGCAATCACCACCGTTCCAACAAACTTCCCAACCACAGCGCAGTTCATGTAAATTTCGATTCGTCGCTGGTTCGCGGGAGTTGTTTTGACATCCATTGTTCGCAGCTTCTGACGTTTTCGCGCTCTCGCTCTTTCCTTGTTCTCGTCCCTGGCAGCGATCTGAGTGGCTGCAAGATTACGACGGCAAGATTACGACGATAGGACCAAGCGCATTCTCTGGTCTCAATGCTCTGACTGTACTGTAAGCCTGTCGATCTTTCCGAGTTTGTTGGACGTCCGGACTCTGATGCGCTTGCGTCGGTTTGCGTTCCAGGTATCTCAATGAGAATCCAATCCAAGTGCTGTCCCCGACTGCTTTCAACAACTTGCCAAGCCTCCAAACTTTGTACGTATTCAACCCGCTTTGGATGGACTTTTCACCGACAGTTGATTTGGTGTCTGACCTGTTTGTTGTTTGTCAACAGGATTCTGGCCAGCACTCCGTTCTTAAGCGTTCCTGCTGCAGTTTCGTCCATATCCACTCTCAAAGCTCTGTAAGGAACGCTTTTGGGTTTTGAACGCTCCTTCGGCTTGGCACTGTGTTGTGATCATCTAGGAGGTGGTACTCACCTCCCTCCCCTGTCGCAGGTATTTATCGAGCACAAATATTACAACCCTCTCGGCGAACGCATTCTCAGGTCTATCCTCGCTTGAACAATTGTAACGAGGACAAACAGATTGCAGACCATTGCGATGCGCCTCCTTGAGTGCTACTCACAGTCCCTTCTTCGACCACGCCTACAGATGGCTGCCTTCGACTCAAATTAGTATCATTGCTCCTGGAGCCTTCACCGGCCTCAACTCGTTGACCTACTTGTACGGCATGTCTCGATGATTCGTCTTTGCTTTCATTTGAGCATCCACCTGCCACGTTTCTCATTTCGCCCCATGCATTTTGACCTGTTCTTTTTCTCTCTCGTCTACATTGTTCGGCTCAACAGAAACTTTGACGGTGGGAACTTGAGAAGCTTGCCGCCAAATGTCTTTGCAGGGTTGGGGTCTCTCCAGCGCATGTAAGTTTTGCGCTCGAAGCGTCTGCTTGCAAATGTCCTCCTTACTTTGCTGTTGACTCGCGTAGTGAGGCGTCTTCCAACAGCATGCTGACCTCCATCTCTCCCGGTGCGTTTTCCGGGCTCTCGACTCTCGTGTCGATGTAAGCACATCATCATTGGGATTATGGATGTTATTTCCAACCAGCCATCACTAAACCCCGACGGCTTGTATGCCACTGTTGCTCCAGCGATTGTTCCGGATCCAGTGTGACGTCCATCCCTTCCGGCGCATTTGCCGGATTGATCGCGCTCAAAACCCTGTACGACTTCAAATGATTCGAGAGATTCATTGGTTGAACTGCTGAGACACGGCTCATTGACTTGCATCCCATGGCAGCCTGATGCCCAACAGTGACATTACAAGCATTGCAGCCGGAGCTTTCTCAGATCTTGCCTCCATTACCGTCATGTAAGCACTATATTTGTTTGCGACATCTCATCTCCTCCTCCCTCGCTGACGCGTGCTTTGGTGTGCTTGTGACTGCAACAGCTCGCTCAATAACAACGCTCTCACAACCCTCCCTCCGGGGCTGTTCAAAGGGCTGACGAATCTCTGGTCGTTCCAGGCCACCAACAATCCCTTTGCGAATGGTGTACCGCCTCCGAGTACTCGTGGAACAGCCGCCAACCCATACGGTGAGTGTCCGCCTGTCGTCTTCGTGTTGCTTGTGTATAGGCTGTGGGTCACTAATGCCTCACTGAATGTTTCACAGCCTGCCACCCGAATTGCTCAACTTGCTTTTTTGATGGTGCCGCATACTGCTGTCCCCCCAACTGCTTGAGATGCACCACCGCGACTACTTGCTCTACATGTTATGATGGTTTCCTGCTCCAAGGCGATACTTGCACCATTGGTCCAGCAGCGGCCTCTGCGTCCGCCGCATCGGCTTTGTCAAACTCGGCTGCCTCAGCGTCTGCTGCTTCTGCCGCCTCAGCCTCCACTGCATCGCTTGCACCCGCCATCTCCACATCCGTCGCATCGCTGGCTTCCCGTTTAGCGGGTGCGTCAGCGTCTGCTGCCTCTTCCGCTTCCGCCTCCGCTGCATCTGTCGCCCTCGCCATCTCTACATCCGTTGCGTCCTACGCTTCCCATCTAGTGGCTGCATCTGCGTCTGCTGCTTCCACCGCTTCAGCCTCCGCCGCAGTTCTTGCCTCCGCCATCTCTGCATCCGTCGCATCTCAAGCTTCCAGTCTGGTGGCTGCGTCGGCATCCGCGGCCTCTACTGCTTCAGCCTCCGCCGGAATTCTTGCCTCCGCTGCTTCTACAGCTTCAGCATCCCTCGCATCCGTCGCATCCGTCGCGTCCGTCGCAACGACCGCATCCGCATCCGTGGCATCCACGGCATCCGCCTCCGCCGCATCTGCAGAGTTTGTTCGATCAACCAGCGCAGTTGTTGCCGAGTCAGCCGCCTCCCTAAGCTCATTGTCTGCGGCCTCCGTTGGAGCCGCTACTAGCGGACTGAGGGCAGCTTCAGGCAGCGGCGGCTCTGTCGCCGGTGTTGTTGGAGGCGTCGCAGGAGGAATCGTCGTGGTGGCGCTGCTTGTTGCGTTGCTCGTGCTTCGCCGACGCCGCCAGCGTCAGCGCCACAACTTGGAATCGGCGAGCAAGACCAGTGTGCCGTTAGTGCCAATGCAGAGCGTCCAGCTCTCCCCGGCCTCATCAGGCGTCATGGAGGAGCCAACGTACGCCACCGCCAAATTGCCCCACGCAGCTGCTGCGGCCGATCCAACCTATGCTGCGGTTGGTCAGGTTGGCTACAGCACTCCAGAGTATGCGTACGCGGCATCCGAGCGAATCTACAGCTCGGCTGCACCGGTGACCCGATCGCTGCGTGACGGTATTCTGATGGGAGCGAAACTCGGCTCGGGTGCCTTTGGCGTGGTTTTGCGCGGTCAGCTGCCCAGAAACCTGGTGCCAGCCGATGCCCAATACCTGCTGACGAGCCCGACTCAGCAGTACCTCGATGTCGCCGTCAAGAAAATGCTCCCGGACGCCACCGACAAGGATCGCAAAGAATTTATCGAGGAAGTCCGCATGGTGACGCAGTTCAGCAATCCCAATGTCGTTCGTGCCATTGCCGCCCTGCTCGAGGCAGAGCCGTTCATGTGCGTGTTGGAGCTGATGCCGTATGGCGATTTGCGTGCCGTGCTGCAAAAATCCCAGCTTCGCAATATCGAGTGGTCTGTGGGTGAGTTTGCGCATGCCCTTGCGCAAGTGGCGTCCGGCCTGGACTATCTGCAGTCCATTCGGTTTGTGCACCGCGACATTGCGGCGCGCAACTGTCTCGTGGGAGCTGGCCTGGCGGTCAAAATTTCAGATTTTGGTCTTTCGCGCTCGCTGGCCGCTGAAAGCGATTACTATCGCATGCAGACGAAAGGCCGGCTTCCAATCAAGGTGAGCCCTCAAGTGGTTGCGAATGGTGGACAGTGCAACACAAGTGTATCTTGAAACTAACATACGACTCTTTTAACTTTGACAGTGGATGGCCCCTGAGTGTTTACTCTTCCGCAAGTTTACGCATCAAAGTGATGTGTGGGCGTTTGGCATTTTGGCTTGTAAGTGACAGAGGGGACCAGCAGGGTTTGGGGAAAGCGCTGCTGTTTTCGCGGTTTTTGATTGACCCGGATTCGTTCTTCACCTTGCAGGGGAAGTTTATGCATACGGCGCCTCGCCTTATGGCAAAACAATTGGCCCAGAGATACTTGCCGCGATCGAATCTGGACGCAGGCTCGAACAGCCTGACGCTTGTCCTGTTGCGACGTTCGAGCAAATCTATCGCTGCTGGGAGCGAGACCCGGATGCTCGTCCTTCGTTCCATCATCTTTGCTCCTTCTTTACTGCTTCGGCCTCCGGCCACTCTATTCGAGATATTGGTGCGTTGATCAGAGGGTAACAGCATCAGAGTTGTGATTTTGCTCGGCGCAACGAAAACGCCGAGTGTGCGTTTCTGTCGTTCCCGTGCTCCATGAAACAAAGCTACATGTATTATTAAAGCATGCTTATTCAGTGCAGTACACTGACACTCCATCACCACCACCACCACACAAAAGCTGAATTTGATGATGCACAATCAATTTTTCTGTTCCGAAGAAACCTCACTCACTTGAACAACTTCCTCGCTCACTTGAACAACTTCAGGCTCGGACAGTTCTGCCTGGCTGGTGAATTTGGATGAAGGGCCAATACCGACAAGTGACATTGACATTGGGCCTGTCGAGGCTTTGCGGAACTGTCCCCGCGGCGATTCGACCTCGTTGTGGCTCTCGTTGTGGCTCTGGCTATGGCTCGAATTGTCAAGATCGGCACCGCGAGCGTTTGCATCCGACCTTCGACGGTTGCGAGATGGCCGGAAGAACCAAAACATGGTTGTGGCAATCAGCGCAAAGACGATATCCAAGACATACTCGAAGAACACGCCACCAGGAGTTGGCAGCGGAATGACATTCGGCGGTTCCAAGCCATACTGCGAGTCCAGCCAATTGGAGAGCGAGTACGCCATGGCGAAAATGGCCAGAATCTCAATGAAAATGAGAATTAGATTCAGGCGGTGGATGCGACGCACGGCCATGCGACGTCGCCGACTTGCCATGCCTTCCTCTTTCTTTTCTTCAGGGTCGGCCGCACTTGGTGGCACCGTCACGCTCTCGGCGTCTTTTGAGGTATAGACACCCGTGCGGTCTTGTCCATATCGCCGCTGGGCGTCCATGAGGACTCGGTGGATCAAGAAGCACGAGCAAATTTCGCCGCTCATCCAAACTCCCAAAATAATGAGCGAAAAGACATAGTGCATGCACTTGCCGATATAGAAAGGGTGGTGGACGAACGCAATGAGGGTGGCCAAGGGCTGCAACGTCCATACGAAGATGAGGGAGGCTCGGAAGGCATACTTGGCAGCGCGAGCAAACTTTTGGGAACGTGTCAAGACGACCCGGCAGAGAAATAGCGCCCACGAGTAGACGACGTTGAGCCAAATGGAGAAGACGATGCATCCACCAATATCGTAGAGAAGCAAGCCGAACCAGAACGGGTAGGTTGCGGCCCATCCATTGCCATCCACGCATCGGACCACGCTCAGAATGCTCAACAGGGTTGAGAGGTGCACGAGCCTGTGATCACCAGAGAACTGGAATCCATCCTTGCGAACCATGCTGAGTGAGATGAACAGGCCAACGGTGGACAGAATGCCAAAGACGCTGAGCGAGACTGCTTCACACGCCGTCCAAATCCCGCCGAGCTCGTCGGCGAATGTCAAGGTGCAGTTCGCGCCCGAGTAAGGGTATGTGCAGTTCACATTCGGCGCTTGCTCTGACATGGTGGTTGTTTGTTTTTTGCTTTTCTTCTTCTTGTGGTCTGTTCGTCTTGATCTGAGGTTGGAACAAAAAGCCAGATAGATGGAAGCGGAACAAGTGAATAGAAAACAAAACAAAACAAGACAAAAAAAAAAAAAATAGCGAAACAAAAATATAAAAAACAATCGCTGGAAATGGAAAACTCGACCGTCCTGTCGCAACACGACAAAACAAAAAACAACAACAAAAAACCCACAAGTACAGGATGCAGAGAAGCGGGGGAAAAGGGCGTTGGCGATCGCTGTGTCGAGGATCTTGCTGCTCGATGGAGAGAATGTAGTTATGCGGAGAGGGAGAACGGGGAGCGGCAGACTGGTGGGAAACAACAGAAGCGAAGGGAAAAAAGAAAAAAAAAAAGCAAAAAAAAGAAAAAGCGAAACGCAAGAGTTGGTTGGCTGGCTGTGCGTTTGATCGATCGAGAGAGCAACGAACCGACACGAGAGCACACTGTGCGTTTGATCGATCGAGAGAGCAACGAACCGACACGAGAGCACACGTGTGTGTGAGAGTGTGTGTGTGTGTGTGTGTGTGTGTGTGTGTGTGGGTGCGGAAGAAGAGCAAGCGAGCAATCAGACGCAAAGCGAAGGTAAGTGGAAGCATGTTGTTGATCGTGACACAAACCAACCACAGAAAGCGAAAACAACAACAACACAAAAACAAAAGGAACGAGACTCACCAACCGCAAAGAAAAAAAGACTGAAACTGTTATGATCAGAGCAAATGAAAAGAGTAAAAAAAGCCACTGCGGAAGAAATTGGAGGAGGGAACGATCAAAAAGGGAACTTTTGCGAGGAAGCGAAGAAGCGACAAGCAGAAAACGAGTGTGAACTCGCCATGTGGCGTGAGGGAATTCTCCTTTGAATGCAAACAACCCGAGCTGCAGTTTTCCCACTCATGTGGGTTCATGACAACGAGCAGCTTGACAATAAGGAGAGTGTCCGAAGCGCTTTCTGTCTTGCACTAGTATGATACGTTTTGTTGCAGCAAAGCTCATCAAGTCAAGCAGAGCAGGTGGTGGAGTCGAAAGAAACAACGGGGCACATGTAACTGGCTTGAAAATTCGCAATGGAACAAGAAGTAGAACAAACACACTGCAAAATGCAAAGCAACAACAACACCACACACACGCACAAAAACCCACACACAAACAAATACACCAATTGCACCTCAGTGACTGGAGCTAGCCGCTTTCAAATAAGAGTCAAAGACGGCGCGCTTGCTTCCCTTCTCGACGGGCGGATGCATTTCAGCCCACCAGGGCGCGCGCTCGAAACAGCCGGGAGTGGTGGTCACCGTGTTGTACAAATTCTTGTACACCTCACCATCGGAGCGGCCAATGGGAGAGAACAGGATCTGATCCGGAGGCGCAACGGCATCGACGAGAGAAACCGCCTCGTCCTTGACTTGCAGGCACAGCGCCAGCACAGTCTCCTTGAGCAATTTCGCTTGCTGTCCAGTGATGAAATCGTCCTCGCGCAAAACAGCAATGTCACCCTCCAAGCGCCACAACGCGAAAAGGGCCAGCAGCTTGGAAAGCACACCCCGCAGCGACTGTCATCAGCAACAAGCACACAGCGGCAGGGTCAGCAATCCACCGACCAAAAATACAAAAAAAACAAAAAAAAAAAAAAAAAACAAAAAAAAAAAAAACCCAACACCAAAACAAAACCAGAATCTGGTCAAATCCAACGACAAATCCTGCAGCCTGTTTGTTTACCACGGTCGGGCATGACTGAATGGCAGCATCAAACTGCGCCACAATGACGGCTTCCAAGTAAGCCTTGGCCGCCGCGTGCAGATAGTGCACCTGCGTTTGATTCCACGCGGAGAACGTGTCGACATCCTTTCCACTCTCCATGATCGACTGCAGCTTGGTGCCTGCCTCTTGCAGCAAGTACGCGGTTCGATAGTGCATGGCGTGCAACAAGACCGCTGGCTTGAGCAAGTCGCCTTCGGATTCGACAGCCCACTTGGAGCCAATCAAGGTGGAAAATTGCTCCAAGAATGCCACAGACCCGAGAGGTGACTTGACAGGTTTGCCTGGTGATTACCAACGAGCCGGTCAACAAATTGCAGCACAAAGGAGCAATGGAGCCAAGTCGACTCAAACCCGCCTCACCAGTCATGACATTGCGGAGTGAAGTCATCAGGAACTTTGAAGTCTGCTGGATCAGCACATTGTTATCGCCCTCGTACGTCAAGTTGGGATCGTTGTCATCACGCAAAACACCCAGGCGGTTGCAGGTCGAGTAGCCATGTCCGCCACAGCACTCGCGGCTCTACAAGACGAAATACAAAGTTATGGCCTGGCAGACTGCCACGACAAGAATAGCAAGCATAGCTCATCAGTAGCAGGGAGATGTACCGTTTGGATGGCATCACGGGTAATCCAACCGGCAACCGCTTTGCCAGCAGATGAAAGCGCGTGCATTTCCGCGACGAGTGCCGGATCGACGGGTCCTGTAGAACGACCGGCGGGAAAGCAGCAAGACAACCAACGAGTGGACTCGAATGAGCAAAAGGCAACGCAACCACTGAGTACGACGAGTCTCAGCAAATCCAACCGCTCAATGCAGCCCCCCTCACCCGAGCGTGCGCTCTGCAACTGGGAAAAGTGGTGTCCCGAGAGCCACACGTAAAACCGGTCAAGGGCATAGCAGGCGGCAACATAAGGCATCAGTCGGTACTGTTGGAGCTGGTACTCGATGACAGGAAGCTCCTCGACATTGTCTGAGGGCGAAAACTGCTTCCGTGCAGCCGAGTACCGGACGGAAATGGCGAGGGCTGAGCGCAAGTTGGTGAGCGCCAGCCCAACGATGGACACGCGGCCGCCTGCGATCGTGAGTCAACATTGGATCGCGTGCCTTGGTTTGCGTGCCTCGGTTGCGTGCCTCGGTTGCGTTTTGAACATTCGCTCACTTACCCGACAGTGGAGCCAGAGTCGCGCCAAACAAGCGATCCGCGTTGGAAAACTGCGACACATACTCGCCTTCGGGAGTAACATCAGCGAGTCTGTTCAGCAGACTCTCGCGCGGAATGCGGTACTGGTTGAACGCGACAAATCCATTGTCCAGGCTGTTCTGCCCGAGCTTGGAGCCCAGGTCTGCATGCATAGTTCAACGTGAGCCCCGCGACACAGTGGAAGAAGGCGGGGAGTGCGTTAGACACCTACCGCCAACAGTTACGCCTGGGAAGGGCATGTGGTCCGACATGGTGCGGATGGGCACCAAGAAGGGATGCAGTCCGTGGTCCTTGTCACCAATGATCAAGCGGGCAAAGACGACCGCATAGTTGGCCGTCTGGCCGAGCAGACCCACCCACCTGTGGTGTCGACAAGTCGATACGGGGGATGATGATGATGAGCAGAGGAATGGACCGGGGAAGGGGGGTGGGGCAACCAACACTTCATGCATGCTCACCATTTCGTAGCCAGGTACGAAGGGGAATGGAGCACAAACTCACGTGTCGTCCTGTCATAGGTGGCTGTTCAGATCAAAAGGCAATCACAACATGAAAACGTTAGTTTTGGTTTCATTCCCAGTCCAGACAAACAGCATTCTGTACCCGTGGTCATCATGGCGCGCACGTTGCTGCCATGTGCAAGCTCGGTCTACAAGGATTGAGAAGGAAGAACGTCAGCCTCAGCGAAAAACGCAACAGAAAGCGGAGATTCCAAACAAACGGTCGCGTTACCAGCGCAAAGCAGCCCACAATCTCGAGCGTGGCAATCATGGGAAGATACTTGAGATGGCGTTCGGTGCCCATGTTGACCAGGCATTGCGCAAACATGCCACAAGAAAGAAACAGCTTGGGGGCCAGAGAGACATCAAACGATGTCAGCAAGTTGCTCACAATGAGAGCAATCATCGGATCCTGTTCCAGATCAGCTTCCGTCACGAATTGGTACTAGATGATTGTGACCATAGTCACGCGGGCGACATAGCGTGTGAGTCTAACTGCATGTTTTACGTTTCCGGTTTTTAGTTTCGGATTTCGTCAAGTTACCTCAATGACTCGGCGCATGAGCCGGATTGCCTGGTGGCGCGCGTCCTTCCGACTCAGTTCCAGCTCAGCAATCTTGAGTGATTGGAAGAAGCCGAAAACAAATGAGCACCAAGGACGTTCACGGACATGCTGAAACACAAATCGCTCACCGGCAAGCGAAACAGCGGGTCCTGGAGCAGTGTGGCGTACATGGCCTTCTTGAACTCGTAAAACCGACCATCCAAGTAGCGTCGCATCTAAGGTGCAACAATGATGATTGTCCTACATCAGTACAGCTGTCACTCAATTGGTGGGACGAGCGTCAAGGTATCTGTTGGGAAACGAACCGTCTCTGGTTGGAAGGACGACTTTGCGCGGTACGACGCCAGCGGTCCACCAGCAGCAGCACCCGACTGCCATGCAAGCAAGTTACACCAACACACACGCACACACATACACAACAAGCACAGAATGCCGGCATCGGAAAATGAGCAAAATTTGTTGATGCCAAGTCAAGATTGAAGTGTGCGGGATTGCTCACCTGAGCTGAGCTGGCTGCGGACTGCGCTTCGAACGTGAGATGGCGCTGTGCAGCAACAATTCGATCAACATTCAAAAATGAGTCGAGTTGCAGACGATCAAGGTCGAGTCGAGTTGCAACAACCGGTTTTGGGGTGAGCAAAAATCGCATTGAGTGAGTCGGGTTTTGCCGTTTCCGCTTCCGTTCGCCCGTCGGATTGATGACCAGTCAAGCCAGCCAGCCCAGCCAGCCAGCCCAGCCAGCAACCCACAGCACGTCGCAGTCGGTGGAACACACACGCACATACACTCTCGCTCTTTGCTCGACTCCGCCTTCGACCACGCGAGGCGCGCTTGCTCATATCCACGATCACCACAACTCTACGCAATGGACTTCGCACAATGATTGCAGACACTCGCTCCATTTTTGATGTCCAATCCGAAATGCAAGAAGAGGACTGCATAGCACTGGCATACTACTTTAACAAGCGATGAATGCATGAATAGGATGATGAGAGAGAAATTGGAACAAATTGGCTTGCTTCATTCACTCGAATCGGGCGACGACACGAACACAATCAGTCCGCTTGCACATACAGTTGCACAACACTCACACGCACAAACAACGCAAGAAAAACAAAAACAAAGCGCAAAATTACAAACACGCACATCCGCTCACTCACTGGGACATGGTGCGCCAGACGCGGAAAGCAAAGGTGCCCCAGGTGCTGCCAAGCTCGAGCCGACTCACAATGCCCGAATGCTTGGAATCCACGCGCTGCAGATACGCTTTGAGGGGCGCAATGATGCTGAGGTCCGACATGCCAAAGGCGGACAGATTGAGGCCCGAGATGGATTCGGCCACATCGTCCAGCGTGTCTTGAGGCACGCCCTGCAAGAGAGAGTGCAAGTGTGCGTAAATCAGCACCAGCATGCTCATAACCAGCTTGGGAACGTCGGCACGTTCGCTCGGCACTGCAAGGCAAATTGAGAATCATGATGAGAAACAGAGAACCATCTGCTCCAACCGATTTTACCCATTAGCTCCCAGTCGAGCACTTACGTAGCGATTGCACACCGGCTTGGTCAAGTTCTTTCTGCAGCAAGGCAAAGTCAATCCGGATGGCTCGACACGTGGAGGAGTTGAACAAGAAGCTTCCATCCTGAATGCGCGGGGAATGTTGCAAACAATTCATGAATTAACACACACATCGCACTCTCTCTCTCCTCTCCACCAGCACGATGCACTCGTCCAGACATACACTTTGCTGCAGAGCCATGAGATTGGGAGTGGGCTTGGCTTTGACCTTCTGCCATGCTGAAGTAGGCTGGGAAACCGGAGGAGGCGCTTGCGGCTCAAAGGTGAAACCCTCAAACACCTTCTTGTCGCGTGATGCCTTGCCGCTTTTGCCGTCCTCATCAGCATCGTCATCTCCGCCATATGCTCGCAGCTTCTTCTTCTTCTTTTCCTTTTCCTTTTCCTTCAGTTTCGGAGACTCGACGGTAATCGTCTCCGAAGTAAACTCCGAATCAAAGAGTGAGTAGCCCATGTCTCCATCCTCTTCCTCTTCTTCTGCTTTGGGCTGTTCCTTTTTGGCCTCGTATCGTTTCTGGGAGTCTTTCGAACTCGGGGAGTCTGACCAGTCGTCCTCCTCTGAATCGCTTGCAGAAGAGTTGTCTGCTTTTTCGATTACGCCTCGGCGAGCATTCAAGGACGATTGAAGAGACTGCATCAGGGCTTCCGGAGCTGGGCCTCGAGAGCCAGCAGCTGCTGCTGATCCACGACCACGACCAGCATGCGCACCACCACGGCCAGCAGGCGCTGCAGGCGCACTACTATTCTCCCACTCAGCCTTTCTGGCAAAACCCAAAACTCTGCCACGGGGACTTGCGTTCACTGAGCTGACGATGGAGATTTCCTGGCTTTGGAAGGCACTGGTGGCATTCGAGAACTCCTTCGAAGGTCCAACAGCGCGCGAGGCAAAGAATGCCGGGGCCGGAACAGCCCGCATCGGTGCCCGAGTCTCTTCCAGGCTTGGGCGGGAGCTTTCGTCTTGACGGGTGTCTGTGAATCGGACAGCACCGGCGGCGACCGGCGCCGGGCGGTTTTGAGCTTTGGCCTCTTCTTTCTCCTGCGCGTCCTTGACGCGGCTTTCTTTGAAGAGAAAGTCGGCTTCACTTGCCGTGCTCGCGCTCAAGGACGACTGCCTTGCGAGCCCGCCAGAGGGAGGAGCAGCTTCCCCGCGCAGAACTGGCGCTGGTGGCGCTCGTGGCGGTAGCGGTGGCGGTCGGGCTGCCGCTGGAGCTGGCGCTGGTGGCGGAGGCGGAGGCGCGGACACGGCAGAAGCAGCCAGAGAGCGACTCGAAGCGGATGCGGTTTTGCCGGAAGTAGGAGTCGGAGCAGAAGCAGGGGCAGTCGCAGGAACAGAGACTGCTTCTGCTTTCCGTCGACTTCGGTTCAAGGATCGCTCCTCTTCAAGCTGAGGCGCAGGAACTCCATCAACCATTGGCATTGTCGATCCTTCAAGCCGGTCACCCCGCATCATTGGCAATCCCCCCACCAACGAGGGTTGAGAGGGCAGTCTCCATTCAGAGTGCGTCGGTAATAAACTGGACTGCTGTTGCTGTTCCGCAACCAAAGCAGCAGAGGCAGCAGCAGCAGCAACTGCAGCGGCAGCAGCAGCAGAAGCAGCAGAAGAAGAGGCAACAGGATCAGCCACCGATTGCCGCAACAAAAGATCAATCCCGGGTCCTTTGTCGGCCTTCTTGCCCTTCTGGAGGGATGCAGTTTGAGCTTGAGGCAGTTGAGAGCTGATCGGAGCCAGTGGCTTCTTGGGCAGAGCAGGAATCTGGATGGGTGCTGGTTCGAGGCTGAAATCGGCGGGAGCTGATGCCGTGATTGGCGCCGGCGCTGCCATCCTCATCGGCGGAGCCACTGGAGCGTCGGAAACAAGGGCCTTCTCAGGAGCTGGCTTGTTGTCAGGAGCTGGCTTGGGCTTGTTCTGCGGAACCGCCACGGCAGGACGTGGAGCGGGTCGGGAAAATGGACTGGAGAGTGTCAAAATACCTCGCTTGGATCCAGCTTCATCGCCAATGTACGAGTCTTTTTGTCCCATGCCAACCATGACGCCTATGTGGCGCGGACGACCGACAAGCGTCGGGAAGACAGAAGACGGGGCGTCCTCGCCAGCCATTCCTGCCTTCACAGTCGCCATACCAACATCAACCACCAGCAGATCGAGCTTGTCCTCATCTGCATGGAGCCCCAGTTCGTTCATGGACTGAGAAATGCTCGTCGTCGTCATTGCATCAAGAAGACCAGACATGTCGGGCAGCGGGGGCGGAGCAGGGGTGTTTTGCACTTCTTCTCGTGTCAAGCCACCGAACGAAAGGGCGTCATCGTTCTCACCGCCTTCACCGTTGAGCATGGCGTCTTGACGCTGCAGGTCGTCTCGAAGCTGCTGCATGAGCAGGGTCGAGTCCTTGTACGAGTCTTCCGCCAAACAATCCAGCTCGCTGATGGCGTTGTCGAAAAACTCCTTGCGCACGGCAACCGCACCAAGACCGTCTCCTGCGTAATACTCGAGGTAGTCGGCGTACGCCACAGCAAGGCGAAGAAGACCTGGATGGGTCGGGGGCACGTCTTGCCCGAGCAGTTCGAGGGCCTCTTGGAACTTGATGGCGGCATCGGCGTAGCTCTGCGTCTTGTCAGTGTAGCATGCGTCATCGAGCAGCGCGTTGATCAGGCTGCCCATCGCAGGAAGCTCGCGCAATAATTCGCGGACGGCCGACACCATGGGCGCAACATGCTCGGACACGGACGAGTCGGAAGCAGTGCTGGTCGCGCTGGACTTGGCGGCAGCCTCGTGCGCGAGCTTGTCCACCTCCCACCCCATGTACTGCAAGCTGTCGACGTCTTCCTTTCCCACGAGCTCGGCAATCGAAGGAATCGCCGACTTGTCGATCTTGGCTTCGGATTCCTTGTCACGTTTCTCAACAGCCACAAAGCTCGTAAACTGAGTGACAATCGAGTACTTTTTGCTCAGTTGGATAATTTGGTGCTTGGAGTCGCGCTTGCGCACTTCGTGAGCAATGCGATCCGAATCCAGCGAGCCAGTGTCCCAGTCGCGGATGACTGCACGCGCGGCCAGTTGATGCAGCATGCGGCCTTTGGTCACTGCAAGGTCGTGCGTGGACACCATGGTCTCGACCTCCATGCCATCGACGCGCGCCTTGAGGGTGGCCATGCGACAGAACGGCACAAACCCGTAGACAATTTGCCGAGAGCCGTGGAAGAGCGACACAATCTGCGCTGGCGCTTGCACCTTGCCTTTGGAGAGGAGAGAGTCGCTGCCGCCAATGGTGGTCACGTCGGCAGATGCGCTGTCATCATGGACTGCCCATTCCACACGGACGTCTGTGAGAGAAGGCTGCAGCGCCTTATCCACCTGACGACCAGCGCGACGCTCCCATCCCGATTTCTGCTTGCGATCAAACACTTCGGACGCGCCGCCGCTGAGGCGGGCCACCGAGTTGATAAAGTGCCGATTGAACGCCGAGCCGACAGCGCACGTAAAAATGCGGACGGCAGGCGCAGCGGCCCGAACTGCATCCAAAACAACCGACTCTTTGGTGGCGTGGCCGTCGGTGATGAGCACCACGTTTCGCACTCGTTGCTGCTCGACCGCATGCAGAAGAGGCGTGCTGCCAGGTGGGAGCGCCACACTGCCCAAACTGCTGGTCGAGGAGGCAGAGCTTCCGCCGTCGGCAGCACTGGAAGAAGGGGCGTTCAACAAAAAGTACGCGTGGAGAGGGTGCCACAGCTCGGTGCCACCGAGCGATGGTGACAGGTTGTTAATGTACTGCCAGGCAGCCTGCACAGTGTCGCGCATCTTTGGGCGAGCGCACGGGAAGAGCTCGTCAAAGAAGGTGCCAAAGCAGACGACATTGAAGAGAGCGCCATCGGGCAGGCGCTGCAACGCAAGCAGGGCGACCTTTTTCATGTCAACAATAGCGTCAGCGTCACGCATACTGGCGGAGCAGTCAAGCATGAGGATGACTTCATGGGTGTCCAGCGTGGACACTCCCTTGCGCCCAAGCGCATCACTCGTCTCAAACTCTGGATAAAATGCCAGCATGCAGGCTTCGTGGCCCTGCTCGTCCTGCTCGACCCACATGCGCGGAACGTGGATTTGACTCATTTTGACGAGCAGGGTAAAGTCCTTGGTGAAACCAGATCCTTCACCCATCCGAACAAGCAGTGGCTGATCCAGCTCAACCGTGGCAAGCGTGGAAGTCAGCTTGCGCTTGAGCGGATGCGTGGGCGAGTACACGTCTTGGATGTCAAAGGGCATGGAGACGGAAACCTGCACAGAGAGGTCGAGCGCGCTCGTGTCATCGACGTCGATCGAGGCCACCGTCTGTTGAGTCGCGCCTGCCTTTGCGCGAAGGGCTTGGCGGCGGCTGGGGGCAACCGAGCTTGGGAGCGTAAAGACGACATCGCTGCCATCGACGCCCAGCTCTGAAATGTACGTGATCTTGATGAGGCAGGCACACGCCGGGGGTAGATTGCCAACGCTCACCGTAAACACGTCTGGCGTCTCCTCGTCCATCAGATAGGCACCATCGCCGCGCTCAACAGCCTCCTTGTACTCTTTGTGCGCTTGCTCCTTCTCCTTGACCTCACCGACAATGTGCTTGCCGTTGATGAACGCCTCAAACCCGCAAACGGCAGCTGTGTCGTCGAGCGGGAAGACGTACTTTGCTTCGATTGGATCGGCGCTGCTGTTGTAGTACTCTTGCAAGACGACGACTTGAGCCACCAAGTCCAAGATGCGAGTTCGGACATGGACAGACCTCAGGGGAACGCTGACACCGCCGGCCACAAGGCCCGGAACGACCTTGTCCATCGGATTGGTGATGTTGGCGACGTCATCGAGGGAGACGGGATTGACAGTGGCTGGTTCGCCAGGTGCTTCGAGTACGAAGGCCGGAACATTTTTGGCTGGAGCGGGGTTTGCCTCGACAGCAGCAACAACAGGGGCTGGGGATGGCGGAGCCACGGCCGGTTCATCTTTCCGCCGCTGCTGCGGCTGGCGTGTCTTGCGTGACGCGTTGGGCTTTGCTCCTTGAGGCGCAACTGCAGGAGAGGCCTCGATTGCCAATGGTCGGCCTTTGGAAAGAAGCGCTTGTCGGCGACGTTCCGCCACCTCCTCTTCGTCTTCCTCGTCCGAGTCGCCGGTCATGAACGGGGCATTCAGATCGCGAACGCGCGGGCCGGGTGACGTGGCGGCGGGAAGACCTGAGGGCGTCGTCGCAGGTCGTTTGATCGTGTCGCCAAGCACAGTGAACTCGACAAGGTACGCTCCGCGCTGACGCCGCGCGTCGTACACGGCAAACTCGTCCGCAGCAAAAGCGGCCGATCCGCCAACGCCGTGGACGCTGTGAAAGCCAGGAGGCGGAGCAGAGAGCAACGGCATGTGCACGGTCGTCTTGTACACCTCGCCCAGGGCAACGTCGCACACGAGCGCAAAGCGAGTACCAAGCGAGCCAGGGATGGCAAACCTTGTCGCGTACGAGACATCCGGCGAAAAGTAAATGCCAGCCCCTAAAAAGCCAAAGTCGGTTCGCTCGATTTGGAAGCGATCAGCGAGCGTGCGCGGTAGCATCAGACCGCGGGACAGGATGCCGACAAGATTGGCAGCACGCGCACCATGCAGCAACTGGCGCACGTTCGCATCGGCCACACCACCACCAGGCAGGTTGGCCATGAATGCCGCGCTTTCGGCACTGCGCGTACACTGAAAGACCTGACGAACAGCAAACCCAGCAGGGAGCGGCCGCGCGCCAGCGGCCTCACGGAGCAGCGTGGCAACGGCGGCATGCTCCGGGTTGTCCAGTGAGACGGGCGATATGGCGCAGCCCAGCGAGCGGTACTGCTGCTCGACGGGCGTGGAGGTTGACGAACTGAGCCAGCTGGTTTCGCTGACTGCACACACGTCGAGCAGCAGCTGGCAAAGCTCTTGTTTGTCCGTGACAGCTTGCAAACTGGTCACCGGGTTGGCAGGGCTCTTATGCGGGATGGTGGCATAAAACTCATTGGACAACGCAGACAGTCCCTTCGGCATTGGAGAAGAAGAAGAAGAAGAAGAAGCAGAAGCAGAAGTGCCGTTTGCGTTGTCACCGTTGTCGTCCATTTGAGCACCATCAGACTTGGTCTGCTTGAGTAGAATGCCTTCAATGGTGCCTAAAATGGTCAAACCCTTTTCAATCTGCGGCACAGACAATGTGCCAAGCGGCATGTCCACCGTGCGGATCAAGTGGGCATGCGCGTCTTGGAAGATGGCCGCCACCAACTGCTTGACTTCCTCTGGCAGTTGCGTGGCAGCAGCCGAGCTGGAGGCCGACTCGAGAGCATCGCGACGGCGCCGAGGCGAGCCAATCGAGGCCGACGCGATTTGGACTTTTGCAAACCCACCGCGCTGAGCCTCGGCGACAACCGCGCCAAAGAGGAGCTCGGCGAGCAGGGACTCTGTGGTGAAGCGGCAAGAAATCGTGGCTTGCTCGACAGATTCATCGACTTTGCCGCGCTGGCCATAGATGCGGAATCGCGGAGGCCTGGTGGAGGAGGTAGTGGTCGTGTCAGCCCGCGACGAGCTGGAGAGGAGGGATGATGAGGTACGGCCGCCGCTCAGCTGCTGCGACTCCAACGCGGGTGCAGCACCGGACTCTTGCGCTGCCGACACGTGCAGCTCGAACGTCGCAAACTCAGCTGCGCCGTGCTGGACGCGCTGCAGGACGATTGCTCGTGCAACCTCGTAGTGCGCAGGGTCTTCTGGGAAGCTCGGCCCTGCAGGATCGTGCCACTCGTACACACGAAAGACGGAGAGATCCAGCGAGCGGGACACTGGAACGCGCTTTGGGACAGCCGCGGCGGCAGCGGCGGCACCAGCGTGTTGGGACAATTTGGTGCCAGATTTGGGTTTGGCCGCAGACGCGGCAGCGGCACCAGCACGCGTGGTAATCTTCCCCGAGCCAAACTGACGCTCCAGCAAGCCTTTGACGAGGGTATATGGGGCTGTAGGGACGATTTGTGCCTGCTTGACGCAAGCGTGCACGAATTCGGGCGAGACAATCGGAATGCCATGTTTCAAGGCCGTCTTCACCTTGAATGCGGTTTCATTGGGCTCGACAGAGATCAAGTAGCTCGACTAAGTCATCCAAGCACGAATCACACAAGTGCAGCATTTGAGTGAGTGAGTGAGTGAGTGAGAGATGACAAAGTTGGGATTTCAGCACATCCGCTCAGAACACAAAAATTTCTCGGTTGAATGAGTGAGATTTCGAGGAATGAACTTTTCCCAGTTGTTTCGTGGGCATTGCTTCTCTGCGTTGTTTGCTCGTTGTTTGCTCGTTGTTTTGGCTGATGTGAGCAAGATTGTGAAATTTTCCGTTACAAAATTTGACTTTTTTTTTTTTTTTTTTTTTTTTTTTTTTTTTGTTTTCAAGTACCGCATTGGAAGTTGTTGACTTGTGTTGCCTCCGCGATGCACAGACGACCCGCATCAACGTGCAATGAAACGAGCCGGAATGATGAGCATCCACACGATGCAGGGAGAGTGCTCTGGCGTGCGTGTGCTGCCCAAAAAGCGGAAGGAGACGTCATTCCATGAACGAACAATACGCAACTACAATCTGACCTCGCGCGAACAGAGGAAGGAGACGGTGCCGCCGTGCTTGGTGATGGCAAGCCTGAGCTTCTGCTTGTCCTTGTACGGCATGCTGGACGGCAGGTCGATCGCCAGCTGAAGTCCAGCGAAAACACCAACCATTGCTGCAGATTATGATGTTTCGTAACTCAACAACAAACAATGGAAAACGACTGCGCAATGTAAAAGCATACAAAAATGTCATCTCTGAATGTTTTTTGTTTTTGTCAGAATGATTGACGATACAGTGCGAGTTTGTATTTGAATCAGGCGAAGAACTCTCAGTCTTTTTGATTTTTTTTTTCCATTGCAGCAACATGTCGATTCTGGCTCGGCTGGTCCCGCTCTTGATGCCTGCCGCCTCGCGCCCGGATCCCGCCAGCAAGGTTGTGGATCTGGAACGCGGCGAGACTGTGCTTGGCCGAGGACCCCTGACGAACGTAAGCGAGGGGCGAAAGCCGTTCTCAAATCTTGCAACCGTTGCAATGCTCCACTCACTCACTGGCTTCTCTTTGTCTGTCTGTCTGTCTGTCAGCTCGAAGATCGCCGACTGAGTCGCAATCACGCCAAGATCCAGATCGACCATGACGGCGCAGCGCACATCATGTCGGTACGGCATTGTAGCGCATTGAGCACTGGGCCAAAAAGGGCGCCAAACGGGATTCACTGTACTGTTTGGACAGAGAGCTGAGATTGGTTTTGAAAATTGGAACCTGAACATGGCACGCGTGATTGGTGTGACTTGTACTTTTAGACGCACAAAACGCTGTGCAGCGTGCGTCGTGCAGATGCCGCGGGCGGAGATGGCTCGGACGAGCAGTTGCCACTCCACACTTGGGTTTCGCTCAAGCACGGCGATGTGCTCTTCCTGATGCCCAACGCCTTTCCATTCCGCGTGGTCAATCTGGTGAAAGAGCAGGCCGCTGCTGCCGTCGTCAAGGACGATGACGGCACGGATGTCGAGGACGAGGACGACCTGGACGATCGTGTGCCCGCCAAATCGACGAACGCTGGCTTGAACAAGCAGCAGCCGGCTCTGGCCGTTCAGCAGTTAGATGATGATGAGGACGACAATGCAGTTGCGGCTGCTGTCGCTCGCACAAGCTCAAAGCACAAAGCTGCAGCCTCTCCGCCTCCCCAGGAATTGGAGGATTTGGACGATGACATTCCCGCAAAGCCGAAGGTTTCTCGCTCGCTGCCATGGGCCGTCGGCAGTGCGGCTGCCAAACCCAAAGCCAAGCCGCGCGCAAAGGCAAGCCTCAAGTCCATCACCGACCCAGAAGATGATGATGCTGACCAGGACGTTGTCGAGGAGGCTCCACGAAAGTCCAAAAACAAGTTTGTTGTGGATGACGATGATGATGATGAGGAAGAGGACCAACCTCCTGCCAGGCCTGTGGCCAAGGCTGCGTCCAGGGCTCCATCCAAGCCAGCAGCCAACAGCAGCAGCTCGTCTGCCTCGACAAAGTCCGGTTCAACACGAGCAGTTGTCAATGACGACGATGGGTTTGACGACGATGTCGAAGCGGCTCGGGCCGCAGCCGCTCGGAAACCAGCACCAGCGGCCCCCGTCGCTGCCCCAGCTCCTCGAGCGCGCCGTGCTTATGATGTGGAAGACGAGGAGGAGGAGGAGGAGCAAGCAGAGACAAGCCGCTCACGCAGCAAACCTGCAGCAACGTCTTCCAAACAAGTTTGCTCCTACGGCAAAGGGTGCTATCGAAAGAATGCCGCGCACCTCCAGAATTATTCTCACGGCTCCGATGACGACGAGGAAGCGACAGCTGCCAGCAGCAACAGCCGCAAGAAGCGACGAGCCGACGAGTCGTCGGACGAGGAAGCGCCACCTCAGAAAGCCTCGCGGCATGCTTCGGCACCCCGTCAGTCTGCCCCTGCATCTCGCACCACTGACACGGACGAGGACGAGCCTCCGCCAACCAAGAAGCCAAGAATGGCCGTGCACGAAAGCGACGAGGACGAATTCCCACCCAGCGTGCCCAGCACAGCGGGATCATCGACCCGGGGAGCACCGGCCTCCTCGAAGGCCGTGTCCACTTCCGACAATTCCGACGCTGACGGCGAGGCGGACGACAGGCCACCGTGCAAGTACGGCGCCAAGTGCTACCAGAAAAACAAGGCGCATCTGGCCCAGTATTCGCATCCTTCCAAATCCTGAGCTGCACACCGAGGTGTTTTTCTTGATTTTTGATTGAATGCTTGTTCGATGGATGGATGTGTGCAGTGTGCGGGGGTGGTGTTGAGGTTGAATGATTGATTGGGGCCATTTTGCCCAAAAAGAGTTGTTGGAAATGTCCACAATGCAATTGATAGCGCGTTGTTCAATTGTCAATCGTCAGCAGAAAGCGAGAGAGAGAGAGAGAGAGAGAGAGTGCGTGTGTGTGTGTTTTGCATTGATCAACGTTTGCTCACTCTCTGAATTCGAATCTTGCAACTTTTTGACAGTTCTCCTTTTCGATCAACATCCAAATGGTGAGCGTTTTGACAGCTTTTCCTTTGTTGATTGTTCTGTTTGCTGCTCTTCCGACGCTGCCCAACAACATTTCGACTTTTGCTCAAGCGTCTTCGTCGTTTGCAATCTCACGCCATCCATCTCATTCGCTGGGTGTTTGTGATCAAAGATGCCCCCCGTTTGAAAAGCCTTCAACGGAAGAAAAAAAAAATCCAAAAAATCCAAAACTCCAAACATTTTCAATTGTTTTGAACTGTATCATCGTTGCTGACCTTGTCGATCGCTGCCAACAACCCCACAGTCGGGCTCGTACCCAGGATCGTCGCCAGGAGCAAGCAGCCCGCGGTCGGCGTCGTCGCCAGGAGGCAGCAGCACCCGCAGCGGCGGAGGCAGCGCGCGCAGGACGGCCGCGCGAAATGCGAGATCGCAGTCCTCTCCAATGAACACGTCGTCTGGCGGCGGCTCACGTCGGTACCGGCGTTCGGCTGCGTCAGGCTCGTCACGAGGCACCCCGCGGTCGTCTGCGCGCTCGCTGGGCGGCGGCGGCGACGACGGAGACGAGGACGACGACTTGCCGCCGTTCACCGACGACCAGAGCGATCTCCCCAGCGACGGCGCCGAGGAGGCCGAGGAGGACATGCGTGCTGGCTTTGACGACGCAGAGCCCAACGATCTCGACGAGGACGACGAGGACGGCGAGGATTTGCTCGTCAACGCTGAAGAGTGCGTTTGAATAGTTTTGTTGGGTGGATTCGCATGCATCTCTCGACTCACTTTGGATGATGCACACAAAAACAACAACACAGCGATTACCGTCGAGTCGATGCACTTGATACATACGAACAGGCTGGTCTGTCCAGTGGCGAGTACGAGGAAATGTCGCTCGACGCGCGCCGACAAGCCGAGCGCGAGAATACTCGTCGTGAGCGTCAGCGTGCCAGGCGCGATGGTCGACTTCCGGCTGCGTTGATGGACGAGGAGTCCGACGAAGGTAACGAGGGTTTGGGGGTCTGCGGTTTGTTTTTGAGGCGAAAGCGTCCCGAGTCCCGAGTCCCGAGCTCAAATTTGTTCAAACGGTTGGCAACAGACGAGGAAGACGAATTTGGAGCTCCTCGACGACGACGTATTGCCGAGCGAGCGGCTCGTGGTGAAATTCTCAGCGAAACTGTCGAGGTACGCAATCGGATTTTCTGTTTGAGAGAGATTGAGCGCGGTTTAAACATTCAAGCTGATCTCGTTTGTTTTTTGGTTGTTGTTGTGTTGTTTGGATTCTCCCAATAACTAGGAAACACCTCCTGTGGCAAACTTGGAAGATTACAAGGGCTTCAAGCTGCGCGAGTGGGTGTCGATGCGTGGCCCGCGCGAGGAAATCAAGCGGCGCTTCCGCTTGTTCTTGACGGCAAGTGTCGACCACCGCGGCAACAACATTCACGCAGAGCGCATCCGACACATGTGCGCCATGAACGCCGAGTCGCTGGTGATTAGTTATAAGGATTTGGTGCGCGAGCAGCAGATTCTCGCCGTGTTCGTCGCCGACGCGCCGCTCGAAGTGCTCAAAATTTTCGATGAGGTGGCCCGCGACGTGGTGTTGACGTCCTTCCCGAATTACGATCGCATTCACTCCGAAATCCATGTTCGAATTGCCGAGTTGCCGGTGGTCGATCAATTGCGCGACATTCGCCACACCTACATCAACGCGCTCATCAAGGTGCGCGGCGTCATTACGCGTCGCACCTCGGTGCTCCCGCAGCTCAAGTACGTCAAGTACGACTGCATCAAGTGCGGCTCTGTGCTTGGTCCGTTCTTCCAAGACCAGGACGCGGCTGAAATTACGATCGGCTCGTGTCCTTCGTGCCAATCGCAAGGCCCGTTCCGCATCAACGTCGAGCAGACAGTCTATCGCAACTACCAGCGTATCACACTCCAAGAAAGTCCCGGCAGCGTGCCTGCTGGCCGTCTTCCTCGCCAAAAGGATGTTGTGCTGCTGTGGGACTTGATTGACTCGTGCAAGCCGGGCGACGAGGTTGAAATCACGGGCATTTACCGCACCAACTTTGATGCGGCATTGAACATTACCAACGGCTTCCCCGTTTTCTCCACCATGATTGAGGCCAACTATGTGACGACGAACGAAGATTCGTTCTCGCACTTCAACCTCACCGACGAGGACGTCAAGGAGATTCGCGCGCTGGGCCGAGACCCTCGCATTGGCGAGCGCATCATTCGGTCCATTGCGCCGTCCATTTACGGCCACGAAGACGTCAAGACGGCCATTGCGCTATCCATGTTTGGCGGCCAGCCCAAGGACCCCGGCAATCGCCACCGCGTGCGTGGTGACATTAACGTGTTGGTGCTCGGCGATCCTGGCACAGCCAAGTCCCAGGTGCTCAAGTACGTCGAGAAGACTGCCCACCGCGTCGTGTTTACGACTGGTCAAGGTGCGTCGGCTGTCGGTTTGACCGCGTCCGTGCATCGCGACCCGATCATGCGCGAGTGGACCCTGGAAGGCGGCGCATTGGTGCTTGCCGACAAGGGCATCTGCCTCATTGACGAGTTTGACAAGATGAACGACCAGGATCGCACCTCCATTCACGAGGCGATGGAGCAGCAATCCATTTCAATCTCCAAAGCCGGCATTGTCACAACACTGCAGGCCCGCTGTGCCGTGATTGCCGCAGCCAACCCTGTGCGCGGGCGATACGATCCCTCCGAGACGTTCTCGGGCAATGTCGATTTGACCGAGCCCATTCTCTCGCGTTTTGACATTCTCTGCGTTGTGAAGGACACGGTCGACCCGATTGCCGACGAAAATCTGGCTCGCTTTGTCATTGGGTCACACGTCCGGAGCCATCCCGAAGTCCCATTCATCAACGCCCGTGAAGACCCCTCACGCGCCCAACTTCAGAGCGCCCTCGATGCTGCCAACGCCCTTGCACCAGCCGTGGACGAAGACAAGGACGCCATCCCGCAAGCCATGCTGAAAAAGTACATCATCTTTGCCAAGCAGAACGTGCGTCCCAAGCTGCGGGACGTCGACGAGGACAAGCTGGCCAAGCTGTATGCTGATTTGCGTCGCGAGTCGATGGTAAGCTGGCGTTTGCGGGCGCGCGGAGAAGGGGGGATGTAGTTGTGCTTGTTTTTATCTGTGAGATTTGCTATTCGCTAAACATCTGATGCTCACCCTCTCCCGTTTGCTTTCCTTCTGTTGACAGACAACTGGCAGCATCCCCATTACCGTTCGTTTCGTCGAGTCCATGATCCGCATGTCCGAGGCTCACGCACGCATGCATCTGCGCGAGTTTGTGAATGAGGACGATGTGAACATGGCCGTCCGAGTTGCCCTGGAGAGCTTTATCTCGACTCAAAAGTTCTCTGTCATGAAGACCTTGTCGAAGGTATGTCTTTCGTTGAGTCGAACGGTTGCTTTTTTCCCCTTGTTGTTCTTGTTGAACTCACATTGGTTGTCACTGCTCTCAAACAGTCCTTCTCAAAGTACATTACGTACCGCAAGGACAACAACGAGCTCCTGTTTTACATTTTGCAGCAGCTGTTGCGCGACACAATTGCCTACAACCGCCGACGACGGGCAGAGGAGCCTGCTGTGCGCGTGCTGATCGACCTGGAAGATTTCGAGATCAAGGCGCGCAACTTGAATATTCACGATTTGCGTGCATTCTATTCGAGCGATCTGTTTGCTCGGAACAACTTTACGCTGGACCGTACGAAGAGGGTCATTGTCAAAACCTTCTAACCGTGGTTCTTGTCGAGTTAGCGATTGTTAGACGTTTTCGCTTTTTTTTTTCCCTTCTGGTGGTTGATTTTGCTTTTGCCAATGCGAGTCTAAATAAATACTTTGTTTCACATCTCTGTACTTTGGTTCACCTCTTTGTGTTCTTGTTGGTTGGTTGGTTTATGAATGAATCGTTTGTGGAAGTTAAAAACTGACATCAAAGAGAACATCATCCTTTTCCAGAACATGATTTGAGGCAACTACTTGCTCTTGGCCTTTGGTTTCTTCCCTGGCTTCGAAAGAGGGGCCTTGGCCTTGCTCGCGGTAGCTTGCTCAAACTCGGGCTCACTGCCTTCGTCCTCGGAAGCAACCCGCTTCGCCTGCGTTTTCGCTCGCTGCTGCAACTCTTTCATCATTTGAGACGGACCGCGTTTTCGGCGCACCGGGCGGTCGTCGTCCGAATCCGAGTCTGACGAAGAAGAAGAAGAGGAGGAGGAGGAGGAGGAGGATGACGAGGAAGAGGAAGCGGAGGAGGAGGAAGAAGAGGCTGCTTTTTTGCTCGGGGGCTGTTTGCCAGCAGGCTTTTTAGATGCCGCTGTTCGGGCTGGCTCGTCGCTGTCAGAATCAGAAGAAGAGGAAGAGGAAGAGGAGGAGGAAGAAGAAGAAGAAGATGCAGAGGACGTGTCTGAGGACGCCGATGACAAAACAGGCTTATTGGTTACGACCGCCGCTTGCTTTCCGTTCGCTCGAGCTTTGGGCGCCTCTTCTGCCTCGGACTCCGACGAAGAAGACGAAGACGAAGAGGATGACGACGACGATGAAAGAGACGAATCGGACTGCACCGGCAGCTTCTTGTTTGCAGTTTCCACTTGCATTGGCGTGGCGGCCGATTTGCTGGCCTTGCCGTTCGTTTTGGTCGCCTTCGTAGCAAGTGGCGCAGTGTCCATGGCCGTGGCAGCGGACGACGACGACGACGACGACGCTTCGGGCTCGTCCTCGCCGTCACTGCTGTCAGAGTCGGCCTCGTTCCCGCTGTCCGCATCGCTGTCGTCCGAGCTGTCGACAAACGTGTCTGACTTGTATTTGGTGGCGCTGCGCTTGATGGCCAGCATGTTATGCTTCTTGACAAACTCAATCACTGGTTTGATCTTGTCCGTTGGCGGCAAACCCAAGGCCGTAGCACGCTGCACGAACGCCAAAAAGCGGACGCGCAGAGCTTGGCCACTCAGTGTGAAGCCTTTGGTGGCAAGCTGGCGCCAGTCGACCTTGGCAACAATTTCACCTGGCTGCTGCAGCAGGGCATCCAGCAAACGCTCGTCTTCAGACTTGTTGAGACCGGCAGTGGTGAAAATTCGGGCAGCACCGGCCTTTACGCGGTCGATAATTTCGTTCGTGGAAACCCAATCATTCCACTTTTCACGGCATTGGCGCGTGTTGCGAGTGTGCACAAGCTTGGCAATTTCATTCCACGACCGTGTACCGCCCGTGAACACGGCAGATCCCACGGTGAGCGCCGTCACGCCGCCTTGGCCTTCGAGAATCTCGGGGTGCAAGGCGCGCACAGCATCCACCAATCGATGCTCCTCGGGTTCCGTCCAGACACCCTGGCGCGTGTCTTGCTGGACGAGGCGATAGCGATCACTCACGGCATGCGTAGCACGACCCATCAGCAGGCCAATGTGAGCGAAGTTTCGACCGTGCTGATCGACAAGATCGCGCAAGCGCTGGTCGTCTGCTGGACTAAAGGGCTTTTTGAAAGTGTCGCTGTTACGCGCCAGCAATCGGAAGACGCGATCACGCACTGTGCCGATGCAGCGCTTGGTGCCACGCGCGGCAGCACGGAAAAGTGGTCCGTAATGCTCTGCGCGCGCATCGGCGTCCATGAGGATGGACGTCAGCGTTACCGAAGAGTTGCTGGCCAGGTATGCGTCAATGTTGGCGAGCACCTGTTGGTCGTGCTCCTGGTGCCACTTGCCAAGCTCGAGGCGACCTTCCTTCAAGTACTGTGCTCGGTCCTCTGCATTCAGTCGATCGGGCAGCAGCTCGGCACTGTCTGGAGCAGGCTTCAATCGAGAATTGTGATGCACGTGCAAGAGTTGCGCTGGAGTGGCGTTCATCGGGAGGTTGAAGGTGGAGAGTCCGCGAGTGGCGCCGGAATCAGTAGCAGCAGTAGCAGCAGCAGGAGTCGTCGTCGAAGGCGAAGAGTCGCCGTTGCTGGATGGTGCTGATGATTTGGTTGCATCGCGCGCTTGCTTGGAGCGAGGGGAGGATTTGGACGACTTGGGGGCAGCGGTGGATTCGATTTCGGGTGTGTTGATCTTGGTCGACGCTCGCTTTGACGATGCAGACGAGGACGGGGACGCCGTTGATGCCAATGCAGACGCCGCCGATGCCGCGGCAGCAACAACTGCTGCTGCTGCTGCCCGCTTCCTCACGACCTGAGCAACGCTTGTGACAAGACTGGCCTCTGTTGGGGTTGGCAAGAGGCCCGGAGAATTCGCATAGTTGGCGACAGCGGCGGCGGCGACCAGCATGGTTTTATGCGACACACGAGCATTCACAATGGCCTGCATCGAAGGCACAATCCGCGGCTCATCTGGAGCAGGGGCCTGTACTGCAGGGGCAGAGAGTGGTGGTGGCTGTGATTTGGGAGTCGACTTGTCCCAAGGGCGGTTTTTGCGTGTCGGGGTGGCACTGCCACTCGCGGCTGCTGTCTCGACAGTAGCAGCCAGAGTCGTATCGGCTGTGGGGGTACTCTCAGGCACGGCGGCGGTCGCGGCAGCCTTCTCCCACGGCCGAGCTGGCTTGCGGCCGCGCGCTGGTGCAGTCTGCGTTGTTGGCGCTGCCGCTGGACTCGCAGCAGCAGCCCCAGCAGTAGCGTCGATCGTCATAGGAACGACGACTCCCTCAGCATCTGCAGCGCTCGCAGTGACCGGCGTTGGCTGTGACTTGGTGGCTGCAGAGTCCACATGTTCCCAAGGTCGGCGCTTGGTGCTCGCTGGAGCAGCAGCAGCAGCAGCAGGAGTCGAGGCAGCAGCAGCGTCCGCCACCACGCTCTTGCCAGCGGATGCAGCTGGTGTTTTCGTGACCACTGACGACGACGACGACGAGGCTGGCGTCGCTGCTGGGGCACCTTGAGCACCTTGAGCGGGAGCGTCGTCCAAGCGCGCCTTCTTGGATGCGTGCGCTGCAGCTGCTGGTCCAGCGCCACCACTGCTGCGACTGCTGCTCGTGGCCTGCGCGGTGCTTGAGCTTGTGCGTGTAGTCGGAAGAGCGGCGGCGGCTGCGGTCGTTGTGGCTGTGGACGGCGTTGCTGATGCTCCGACCGCCTCCTCCTCGTGGCTGCGTCGCTTGAGACCCATCGTTGCTCACTCTGAAGAAAGCAACAAAGCAAAAAGAGAACTGTCATTGCTCGTTTGAATCAAAATGGTTACCGACTAGAAGAATGTTCTGCAAGTGCTCTGTCTCGCGTTGGATCGAGAGAGAGAGAGAGAGAGAGAGAGGGAGGGTGCAGGGGAGTAGAGAGCACCAGTCTCTGAGATACAGTAGTCTGTTATTACAAATGGTGCTGTACTCCCTCACTAATGTTTTTCTCAATGTTCTTTCACTCCTCTGTTTTTTTCATTTTTTTTTTTGTTCTTGTCTTCTCAGACAACCACTTTCTCCAATCCAAATGACGCCGACCACCGCTTCCAACACGCACGATCCCTCGTCGCAGGCCAACATCACCGCCTTCCGCACCCGCCACATTGCCCTGGACATTGCCCTCGACTTTGCACGCAAGGTTGTCCACGGCACTGCGACCATCGATCTCGCTCGCCTCGACGCCAACGCTCAGGTAAAAAGCTCAATGCCCAATGTACTTTCAGCCAACTTTTTTTTTTTTTTTTCAATGCTTTGACTTGTTGTTTGTTTGACTTTTGAACTTTGAACGTTTGCACACAGACGGTCGAGTTGGACACGCGCGAGCTGACGATCGCGTCCGTCAAGCTGAACGGCGTGGCAGAGCTCGCGTTCGTGACTGGCGATGCGCACGCCGTGTTTGGCTCCAAGCTGACCATCACGCTGCTGGCTGAGCACGCCACGCTGCAGGACTTTAAGCTTGTGATTGCGTACGAGACGTCTGCCACGTCGTCGGCGTGCCAGTGGCTCGCTCCCGAGCAGACTGCGGGCAAGCAGCACCCGTACTTTTTCACCCAGTGCCAGGCAATCCACGCGCGCAGCCTGCTCCCGTGCCAGGACGCGCCTGGAATGAAGGCGCCGTACTCGGGCAAGGTCACTGTCGCAAAGGGCCTCGTGGCACTCATGAGCGCCCTCCCCACCGGCGACGCGGTCAGCGCAGACGGCCAGTCAACCACGTTCAGCTTTGACCAGCCAAACCCAATCCCGTCGTACCTCATTGCGATCGCCGCTGGTCACCTGGTCAGCGTCGAGGTTGGCCCGCGTTCGCGCGTCTGGTCCGAGCCCGAGACTGTGCAGGCTGGCGCATTCGAGTTTGCCGAGACCGAGCAGCAGCTCGCAACGGCCGAGGACCTGCTTGGCCCGTACGTCTGGGGTCGCTACGACGTGCTGTTGCTGCCCCCGAGCTTCCCGTACGGCGGCATGGAAAACCCCAACATTACCTTTGTGACGCCGACCCTGCTGGCTGGCGATCGCTCGCTGGCAGACGTCGTTGCTCACGAGATTGCTCACTCGTGGACGGGCAACCTCGTCACCAGCCGAACCTGGGAGCACTTTTGGCTCAACGAAGGCTTCACCGTCTATGTTGAACGCAAGATTGTCGGCCGCATGCGCACCGAGCAGCACCGTCACTTCTCCGCCATTATCGGCTGGAAGGCGCTGCGCGATTCGATCGACAACTACCCTGCCGACTCGCTCCTCACTGCGCTCGTCCCCAGCCTCGACGGCGTCGACCCCGACGACGCATTCTCGTCCGTCCCCTACGAGAAGGGCTTCAACCTGCTGTTCTACCTCGAGACGCTGCTCGGCGGCCCTGAGCCGATGGAACGCTACCTCAAGGCCCACTGCACCCAGTTTGCCTTCAAGGCAGTGACCACTGCTGAATGGAAGGACTTTTTCCTGTCCTTCTTTGCTGAAGAGGCCAAGCGCGGCGTCTTTGACGCTGTTGACTGGAATGCCTGGTTCTACACCCCCGGCATGCCCAAGCCCGAGCCCAAGTTTGACCAAACACTGGCCGAGCGCAGCGCCGCTCTCGCTGCCCGCTGGACCCAAGCCGATGCTTCCAGCAACTATGCTGGGTTCTCCGTCGACGACATTGCCGACTTTGCCTCGCCGCAGCGTGTCGTCTTTTTGGAAAAGCTTCTGCTCGAAAACCCGCTCAGCGAGCAGACTCTCGACAAGATGGATGCGACCTACGATTTCACGGCATCGCGCAACTCGGAAATCCGCTTCCGCTGGCAGTCTCTCTGCTTGCGTGCGTCCTACACCAAGATCTTCCCGCACGTTGTCGACTTTGTGACTTCGCAAGGCCGCATGAAGTTTGTCCGCCCGCTGTACCGCGCTCTCTTCAACTGCGACAAGGCTGGTGACCTTGCCGTGACTACCTTCCAAAAGCATCGCCACATCTATCACAACATTTGCGCCAGCATGGTGGCCAAGGATTTGAAGCAGTGAGCGCGCGGGCCATCCGTTGTTTTTGGAACGTCCAGCCGTTCTGGGCTTTGTTGTATTTTGTCTTGGTGACTGCATGTGAAGTGTGGTCGTGTGATGAAATACACTTTGTTGGGTACAAGCCTTTTTTTGTCTTATTGCCGTAGCACAGCACAGAGTCGAGGGGGAGAAAAAAACCCAATCACTACAGTTGACGCTCTACCACTTCAGCGTTTTGATCTTGTTCATGGCACCACGCATATTCTCAAACACACCCTCAGGCACATAATTGAAAGGAACAAGCGAAATGGCCGCAATGCCTTTGTCTTGGCCGCCCAGCAACCAGTTCTAATTCGGGGCAAGCAAAATTCGTTGAGTGTGTGAAACAGTGGTTGCGCAAAACAGGTAGACAACAACAAGACGAGCGACGTACCACAGCCAACAGAGATCCGCCTTCATAGCCAGGGAAGAAGGCATGGAATTGGGGCGTTTCTGCCCGCGGGGGCCCTTGGATCATACCGCTGCGAGGGAAATCATAGCGGTGTGAGAACAAGTGACGTTTCAACACGTCCTTCAAAGTCGACCTACCTTAAGGTGAACTGCAAAATGGGCGTGGTGCGGACACGCAACACCAGAGCGGCTGCAGCGGCTTCCGCAACGCTACCTGGGGCACTGTCGTTATTGTCGTCATCATCGCTGTCCACGCTTTGTGATGGCAAGCGCGAGGTCGCCGGTGAAGCAGCAGATTTTGGTGGTGGCGCAAACGACACAACAAGACGCGAGCTGTGAGGATCAAGCGAAATGGACTGAATGTTGCCGCCAAATGATCTTGTCGAGCCATCTGTACCAAGCAAGATAAAAATCACAAGAATAAAAATTAAACTGGGAGTTGCATCAAGCAGCCGGCCGAACGAGCACCGCTTGCCTGCAGTGGGAACGGTAGCCAAGGAGAAGTTTTCTTCAATTCCGCACTGAACTCCTTCGTTGACGATTTTGGATTGCGCAATTGAGTACAGGCCCCAGTCGTTCTCGATGCCGAACAAGACTGTCGAGCTGTCACTGAGCCACGCCGAGGTCTAACCAAGGTTTCAGGCAATAGCAAAGAAAAGCAAAAACAACAACAACAACAACAACAACAAAAAAAAAAAAAAAAAAAAAAAAAAAAAAAAAAAAAAAACGAAGAAAAAAACAAAAGCAAAAGCAAAACAAACGGTGAGGGTCAAGAGCTCCGACAATAGTCTCCCAGCTTCTGAACTCTCGCCAACAACACAAATCGGCTTCATGAGGGACAAACTCACATGGCAACGCCCGCCAGCAGTGACCCAGCGTTGACAAGTCCAATCGCGCGTGTTCCAGAGACGAACGGCGTTGCCGATCGTCGCAGCAAACAGGTAGTTTCCATCGGGCGACCAGGAGAGGTTGCCACAGCCTGCGCCGTCGTAGCGACGGATGGGAGTGCACGATGCGCCGTCGAGATGCATGTCCCAAATCACGATGGCAGTGTCCACCGCCGAGCCCGAAGCAAGCAGCCGACCATCGGGGCTCCACGCCAGGGCAAGAACGGAGAGGTGGCCGGGATGCGTGAGCACGGTGGCGGAGGCGACGCGGTGGGCGGACGCGATCGCCGTTCCGGCATTCGCGGCCACAGAAGGGGCCGGCACATTCCACAGGACAATGCCGTTGCGGCATCCGACAGCAACATGGACGCCACTGAGCGGTCGCCACGCCATGCAGGTCACATCGACTTGGTTTGGGTGTCGCAGTCCGCGCTGTTGCCAGCGTCCAGCGCTGCTCTGCTGTTGGGAATTGGATCCAGCGGCATACGGGCTGTCCGCGCCAGAGCCAGCTTGTCGGAAGGACGGGACTGCTGGCGCTGACGAGCCGTTGGACGGCGAACGATCAAACAAGTAAACAATGTCGTTCGTGTCCGCGACGGCGAGGCGGGGAAGGTGTTGGTGCCACGCCAGGGCGCGCAGCGAGCTATCAAGCCAGCCGGCAGGCATATAGCGACAAGCCAGCTCGTTTGTGGAGAGCGGCTGCGAGCTTGGGAAGAGGAATCGCACTGCGCGCGCAAACAAAAGGGCAGCCTGGGTCAAGTTGGAGTTGGCACCAGCAGCCGCACTCCCAGCACCAGCAGTTGTAGCAACAGCAGCAGCAGCAGCAGTGGAAGTAGTAGAGCCAGCTCGTCCCGATGCATTCACAGACGACGATCCGAGCGTGGACGGCACGAGGACGTCTTCAATGGCAAACGCGAGTCCGCGCTCGTACCAGCAGTGCGCAAACGCAGCCATCGAGTTGCTCCGCGGCTTGAGGAAGGGCGACGAGAACACTGTGCGCGCGTCTTTGGCTGCCGACTGCGGCAGAATCTCAACGGACCCGACGTCGATCTGGCTGCTTGTGCCTGAGAGGCCAGACTGGGCCGAGCTGAGCCCGACCATCACCATGGAGCTCTTTGGCCGCGCACTCCCATCGCCAGCAGTAGTAGGAGCAGTAGTAGTAGTAGTAGTGGTGTCTGTAGCACGGTTAGCAGCAGCAGCAGCATTGGGACTCGTGCGATCGCCGCTGCCATTGCCATTGCCATCGTGCTGGTGCAGGCGTCGCTGCAGCCATGCGCCGGTCGACCCAGCCTCGGATCGCCAGTTGCTCGAGACGCGTTCGTGGAGCATGGTGCCGGCTGACTCGCAGAGCGTGACGGTGCCCGGCGGACTGACAGGGAACATGCTCGTGGCCAGCAGCGAGTCGACCTTGGCGGCAGACTGCCGAGCTGAGGATGATGATGATGATGCTGATGATGATGATGTTGGGATGGACATTGGAAACAAACCTCCCCAAACTGGAAATGAAGGACTGAGATTGAGAGACTTACTGTAGTTGCTCACCCAAGCGGATTGCAGCATTCATGGATACGATGGTTGGGTTGAAATGGCAACCGTTTGAGAAGCTCCGGCGATACTTTGCCTTCCCACAGTTTCTATAAACGAGCAACGAGATTGATAAAATAACTTGACTTATATTGCGCGTTCGAACAACGGGTTGTTCAGAGTCAAACGAAAACACTCTGAGAACAAGAAAGCGCCGTTCTCTGCACTCTGCTCGCAACCGCACTCCAACACTTTTCAAACGACTGGCTCAGGACGGAGAGGAGCTTCAACCACTGCCGGTGATGCTTCAGCCTCAGCTTCTGCTGGTGGTGGCGGCGGCTGCGCCTCCGGTAATGTTTGCTTGGCTTTGAGTGCTTGCTGGGCTCGTCGCTCAGCCGCCAGGTGCAGCTTTCGCCAAGAGCTAATCTTTGGCTTGGTTTTTTGCTTGGTGACACCCGCGCCTCTGCGGGCCCGACAAGATCCACAAACGACATTGTCGTGCTCGAATTGTGACCAGCTGCGATCGTGCTTCCCGTATCGGCACCGGAAACCGGCAAACGTATGCACCACCTTGGCGACGACGGGTTCCTCATCTTCATACCACGTATTGGTTGCCGTGTTGTAGAACTTGAAGATGGGCGATTCGCGGTACTTGGCCTCCACGGGACGGTCGTTCTCCAATGCTTCACGCAGTGCGCTGAACAGCAGCGGCTGGCTGGGATCGGCGACGGGCACTCGGATGTCAATCATGCGATCTGCATCGCTAGGCTTGCTGCCACGCAGGATGGCCACGCGCAGCTGCCACACTGCTGGATCCGCGATCTGTGGAGCGGGCGCAGAAATGGCGGGAGATTTTCGCGCCTGATTTTGGCTCATGTTTTTGGTTCTTGTCTAGCTGGGATTTGCACCAACGGAGGAAGCTTCCCGCGAGACCGGGAGATGGATGACTTGAAGGAGTGTACGGATCTTTGGTGGCCACGAGTGTGATCGTCCTGCCAAGGTGACTCGCGGTTTTGGTTGGGTTTTGAACCGAAGAACGAGGGAGGCGAAATTGAAGGACTGATGATCCACACACGAACATCCAAAGTGTTCAACCAAGCTTTCAAACAGGAGAATCAGCAATTGTTTTGATGTTTCTTCGTGGGCACCAGTCGTTTTTACTCATCCTTGTTTGTGACCAGTCTAAGTTTTTTTTTTTTTGAAACGGATTCTGAGCACTTTCGACCAATGGTCGCTGCTGATCACACGCTGGCATTCCGTGACGCCGTTCGCAAGGCTCGCTCGCTGGACGCGGCTGTTGCAGCAGCCATCGCAGAGTCATCCACCAGCGAACCGCACTCCAGCACTGTTGCAGCAGCATCATCATCGAGTCGAGCAACTGGAACCGACGATGCGAGCAACAATAGCGACCCCTTTGCAGCCAGTGCGCGGCAGATTGCGAGCCACCTCGCGTCGCTGCAGCAGTTTGTGCAAGAGCATCGCCACGACTATCTCAACGCGACGCGGCAGACGGGCGGCGAGCAGCGGCTCTTGTCCAGCGAGGCCCTGGAGCAGCTCGACTCTGACGCGATGGCCTTTGTCAAGCAGTGCACTCAAATGATTGCGTCCGCCGAGGCTCTCGTTCGTAAGGTCAACACATTCAGATGAATCGAGCGGCCACTAGGGTTGTCGTGGTTTTTGACGGTTGGTTGAATGGTCGATTTGGTGCGTCATGTTCAGCATTCTCAACCGATTTGCCATTCTGCTGCACTCTTTCGGACAGAATCGCCGTTTCAGCGCGGATCTGTTAAGCAAGAAGCATCACAGCAGCTGATTGCACATCGAACTGCGGTGGTGAACCTGCTGACCACGCGACTCCAGGCGCAAGGGAAGGAAGTGATGCGTCAGCGCGATATTCGTGTCAAACGTTCGCTGCAGCAGCGCGAAACCATGCGACTCGACGGTGGCCGAGCCAACGCTAGTGCCACATTGACGGCAAGCAGTGGTGGACGATCCAAGAGCCCTGCTCAAGCAAGAAGTGCTGCTGGCAAATCCCACACACTCCAAAGTGCTTCGTTACCCATCGAGGACACGCTCCACCACGCTGAATCCGACGGAGACGATCCGTCGTTTGCCATGCTGAGCCCCGAAGAGCTCATGGAGCTGGAGCAGGACAACGAGCGGGTGTTTACCGAGCTGCACGTGCTCTCCGACCAGACACGACTGGCCGAGACTCGCATGGTGGAGATTGCGCAGCTGCAAGCACAGTTTGCCTCCCACGTCATGGAGCAAGCTGCCTTGGCCGACTCCATCCACGACCTTGCCGTTCACACCACTGCCAACGTCGCTCAGGGCAACGAGCAGTTGACCAGTGCGTCCAAGCATCTCGGCTCCTTCCGTCTCTGGATTTTGTTCTTCCTGCTGCTGTGCTCGTTCTGTCTGTTGTTTTTGGATTGGTACAGCTGAGCCGTAAAGCCACCAGGCCGAGAACACAAAGCATGTACATGTTGTTCTCGGTTGGTCGGTGGACAGTACTTGCACCATGCTCGAAAACGCATCAGCTTGCTGCTCTGTCCTCGGCGACAATATAACAAATATAACAAATGGAAACAAAAAAAGAGAGCTCGGCAACACATACATTCTAATAACATCAGATTCCATAATGGCGACACTGCTCAGAAAGTAAAGTCCGTAGGCACACCCATCGACCAAGCAAACTTGGACCGCTGCGTCTTGTTGTAAATCTTTTCTACTGGCACATCGTAGCGCTTGCACCTGCAGAGAGCGTCAGAGGTACGACGGCAAGCACCGCCAAAAACAGTTAGAAATCAAGCTGCAAAAGCGTGCAGTACAGTTCAAGTTGACTCACCAAGCCACAGTAATACGAGGATCAAGGTAGTTGAGTTTGGCCGTGCTCAAAGCAATTGTCTTGTTCTCGTCCTGGACGCGGTGAAGGCGCGGGGGGGGGGGCGAGGCGCAAATCATCAGGCAATGTGAGATTGGCGGCGAGCAATAAACCGATCCGAGAAACACAAAACTACACACCTTGTCTGTTTTTTGAATCACCAAACTGTCGACGCGTGCTTTCAAGCGCTCGACAGCAGCCTTCTTCTTCTCGTCCTTTGTTTCCTTGTAAACCTTGCGCGCTTCGTTCAATTCCTTTTTAACGGCCTCGATCTGTGTGAAGGTTTGTTCGGGGTTGAAAAACACACAGAATGAGCGGGAATTGGTTTGACAACAGCAGACAGTAAAATTCAGACACGCTACCTTCTCGTCCATCTTGTCCATTTGCTCGCCAAACTTTTTCGGAACGGAGCGTTGATGGTTGCACAAGACGGCAACAGCGCGGTTGGCACGGTTGTAAGCCAAAACCTTCTCATGAATGCTACCATCCGTGGGCGTCAGCTTGAGCTGTTCTTGCAAGGTGATGGATGCGTTGTAGGTACGGAAGACCTTTGCGGTCAAGCCCGGCATAAAGTCAGTCAGGTACTTGTTGAGAGCAGTGGTCTACCAACCAAAAAAAAAAAAAAAAAAACCACAACAGAGACACAAAGTGAGCGCAGCGTCTCCTCCACACCTCAGCTCAATGAAACCAAAAGCAAAAAAACAAACAAGACAACCAAACAAGACAACCGCTTACCGTCAGACGATCAAACAGCAAGTCGCCTTCCTCCTTGTTCTTCTGGAAGATGATCAGGTTCTTGTACACGCGTTCCTCGACGTCCACAGAGTTTTGATACCGAATGGAGTCTTTGCCGAGGAAATCAAAGTGCACGGTGCTGGGCTCCTCGAGCTTGATGTGCTCGAAACGAAGGGAGCAGCAACCGACAGTGTCTGCCTGCTCTTCGGGATCTTTTTCGTTGCCGCAGCGCAATGCAAGACGATCGATGAAATGGAGGGCTGTGGCGCGCTGGCGAATGGCCATCTCCTTGGAGCTCATGTCCTCAGTGTACGAGCGGCGAATGTGCTTGATGTGCTTCTTCAAGTCGCGGGCCTTCTCGTACTTTTTCATGTCGTTCAGGCCCTTGAGCTTGGACGCCGAGTTCAGCATGACGTACTTGGCGTGGCCCGAGATGCCGTCGACCCACGAGGCGAGCCAAGTGACCGTCTTGTTGCAAATCACCTCCTTCCACTTGTGGCCCGCAGGAGGCGCGGGCGGCGTCGAGTCCTTGCTGCAATTGATGGTAATGTCCTCGGGCACGACGCGTCGTTTGAGCATGCCCATCTTGGGATGGTCGCCGCGGCCGCGGAAGAGGCCTGGCGGTTCGACGCGGAAGTTGGCAATGCGCTCCTTGCGGCCGTCCATGAGGCAGAAGCCGTACTGCTTGACAAGCTCCTCGTTTTGGGCCTTGATGGCGGCCTTCTCCTCCTTGGTGCGGTTCTTGCGGATTTCGCGCTGCTGCTCAAAGTAGTCCTGAATGACGGTAAAGTCGCACTTGGCCAGGTCAGTGATGAGCGCCTTCTCCTCCTTTGTCATGACCTTGCGCAGCTCAACCATAAAGTTCTCGTTGAACTTGTCCTTGGTCACATAGTCGGACTTGAGCATGGCGGCGTAAAAGCCAATGAGCTCTTCGGTCGGAAGCGACAGCGCCACTTTCTGGCCGTTGTACTTGAAGAACGCTTGCGGCGGCAGCGCCACGTACTCGGGAGCCAGCATGACACCATTGTGGCTCAGCGTTTGCCAGCGCTCCGAGCCGTCGCCGAGCATGGCAGTGAGGTCCTCCTCCCACCACTTGTGCACGTCCTCGTCGTCCTCGTCGGCCTTCTTCTTTTTCTTGGTGACTGCACCATCGCCATCGGCGCTCTTGCTGGCCTTCTTGGAGGTGCCCGCGGCGGGTTTGGTCTTTGGCGATGCGGCAGCTTTCTTGGGGCTGGCGGCTTTCTTGACTGCAGGCTTTTTTGGTTTGGGTGCATCCTCGTCGTCGTAGGCGTCTTCGTCGTCGGAATCGTCGTCCGAGCCCGAGTCCGACCCTGACTCATCCGAGCCATCGTCCTCGTCTTCCGAGCTGTCTTCCGACTCCTCGGACTCTTCGTCGGACGACTCCTTCTTTGCCGCCTTTTTGGGCGTGGGCGCCTTCTTGGCCGAGGATGGAGCGGCGGCCTTCGCCTTGGGCGACGGCTTGGGCGATGCCTTTGCCTTGGAGGCAAGGCGCGCAGCCAACGACTTTTTGTCGTCCGCATCGCTGTCACTGTTGCTCTCGCTTTCGCTGTCACTGTCGGCTTCAGCGTACTTGCCCTTGGGCGTGGCGGCTTTTCGGGGCGATGCGGCCGCCGGCTCTGACTTGACCTCCGTCTTGACCGGGGTTTGCCGGACGCGCTTGGTGTCGGCGCCATTCTCGTCGGCCGTCTGGTCGCGCGAGTGCTTGCGCACCCCCACAGGAGTTGCAGAAGGTTCGTCTCCGTTGGCGTCGAGGCGCGCACGCTTCGAGTCTGCGGCCTCCAGCGTGTCTTCGTTCTCGCGCTTGACCGACAGCTTGGGTTCGACGTCCGTCATCGTGCCTAGAATATAGGGATCTATCCGATGTGCAAGGAGGAGATGTTGGAGCGTGAGTGAAGGAAGCATTTTTAAATTTTTCCCGCCAGAATTCTCGGCCTTCCCAAAACAAGTCGCGAATCCAAACAAAAAACAACGAACAACGAATAACGTTGAAGCGAGGAAAGTTGATGCGGATCAACAGCGATACGCGGCATCCATTCGAGGAGATGAAAGCACCGAGGCGCGTTTCTCGGCCGGCTGCAAAACCGTGACGAACGAAAAAGAAGCGAATATTGTGGAAAAAAAAAATACAAATGAAATAAAAAAAATGGCGATCCCGCTTCTTTGCAGCGTCGCCCCACACGCAGGACGACGGAGATGCGTCCTGAAGGCCCGCCGCTCACTCGGACCGATTGCCCGTGGCATAGCGACCACGGAGACCATGAGAAAACAGGTGGTCGCAGGAACAAGGACGGGCGGAAAACGCGACGCAAAGGCGTGTTCGCCAGCTCGTTCGTTTTTTTTTTTTCAACCCCATTCATCGCTCCACGCGTCTTGTTCGAGTGTGCAGCACATCCCATGCGCAGACCACGACGCTTGCACTGCCCAAGCTCCCCAATAGTTGGTTTTTATTTGAAAAAGACAGTTTCCGCGTTGAAACAGAAAGCACGCTTGCACCCCAGAAAAGGGGTTGAGATTTTCGACTGGGTGGAACGCACCGTTTGTCACAAAGAGGAAGAGTGATGAGGTCGAACGCTCAAATGGGTCAAGGATGAGTTTTCAGGGACGAGTTTTCACGGGTTGTAAATGGCTGTGAAAAAGTGCTCGTGGATTGTTGGATACAGCTCATACCCCCACGAAAACCACTTTGTCCTCAGCAAGGAGTGTTTGGGAATCTCGACCCCGCAGGATTGACAAAACAAGTGACGGTTTCTATTGAGACTAAAAATTAATTCGAGCACACTGGAGCAAAGGGGAAGGGAGGAGGAGTTGAAGGTTAGGATCGGCGTTTTTGGCTGGAGATTGGACGCCCTCGCTCGATTTTGAGTCTCGCAATGGTGCTTTCATTTTACGCTACTTTTTCCACTCAGCACAAGCAGATTGGTCACCGCATTTCCCCTTTAACCCAACGCAAATCTGCTTTGCCTCTGTTTGCATTGGTACCAAAAACCAAAAACCCCCCCCCCCAAAAAAAAAACATCCAGCCAAAAATCGATTTTGGTAACTCTTTTCGTTCTTCTTTTTTTTAATTCAACCCTTCATTTCATATTTTTTGGAAAACTCAACCATGGCAGGTCGACTTCCAGCGGTCGTTATCGACAACGGCACCGGGTGCGTTTTCCCCATCCACCGCCACCGCCACCACCACCACCGCCTCTCCTCCTTTTCTTGGCACTCGCCCTACATGTGCACGATCAACCACCGTGTCGAGTGCAGAGAGCAGAACAAACCAAGCGAGATTTTTTTTTTTTTTTTCGTTTTTCAATCTTGAGATCGCTTTTTTTTTTTTTTTTCGTTTCGATTGTTCGTCTGCTCGTTGGAGCGGCCCGCGAAGTGCGTGGCCTGCGATCCTCCCTCGGCGCGACTCTTTGCACAGCAGCAGGTGCCCACGGCCCTCATGAACCGACACGAGCAACAGTGCTGCGATCGACAACTCGCAGCCGACCAAACACGAGAATGCTTTTTTTTTTTTTGCGATTTTTTTTTTTTTTTCGTTTGGATGTTTTTTTTCCCTCTCTCTTGCTTGATGGTCGTTTTGGCTGGAGGCTCGACCCCCCCCCCTCCCCTCCTCCCCTCTCCTACCACGCAAACGTCCTTGCACACACTTCTACCCTTTTGATTCGCGCCGACCATCCTGCTTGAACGCAACAATGTTTTTTTTTTCGCTGCTTTCAATTTTTTTTTTTTTTTTTTTTGCCATTGAAATTTTGAACTAACCATTTTTTTTTTTTTTGCTTGTTCGCAGCTACACCAAGATGGGCTACGCCGGCAACACCGTGCCCCAGTACATCATCCCGTCCTCGATCGGCATTAAGGAGAGCGCGATGGTGGGAGACAAGTCCCAGCGCCGTGTGACCAAGGGCGTCGACGACCTCGACTTGTGAGTTTTTTTTTTTTGTTTTTTTTTTTGTTTCCATTTTAACCACAGGAAACAACAAAATAACATTGAAAAAAAAAATTAAAAAGATCTTTTTTTTTTTTTTTTTTTTTTTGCTCAATTCTGGTTGTTGTTTCTGCTGCAATCTCACTTGTTGTTGACTTGGCTTTCCACTATTTTCTGCTGAATAGCTACATTGGTGACGAAGCCGTTGAGAACGAACGCACCTACGCCACCCACTACCCCATCCGCCACGGTATTGTCGACGATTGGGACTTGATGGAGCGCTACTGGGAGCAGGCAATTTTCAAGTACCTGCGCGCCGACCCCGAGGACCACTACTTTTTGCTGACCGAGCCCCCGCTCAACACGCCCGAGAACCGCGAGTACACGGCCGAGGTCATGTTCGAGTCGTTCAACGTCCAGGGTCTGTACATTGCCGTCCAGGCCGTCCTGGCTCTTGCCGCGTCGTGGACGTCGCGCCAGGTCAACGAGCGCACGCTCACCGGCACGGTCATTGACTCTGGCGATGGTGTGACCCACGTCATCCCCGTCGCGGAGGGCTACGTCATTGGCTCGTCCATCAAGCACATTCCGATCGCTGGTCGCGACATTACCTACTTTGTGCAGCAACTGCTCCGCGAGCGCGAGTCGTCCATCCCCCCGGAAGAATCGCTCGAGGTCGCAAAGCGAATCAAGGAGACGTACAGCTACGTCTGCCCCGACATTGTCAAGGAAATGGAAAAGTACGACACTGAGCCCTCCAAGTGGATCAAGCTCTTCGAAGGCCAGCACTCTGTCACCAAGAAGCCCTACTCTGTTGAGGTCGGCTACGAGCGCTTCCTCGGCCCCGAAATCTTCTTCCACCCCGAGTTTGTCAACGGCGATTTCCAGACCCCGATCTCGACTGTCGTCGACCAGGTCATCCAGAGCTGCCCCATCGACACCCGTCGTGATCTTTACAAGAACGTCGTTCTTTCCGGCGGTTCGACCATGTTCAAGGACTTTGGCCGCCGTCTCCAGCGCGATGTCAAGCGCTTTGTCGACTACCGCCTCAAGGCCACCGAGTCTCTCTCTGGCGGCGCCATCAAGCCCCAGCCCATCGACGTCAACGTCATCACCCACCACATGCAGCGCTACGCCGTCTGGTTTGGTGGCTCCATGCTTGCCTCGACTCCCGAATTCTACCAAGTCTGCCACACCAAGGCTGATTATGAGGAGCACGGCCCGTCCATTTGCCGCCACAACCCGGTCTTTGGCACCATGACATAAGTGATTTGATATCTCTCTTTTTTTGACCGAGGCGCTTTTGCGGTACTTTCAGAGGCAAAACTGCAGTCACTTTGCCATCTCCAGCCTTGTTGGCTTTTTTTTTTGTGTTCTCAAGTCTCCTTGGTTTTCTTTTTCCCCGTGTCGAGCTTTCTTTGTTTCAGTCCCAGCTGGATCTGTGTCCCTGCAAGCAAACGCGCCCTTTTCTCCTCGACAAGAAGATTTGGAACTCAGTGGCGTTGTTTTTGACTTTTGTTTGTTTCTGCCTTTGGCGTTTTTTTGGTCAACTTTTTCTCTCTCTCTTTCTTTCTTTTGCACATTTAGTGCTCCACCTTGTGTATGTTCTCTTTCTCTCTTCCCTCTCTCGCCTCTTCGTCTTCCTGATCCTGTGTCCTGTCACTCTCTCGTCGTTTTTCGGAACTTATGCGTCTGTGATTTGCGTCCCATTGTGAAAACAAACATAAAACCTTACCTCTCCCCCAATCAACCGTGTGCACTCTTTCTTGATATTGCTCTTGTGATGACGTACGACTCGAGTTCAGTCCTCCCCTTCAATTCTTTTTGGTGGTGGATGGCATCGCTCGCCGGCCAGCGATCATCCTCGCTCGATCGCCCTTCCCAGAGCAACAGGGGTGCCAGCAGTGGCATTGCGACTGCGATCGAAAACCTGTTTATTGTTGGTCTCATCCTGAGCCTGGCCTGGGTGGATCCGATCGGCGTTAACAGCAGCAGCAGCAGCAGCAGCAGCGTCGTGGCGGTGGTGAGTCAGAATGGCACTCCGATTTCTCCTCCTCCACCTCCAAGCAATGCGTCCTGTCTGCTCGGCCACTGTCGCGTGTTCCAATCAAGTCCAACAGATGCAATGACGACGACGACGACGACATCGTTTGCGAGTGATGACTCGCAGGCTGCCTGGTTTTATGCAAACGGTCCCGCTCTTCGCACAGCAATCACCATTGTCGCGCTGTGGTTGGCGTTGCCGGCCATCGCCACGCTGGTTGCAGTCATCGCTGCGAGTCCACTTCGTCCATGCCATCCAGGCTTGCTGTGGATCCAAAGGCTGCATTCGCACTGCTATCCGTCGTCGTCGTCGTCCAAATCCGCGCTCCCGTTTCGCACCAACCCGGATCAAGGCATCGTTTCAGGGTGTGGTCTTCCTGTCGTCGTGATTCTGGCGCTCATTCGTCAGATTCCAGACCACGATAACAGTATGCGTTTTCCGAGCTCATCTGCTTCGTGTTGATGTTTCCAATCTCACTTCCACGAGCCTGCTTCTTTGTTTCTTGGTAGTTCAACTTGCACTTTTGCTGGAGACGCTCCTCGCGGCTCTGCTTTTGCCAGTTTTGTTGGCAGTACTCCTTCGGATAGACCCGCAGAGCCCCAATGCAATGTACCTTGCAGTTGCCACTCCTATCATTGTTCAAACCATTCTGACTGCAAGTAAGTGTCGTTTGAAGTTTTGTTCCATTTTTGTGTTGCTTTCCTTCCTGGCATGTCATTGGCATTGGCATGCATCTCATCGTCTATCTCAAATCGCCGCTTTTAGACCAGCTGCCGTTGTTCTCCTTGCCCGTTGTGTGGATGGCGATCGGCACACTTGCACTTTCGCCGTTGCACGCCAGCTTTACAGTCGGCGAGGCAACCCTCGTCTTGTCCTTTGTTTCGTTTATGGCCCACGACTGTTTAACAAATACTGCTACACAGGTATGCACAAGCATGCGCCCTGTTCCATGTCGCCCTCTCATTTGTTCGCTCGTTTGTTGCGCTCACACGTTCTAACATTGCAAATCTATGCCAGCTGATACGCTGGGAATTCTTATTTGGAACACCGGCGGTTGCTGCGCGCCCGCGCTCGTCAAACTCTGCTCTGCATCGAGTTTCTGCTGGTGGGCATGCTGGGGGTGGCTTTCTATGCACAAAAGCACATCACTGACTGCTACTGGGCCACATACCCGGCTCACCGTCGAGGTCAAGAGCCGTCAGCCAGACAAATTACAACGACAGTGTCCTTTTTCGGCGTCGTTGTCGGCATCATACTCGTGATCTACTTTCCTTGGCTGAGCTATCTACTGGGCGAGAATCCGTTCGCATACGCTGTTGGGATTGCCGCTGCGGCTCCTTCGAGGTTGTGGACGTGTGCGCTGTGGCTTGGAGCCATCGGCGCCACAATCTTCGTGCTCAACTACACGTCGGTCGGCTCGGGCCTCCCTGGCATCATTCAGCGCAAGTTTTTCCACTTTCTCGCCACGTCCATGTTTCTCCCCGTCGCCCTCATGGACGTGGAGTTTTTGCGACTCAGCATTGCCATTGCGCTGAGCGTTTTCATTCTCTTTGAAATGATTCGGGCAGGGCGGGTTTGGCCCTTTGGGCAGGCGATTCACGAATTTATGGAAAAGTTTGTGGATGAACGCGACGCTGGCAACATTGTCCTCACGCATTCATACCTGCTGCTTGGTTGCGCCCTTCCCATTTGGTTTTCTGCTTGTCTGGAGCCTGCTTCTTCTACGACGAATCTTCACAACGGCCCTCCTTCTGACGAGGCTTCGTTGGGCCACTTTTGGCGCGTGGTGATGCCTGGCTTGGCGGGACTGGCTGCGCTGGGTGTTGGGGATGCTATGGCGTCGCTCGTAGGCGTGAATTGGGGCCGAACGCGCTGGCCTGGCACCAGCAAATCGGTAGTCGGCACGCTCGGCGGGGGTGTCGCCATGTTTGTCCTCCTGCTTGGCGTTGTTCTGGTTTTCCCCGGCGGTGCATCTTCTCTCACGCTTGCGCGTTTTGTCCAGCTGGCTCTCGGATGCACCGCCACCGCTCTATTTGAGACCTTCACCCAGCAGATTGACAATCTCGTGCTTCCGTTGTTCTCCTACGCCGTGTTTGTCTCGCTTCTTTGATTTCTCGCATTGTTAATCATCTTAATAGCATTTGTTTCGTTGTTGCTGCTGCTGTTGTTGTTGTTGTTATTTGCCATGTGCATCAACTTTTTCTATTCCATGCAAAAAGATTTTTCTGACATTGAGTGCGCAGTTTTTTTTTTTTTTTTTTCTTTCCCTTCTCGTTCTTTCTCATTCTTTCTCATTTTCACTTCCCCCTGAATGAGCTTGTCGGACGCCGAGCGTCGCTCTGCCTCTGCCGCAGTGTCTGAAGCAGTCGCAAGCGCAGCCACAGCCACGGCCACAGCCGCAGCGTCTGCGAGTGACGATGCTCACGCTCGCGCTCGCTCACCGTCGTCGGCATACACGTCACCGGCGTCCTCGTCGTTCCCCGGGTCACGGGCTGCCTCGCCCTCCGCACTGACGCCGCCGACTGCCAACAAGCATCCAAACGCTACTACTACGGCCACTCCAGCCGCAGCGTCGAGCAGCAGCAGTGGTGGCAGCAGCAGCAGCAGCAGCAGCAGCGGTGCCAGCGCTTGGACGGAAGCACTCCTCTCGCTCGCGTTACTGGCAATGGACTTTGTCACCGTCCCAACAACAACAGCAGCAGCAGCAACTATCGACGAGACACAGCTGCAACGTACGACGACGACGAGCGAGGCCAGCAAGAGCCCGCTGGTCGTGGGCGCGCCCGTGTTTGCGCGGCTGGCGTTCGTCGCTGCCGCTCTGACGTGCTTCCTGGCAGTCGTGCCGCCGGGCTCGTTCCTGTCAGGCGTGTTCTGGGCAACGGTGACGATTGTCTCGATGCAGTGCGTGGCCGCGTGGATGCTCATCGTCCCGGGGAGCCTCAAGACGGACATCCATGCCAAGCAATTGCGATGGGTCGAGATGTACACTGCACCGCTCGCATCGTCATCATCATCGTCGTCGTCGCCAGCAGCACATCCAAGTACACTACAGCGGAGCGTTGCTGGGAAACACGGGCTGCGCGACGATCCACCAGAGGAGCATGCCCAGCGCCTGTTCGCCCCGCTGCGATTGCGCCAGCGCGTTGCCGAGGCTGGACCTGCGTCGTCCATCTTCTCGTCATCTTCGGCGGCTGCACCGTTGCCGGCCCACTTGTTCAAGCAAATCCAGGAGCGCATCAAGGCTGCCACGGGCGAGCAGCTGAGCGAGATCTTGTTCAAGCGGAAAGGCTGGCTGCACATTGCCACCTCTCGCGATCACGAACCGACGCAAACCTTTTCGCAAATGATGGCACTCCACCCGCGTCGCCCAAAGTACTGCGTCCTCAAGGGCACCAATCTGTTCATCTACACGTCCCAGGCCGCCTATCGCGCCAATGACTTTGAATCGTCCATTGAGCTTGTTCCAAGCACGACGGCCAGCACCGAGCATGTCCAGGTCTCCTTTGTGCCCGCAGAGCTCGACGAGGATCACCGCTGGTCGAAAAAGTATCCGATTCGTCTCCAGCTCGCTAGCAACAATAGTCCTGCTCATGTAAAGCTTGCAGCGATCGCAAACGCACAAGGAGGCGCAGCTGGTAGCTTGCCATCTTCTGGAACGGCATCTCCTCGAAAGGGTGCTGCTGCTGCAGCTGCTGCTGCTGCTGCGACAAGCTCGTCGTTCAAGACACACTCTACAGAAGGAGGTCTGATTCCCGCTTCGGCCTCGTCGGGCTCCTTGACTGGTGCGAACAGCAGCAGCAGCAACAACAGCAGCAGCAATGGCCCAAGTGCAACCACCGTGTCCACGGCCGGCGTCTACTCTCGGTCGCTGTTTGCTGGCGAAAACACCGTCTACCTCTTTGCAGACTCGTGGAAGGAAAAGGAGTCGTGGTTTTACGCCCTCTACCGTGCCTCGCGTTTCGAGGACAAGGAGTTTGTCAACCGCGAAAACCTCCAAATCGGCGATTACGCCAACTACATGCACAACCTACAGACGCTGGTTGATTTGCCTCAGCATACAGTCCAGGCCTCGTCCACTGCGACAATCCCCGCACCCAGCACCGCAGCCCAATCCACCGCGGCACCGCGAATGCATGCTCGAAAATCCAGCGACTCTACTTCCGCCGCTGTGGCCGCCGCCCTTTCTCATCCCGTCGCCTCGTCGCCAATCAAATCGACCTACTCTTCGTTTGTACAACCACCATCGTCCAGCGGTGATTTGGGCGCCTCTTCTGCAGCCGGATCGGCCGCCGCTGCGTCGTCGTCATCATCATCATCTGCTGCTGCTGCAGCATCTGGAACAGCGGCACCTGCATCCATCCCGCCTCAACTCGCAGGCGCGGGCGATGCCAGCGCAATCTGGTTTAATGCGCTCTGGGGTCGACTCTACTGGGACATGAAGTGCAGCGACCACGTCAACGGCTTGTTCCGAAAGCTCATCCAGAAAAAGCTCGACAAGCTCGTCACCCCGTCATTCATGGGCCCAATTCGAATTGCCTCAATCGATCTGGGCGACGCGCCGCCGTTGATTTCCTCAATCACTTCGTGCTCGATTTCGCAAGAAAGTGGCGTTGCCATTTTTATGGATGTCGCATATCGTGGCGACTTTACAGCCACGCTCGAAACCAACGTCAAGATTGATCTCGAGACCATGGGACCGTTTGCGTCCTCTACCGCAGCAGCCAATCCCGCCGCAACCGCGTCCGCATCCGCGTCTGCCAACGCGGATTCCAATCTCGCCCCGGCTACTGCTGGCAAACCAAAGGAGGATACGAGCATGCGCGCGCGTGTCAAAGCAAAGCTCGTTGAATGGGCTGGAAACGTCTCAAGCACGCCACTCACGCTCACGCTGAACATTACTTCCGGCAAAGGCAAGATGGTTGTCCATTTGGGGCCGCCCCCGACCGACCGTTTGTGGTGGGGCTTCGAGGCCATGCCTGTGCTTGAAATGACCGCCACGCCAAAGATTGGTTCGCGTGCCATCAATCTGCCCGCCGTCACTGAATGGATTGCCGATAAACTCAAGGAGGAGATTCGCGACGCCATGGTTCTTCCCGAGTTGATTGATTCTCACATTCCCATCATGCACGAAATCTGGGACTCGACATGGCGGGTGCCAGGCCACAACCACCACCACCACCACAGCAACAACAACAGCAGTAGCAGCAGCACCAGCAACAGCATCAACAGCAGCCGACCTCCCAAGCATGCCAATGTCGCGCGAAACGCGTCCGCTGACGCTGCCGGCACAACCACGCTTCCACCAGTAGTCATCTCGTCATCCGCCAACTCAGGCGGGTCTTTGTCGTCCAATGGCGCAGCCCAACCCGACGCTCACGCAACGTCCAATCTTGCCGCATCGATTGCCGCTGCAACAAGCATGACGACGACAGCGAAAAAGCCCGGCAAGGTGACCCCTTTTATTGCCCCCAATGTTGCGCAGCTCCTTGGTGTGACCACTCCTGCTGCTTCTGGCATGTCCGGTGCTGCACCCGTGCCCGCCTATTCCAGCAGCTCTTCCGCGGCTGTCCATTCGACACCCGCGCAGCCCGCCTCGCTTCCGTCGGGCCCGTCTCATTCTACAACACCTGCATCCACCATTCCTGCCGCGTCTGCCTCCCAAGCCCCGAATTTCAACGACCCGGAAGTGACGCTGCTCGCCCATCATCCTCCGCCGCGTCCTGCGCCGCCTGCCCCTTCCGCTCGTTACGATCCCACCCATCACAGCAGCACGCCTCCAAGCACGCAGTCGCGGCGAGAAGAGCTCGGAGACAAGTTCAAGAAAAAGTTCTCCTCTGAATTGCGTGTGCTTAGCGCCTTCAAGGACCGCGTTGGTGACGGCATTGGCGAGATTTTGCACAAAAAGTAGTGTTGTTTCGTAGTATAGCGCGGTTTTGTTGTTTTGTTGTTTTGCTTTTGAGCGAGATCGATGTACAACAATTAATGTATGCAAGAAGAAAATTTCAACCCGACCAACGCCAGCGAGTGTTTGATGAAAACAAAAAAAATATCCGTTGTGTTCAGACTAAGGATTTGGCATTTTTTTTTTCAGAACGGCGGCATTAACTGACACGATTCAAAAGAAAAAAGGTATGGCGGTGATGGCCGGACTGGAAATTACTCGGCAATGATGGCTACAGATTTGACACGCCGAGATAGACACATGGCGCAGGCATCCTCGGGCAGGCAGGAGTGGTGGAACCCATGGCCACACTCGAAAATGATCACTTTGGACGGGGCGCCAACTTTCTCCGACAGGGCGAGCATGCAGCATGGGCAGTTGGTGCCGATAAGTGCCGTCGACACACCCCAGTGAGTGAGCGGCTCTTCAAGGAAACGCGGCAAGGCAACATTGTGATCAAACACAATCTGGTTGGTTGTTCGTCCAAGCTGCAAGTACGGCGGGGCCACGGCGGCGGCCTTGTCATTTCCCCCGGCAGCCATCGCCTCCTTGAACGCGCGCTCTTCGATCACCACCTGCCGCAGCTGCGGCGCGAGGGGAGTCTGCTGCAACGACCAGAGGTAGGTATCGACGGCCTCGAGGGTGTCTTGCAGCAATGAATCTTGTTTCGCGGAAATGACAGCATCGTATACACATTGCTGATTGAGTGGAGTGTTCGGAGGAGGAGGCAAGAGTCGCGGCAGATCAGTCAAAAGATACATGAGCAGTCAGCAAAACTCTCGCTCCCACATCAAGCAGCCACCCCAAACAACAGCGTCAACGTACCTCAATCAACGAGTGCGACACAAGATCGCAGAGCATTGGACGCTGCACAAGCAGTTCCAGCGTGTTTCGAGCTCCCAAGCGTGGAATCATGGACCGCACGACTGCACGTCGAAATAAATCAAAACCAAGCGCAACGAGAAGTCGCATAATTAAGAGGCTAGCTCAACCAAAACTTTCACAGCAACCAAGAAATAGCGCTTAGACAAACCGTCATTGCAGGAAAGGGCAGTCAAGCTTTCAGAGCGCGAGCTGATTGCACGCCACGCAATCCAATCCAGCGCGGCTTCCCAATCGTCAGTCGCCAGGGCTGCGTGTGACCGAGAATAACACCAAAGACAAAAAGAAAGGTCAGCATCATCAGAACATCCATGCATGCAAACATATCAACAATCTCCCGCCCCCCGACGAAAATCCCGCTCTTACCAATGCGCTGGAGCAATTCAATATCGCCAAGCTCGGTTGAAAGTGCGATGGCCAAGTGCGACTGGCCAGTGGCCGCGAGCAGCTCGATCGCTCCAAGCCAGTAGCCGTGGCGAATGCAAACTTGCACAGCTCGAATGGGCTGCAGGGCATAGAGAACGCCCGTCTGCTCCATGTCATCGTGCTCGTCCGTCTCGGCGTTACGATCAAACAACTGGGCATGGCGAGACTGGTTGACGGGGGTGCGGACGTGGGAGATGATGTGGCGAATCGTGCCGTGCAGCTGCCAATCGACACGATGGGCCTGGGCAAGCGGCAAGCAGCTCGGCACGCCGCTGTCTTCAAGGAGCTGTTCGAGAGCCGTGTGGAGCTCGGTCGCAACGCGCTGCCAATCGTGCAGAGCAATGGTTTTGCCGTCGGGCCCTTGGACGGGCTCGGTGTCTGCCAGTGCAGCAGCAGCCAGGTCACCGATGGGGTAGCCAGGAGGCTTGGGAGCAAACAGCCGCGCTTGGTCGGGCACGGGCGTAATTTCCAGCGCAGCGGTAAGCCACCGCAAGATGAGGGCGCCGTCATTCGCAAAGAAGGCACGAGGCGGGAGATGCGAGTGAACGGTTGTCTCCGCTCGAACGAGCTGTGTGTAATACTGCGGGAGCCAGATCGAACCGGCCGGCAGGCTCTTCTCCACATTCCAAGGCTGGATGCGTGGATAGCTGGCGACGCTATACGCCAGAGCACGGGCGCCATCTCGGGTAAACAGCGTCGTCAAATACCGCAACGCGAGACCCAGCAGGTTTCCGTCAATATCTTTCAGTAGCGAGTCCAACGCGCGACCAACATTGCCTCGCTCGATTTCCCTGCGCAAAAGGCGGGGTGTAGTATGAGAAACAATGTTGAGCACGGAATTCAACTGGCTTGACCTTTGTCTCTGTCTTTCTCTCGCGCGCTCTGTCTCTCTCTCTCTCTCTCTCATCGCATTCCTTCCGATGAAGCAAACTTACGTATGATGCACTTCAATATCCATGTCGATCGCAGAGTGGCGGTCTTCAAGATCCAGCAGTAGCTGCACGCTTGCTTGGCTCTGTTGCTGGTTGCAAATGGCAAAGGCGCGGGGACGGTCCAGGAAGTAAAAGTAGCGGGTCAGCAGTTGCTGCGCAGACGCGTCATTCCAGCCCAACGAGGACGGCGCGGTGGCATCTGCCGCAGCAACAACAGGCACGACGCACCACTTGAGACAGCTGGTCATGACTTCGCCGATCAAAACCAGCGAAGAACGCGGCAGTTTCAGCGAAGTGGGGTTGAGGGTGGTGGTGGTGGTGCTGTTGTCGGTGTTGCCAGCGTCGGCAAGGGACGCAGCCTGCGCAATGCCAGCGGCAGTCTGACCAAACCACTGATCCAGGTGCGAGAGCCAAGCGCGCAGGACGGTGACCATCATGGACAGATCGACCGTAGACGATTGTGTCACCTTCTTTGCCGCGCGGGTTCTATCGAGGAATGCCTGAGTACGCGTTTCACTATCTGCATCGAACGGTGCAGCCGAGAATGGCGGTGCGACCGACGATACGGACGAGGACCCGGATGAAGTCAACCCAGTGCCGCTCAAACCGGTGGGCTGGGCCGAGGAGTCACGCGCGGAAGTCATGCTCGGGGAGGATGAGCCAGAGGTAGAGTGAGTGATGCTGGGATGGGAGCTTTGCCGAGCAGGTCGAAGCGCCTTGTCCATGAAGGACGCTGCCTTTGCCATTGCTGCAGTCACGGCCGTTGCGGCGTTGTTCATTGGATTGACGGAAGACTGCTGGGCACCACCTTGAGCCCCTCCGACAGGCGCGAGAAGCATCGGGCTTGCATTTTGAGCGGCGGGCACAACTGCCGGAGAAGCAGCGGCTACCGGTGGTGTGGCCAAAGCGATCGGTTGGGTCGCTGAAGCGGGCGTGGTTCCAGGAACGTGCGACGCAGAGGTTGGCGGCGAAGGAGCAGCCGTAGGCGGCGCGGAGGAGACATGAGCTGGACTCTCGCTGACGGCGACAGGTGTAACAACAACGCCAGGCGACGGGTCAGCAACAGCCGCCGCCAACGGAGAAGGCAGCGCGGGGGCGGATGGAAGAGAAGCAGCGTCGGTGGCAACGATCTGCGCTCGTTCAGTGGTTGGTAGCCCGGAAGTTGGAACCGGAGCAACCGCTGTTGGAGCAGGAATCGCAGACGGCGGAGCACGAGCATTCGGCCCAGTCTCGACAGAGGTTGAGCGCGCAACCGAGGGTTTAGCTGCTACAGGAGTTGTGCTGGCGGCAGAGGCAGGGGTTTCAATATCTGCCAAAACAAAAAACAATGCGTGCAGGTGAGTGAACAAAAACATCAAGAAAAAAAAAACCCTGTTAAAACGTCACAAAAACCAAAAAACACTACAATCCAAAGACGTACCGGTGATTCTGGCGACTTTCTTTTTCTTCTTTTTAGGAACTGCAACTGCAGCCGCTGGCTCTTCGGCAAAAATGTTGGCCGCGCTGGAACCGGGAACAGCGGCGGCAGCAGTGGACGCAGAAGCAGCTGACACAGTGGAAACAGAAGCAGCGGTAGCAGCAGAGCCAGTGGAAGCAGTAGGCACGGTGACAGCCGATGGAGGTGCATCCACAACAGCAGCGGCCTTCTTCTTCTTCTTTTTGGGAACCGCTAAGGGCACATCACCGCTCGCAGCCGCCACAGCAACCGCGCTAAAGTCCTGGCTCTGCGCGGGCAACGCCGAGCTTGAGGCATCTGGAACCTGTGACGAAAGTTGCTCTTGCACTTCGGCCACAGGTGGGACTTGCTCGGTGGAGGGAAGAGGTGGCTCAACTGCTGGAATTGCAGTTGAGGCCTCGAGCAGCTCCGTGTTGTTGTTCGCCAAAACCAGCGGTTCTGCAGGGTTGGTGGCAGCCGGTGCTTCAATCGCTGTGAGTGCAGGAAGCGTGGGCGTCTCAACAGATACCTCTGCTACTGAGGTGGTGCTGGTGGTGGTGGTATCAAGTGAGATTTGCGTGTCGGAGGGTTCCTCAGTTGTTGTGGCGCTGTCAACTGACGCTGCAACTTCAACTTCTGCAGGCAACAACGATGATTGCTCTTCCGGAGCTTCGACAGACGCGGGAATTTCATCGACAGAAACAGCGGCAACGGCCAGCTCGGATGTTGGAGGAGGAATTGAATCAAGCAATGGTGCAGCAGGCTCCGTTGAGGTAGACACCTCCCCCTCAAGTGGCTGATCGGGTTGCACGGAGATTTCAGCCAGATCGGCAGCTTCATCAGAAGCCATGATGGTTGTATCGAGATCGGACTCGGCCACAGCGATGACAGAAAGCTCATTCGGTTGCTCAACAGCAGATGTGGTCTGTGCCTGATCCTGCTCATCAGCAGCCGGAATCTCGGGCACCTGCGACGCTTCAGCAAGAACGCTCTCGTCGACAGCTGGCGCTTGTGGTTCCGCGGGCGGGACAGAAACCGAGTCCGCTTGCGCTTGCGGTGGTTTGATCTCGGTCTCGACAATGATGCGAGTCGGTTCTGACACTGCAGCAGGCATCGACTGCTCAGGTTCTGTCACTGGTGCAGCTTGCTGTGGAACTGGCGCCGGTTCATCTGCTTCCGCCGCTTTTTCAGTCGCTGGGACAGGCGTAGCAGCAACAGTAACAGCAACAACAGCAGCAGCAGAAGACGGTGCAATTTCGGACGGAACGGCAGCCATGGCAGCCAAGTTGGCAGCCGTCAATGCAAACCCAGAAGACGACGGCTGCGAAGCAGCGGCAGGCAACACACTCACAGCGCCTTCAAAGCCCGAAAGACTGATCGTGTCACCTCCGGCAACAGAAGTCGTGTCGGAATCGTGATCCCAGCCCATGCTCACGGCATCGTCTTCAAAGAACATATCCGCTTCCATTTGCGCGGCAATGTCAACGGCCGTGGGTTCGTGGTCACCAGCAACTTCCAGCATACGCTCGAGCGCAGTCGTCTCCACAAGCGCCCGGAGTTGGGCCGACTCGTCTGCTGACATTGAGGCTGCCGCGTTTGCAGAAGCCTCGCCGCCGGCTCCATCCGAAAGGCGCAGCTCGCGAGCACGCAGTTGTGCCAGAATGGATTCCATTGTTGAAACGGACACGATATCCGCAAATTCGGTCGCCGACAGCCGCTTAAAGTAGTCTGACGCCAGCAGTGCCGCCTGCAGCCACCGCTCCTTTTGGCACAGCCGAACAATACACGACGCGGCAGTGATAAAGGACCATTTGCTGACACAGCCAGCCGTGGGGACGTTGGAGGCAGCCGCAGCAGCGGCGGCGAGCAGAGGATTGGTCTGCTTGGGCGCCCAAGTGTCGTGGAGAATATACACATCCTCACCATAAACAACGACTTGTCGAATGTCTGTCAGCTCGCCGACATGAGCTTCAATGACGCCAACAAAGACGGGGTCGAGGACGGCGAGCATCGTCTCGTTCCAGGCAAGCGCAAAGCGATCGACAAGCATCGAAAGCGAGATGAACGACGTCGAAAGGGAGGCGCCCGTGCTGGAGCGAGCATCGACAGCTGGCTCGCTATCCGGGCTCGCGGCAGCGCTCTTGAGATCGAGGACCTGGCGGTGCTTGCCGGCGAACGTTTTGCGGAAACTCAGCGTGCTCAGCACCACGCCCATGTCGGACGCCTCCCACAGGCGAGATCCGGGCCGCGCTGCGTACACGTACAGTTGTGCCGGGGTGGGCAGCAGCGTTGGTGGACCGGCATCGTCGGCGGCAGCGTTGGCTGCTGGGGCGTCATCGTCGTCACCACCGGCAGCAGAGGCCGCAGAGGAGACGTACGATCGAATGTGGACACACGCACCGAACGTGCCATCGCGGGGCTTCTTTCCCACTTGGATGGCCTGCCGGTTGGAGGTGTCGAGGATGGTGCAGCGCGTCAACGTGGACGCGATCAGCAGTTGTCGCCCGGAATACGGGTTGATGATGCCCGGGGCCACCACGCTGGGGGCTGCTGCAGGCTGTTGCTGGGACGAGCTGCCAGGCCCTGTCGGCATGGGCACGCCGGGAGTGCGACCATACTGGAGCTGGGTGATGCGCGAGTCGCCTCGCATCATGAGGTCCGACGTGCGGAAGATGCTGGCAATGCTACGCGAGAAGGAGGTCGAAAAGACGCGGCCCGTGTCGTCTCCCGAGAAGAGCCGTTGCCCTCGATCGTCCCATTCCAGCGCGGTGATGCTCGAGTTGCGGTGTTCTGTAATGGCGACAATCTGCTTTTCCTTCAGCTTTGCGCGGTGCAAATTCAACTGCCACACAAGGACGATGCCCTGGACCGTGCCCATCGCAATGACATTGTCATTCGGGGCGAACTTGATGCATGTCAGTGCGCCGTGCTTGGAAGCCAGCAGCAGTAGAAATCGGTGCATTCCCGCTTGTCCTGTTGCTCCTCCTGCTCCAGCCGCTGCTCCAGCTGCTGCAGCACTCGGTACCACGACGGTGGGGCCCAGCTCGGTGATGGTCTGTCCTGATGCAGCAGTTGCCAGGTTGCTCGTCGTGCGTCCTGACAGTCGGTCAAACACGTACAACCCGCCAGAGTTGGCTCCGAACGCCAAGTACCTTCGCGAGACGTCCAGGCAAGTGTACTAACAAAAGATGATTCAAAAACAAAAGCAAGTGAGATTGTCGAGCAGCAACGAAGGCCCACAAGCAGTCAGGGATATGAGTGAAGGGTGATGAAAAGTCAGTTGATCAAGCTCCAACGTCGAGGTTTTGCCCTCTCGAGCGGCAGACTCGGCGATTGAGGACGTTGCTTGTGGCACCAGCAGGCAAAATGCAAGGCTGAAGGCCATCGGAAGGGAGAAGGAGAGCGCGCGCGAGAGAGAGAGAGAGAGAGAGAGAGAGAGAGAGAGAGAGAGAGGAGAGGAACGAAAGCGCCAATGGCGGCAGCTGACCTTGATGCGACGCGCGGTGGCGAGCGGCTCGAGCACCGAGGACATGGACTCGCTTTCAACGAGGAGACGGTGCTGCTGCGACGGGTGCGACGGGTGGTGCTGCGGCACTGGCTGGTACGCACCGACCGGCCGCGGTTGTTGTTGCTGCGTTAGCCGTGAAGCCATTGTGTCGTTCAAGCCACTCTCTCGATCAGTGTATGTTGTGTGCTGTTGAAAATGGTCGACTGAGCCATCTCATCGTAGTTTGTTGAGTTTTGGGGCTTGTTGGGGTTTTCGCACGATTGGGACAACAGTGAGATTCTCAGATCACGCTGCGAGCTGAACTTGAGTTTGTTTTTCAGTTTGTTTGTTTTTCTTTTTCGCCCTCTGATCTTCAATCTGATTTCTAAGATTCTGAATTGGTTTTTATATTTTCCCCCTCCTTTTTCTGTCTCTCTGTCTTGGTTCACTCTCTCTCTTTGTTTCAAACAAATGCGACGGTCGTTCGCGCCGTCTGCATTCAAGTCGCCTTTGGTCAAGCGCGTCTGCCTCGGTCTGTTGCTTCCCGCTCTCCTCTCTCTCTTCTCGCTCTCTCTTGCGCTTCTCCTGCTTCTTTTTCCTTTGATCATCCTGCACTGCACGAGAGTGAGACTGAATGAAGCGCAACACAAAAAGATGCAAAAACACAAAAGTTGCGCCCAAGTTGCAAGGAAGAAAGTTGCGATCATGTTGTTTCAGATTGAAACCAGCCATCGTAGTTCGTTGCTTGTCTGCGTTGTGGCGCTGACCGAGTGTTGCTGTGCTGGCTGCTGGCGTTGGTCACAGATGGCGGCGAGAGTGGAACGCAAGTCGCAGTCGCATCGCCCGTCGCGCAACCCACACACGACACACACGAGCCAGAGCGCAAGCAGCAAGAGGAAGGAAGCGATTTTCCCGCGCTTTTGGCCTCGCCCACCCCAGCGCCCCCAGCCGTGCAGCAGCCTGTCGCCGTCGGCGGCGAGCGCCACGTACCCACTCCATCGGTGCCAAAGTTCAAGTCTCCAGTGGCCGTCGGCCGCCCTGTGGTGCCTGGCGTGGCCGGCAGCTCGAGCAGTGCCGCCCAACAGCAACCTGCCGCGACGACCGCTTCTTTGACGGCCACAGGCCTCGCGACAGCAGGCGAGGCCGAGCCACCTACACGGTACTTTAGCGCAATGTGGTGCAAGCTGTCCAACAAGAAGCACAAAAGCTGGGAGAGCGACGCTGTGCTGATTGTCAAGGGCCGGAAGGTGACGCTCAAGGACAGCGAAGGCAAGGACATTGGACAATCGAGCAGCTATGGCCCCAAGGAACTCGCCAGCCTCAAAAGCGGCGAAACATTGGTGGTCGGCTCTCGAGAGGTTGAAATCAACCAACCGATTGCGCCCGAAGATTTCATGTCGGGACGGTGTTTCACTGCTGTCGGCATTGGCGCTGCCACCACCAAGCACGTGCCCGGGTCAAAAACCGCGGCAACTAGTATGACAAGCACGGGGCTGGCTTTGGCGGCCAACATGGCCGCGCCTCGCGTGTCTACCAGCTTCCGAAAGGTCGTGACCAGCGCGACCGTCTTGCCGAACGGTCCTGCGCCACCGCCCCCAGCCAGGCATGACCCCACTGCTGAAAACGCGCTGGTCATGCAGCGGCCATCGCGAGAGCATTACAAGCTCCACGGCAAAGGAGTGCCGCATGTTGTCGATGTGGTGGTCGACCCATTCCTGAGCGTGCAGCTCCGGCCGCACCAGCGCGACGGCGTCCGGTTTCTCTACGAGTGCGTGACTGGCATGCGCACCGATGCCGGCTTTGGCGCCATTCTCGCAGACGAAATGGGTCTGGGCAAGACCCTGCAATGCGTGACGCTTCTGTGGACGCTGCTCAAGCAAGGCCCGTACATGGGCACCGCGCTCGTCAAGCGAGCCTTGGTGGTGTGCCCGAGCTCGCTGGTGAAAAACTGGCAGCGGGAATTCAAAAAGTGGCTGGGCGACCATCGGCTCCAGACCTTTGCCGTCTCGGCCGAAAACCGACCCGATGCCTTCCTGCTCCAGACGGTCATTCCTGTCATGATTGTGAGCTACGAGATGCTGCGCCAAGAGATTGATGTCATTTCAAAGGTTCCCTTTGACATTGTCTTTTGCGACGAAGGGCATCGGCTGAAAAACGAGTCGGCCAAAATCTCGCAGGCGCTCATGTCGCTCAGCACGCGCCGCCGCATCATCCTGACTGGTACGCCCATCCAGAACGACCTGCAGGAGTTTTTCAGTCTGCTCGAGTTTTGCAACCCTGGCATTGTCGGCACCGCGACCACGTTCAAGCGCATCTACGAAAACCCGATTGTTGCGTCTCGACAGCCCGAGGCGACGCAAGATGAAAAGCTGCTTGGCCAGCAGCGTGCGAGCCAACTGCAACAGCTCACCTCCTTGTTCTGTCTGCGGCGAACGTCGGATGTCAACCGTCAGTACCTGCCTCCGAAAAGTGAGTTATTGGGATTTTTGTCGGGGTTTGCTGGGGTTTGTCGGTTTGATGAATTGGGGAGGGGTCTTTTGCTGATATTATGACTTGATTCGATTGCAACAGTCGAGTACGTCGTCTTTTGCGAACCATCCCCATTGCAACTGGCCATCTACCGCAAAGTATTGCAATCTGCTCCACTGCGATCCTGCTTTGACTCGAGCAGTCGTGCTTCCCAGCACCTGGTCGCCATTACCAGCCTCAAGAAGATTTGCAACTCGCCCGCGCTCATTCATGAGCTTGCGAAGGTTTGTGGGGCGCGATGCTCCCGCATCTTTGGAAACAACTGACGCCCGTTTCTCACACACTTGCTGACTTGTGTAGAATGCCGAGAAGGACTCGTTGTTCGCCAACACGATCGACCTCTTTCCCGACGACTTTTCTCCCGACACGTTTGATGCGGCACATTCTGGCAAGCAGCGAATTTTTTGGATGTGGGCCTTGCGTTGTATCGACAAACTGACTTTTTTTGTTTTCTCTCTCTCTCTCTCTCTCTCTCTCTCTCTCTCTCTCTCTCTCTCTCTCTCTCTCTCTCTCTCTCTCTCTCTCTCTCTCTCTCTCTCTCTCTCTCTCTCTCTCTCTCTCTCTCTCTCTCTCTCTCTCTCTCTCTCTCTCTCTCTCTCTCTCTCTCTCGCTCTCTCTCTCACACTCTCTCTCTCTCTCTCTCTCTCTCTCTCTCTCTCATTTTTTTTTTTTCGTGGGCAGGCAAAATGGCAGCTCTGGCACAAATCCTGTGCACAATCAAGCGCGACACGACTGATCGCGTTGTCATTGTCTCCAACTACACTCAAACGCTCGACCATCTCGAGAAACTTTGCGCTGCATACGAGTTTTCCTTTGCCCGTCTCGACGGCTCGACACCCACAGCGAAACGACAGCCCATCGTGGAGGCCTTCAACTCCAAGTACAGCACAGATTGTAAGACACCACAATTCCCCCCCCCCCAAACAAAACATTGGAGCCATAAGAAGTTATGAACAAGCCGTTAACTGTTTTTTATTATTATTATTATTCTTATTATTTGCAGATGTCTTCCTTCTAAGTTCCAAGGCTGGTGGTGTTGGCTTGAACCTTGTTGGAGCCTGTCGTCTCATTTTGGTCGACACCGACTGGTAAGTTTGTCTTGGCAGAGGGAGGTAGCGCTATGAGCGATCGGCAGCTCACATTCGAACAAATCGCAAACCAGGAATCCGGCCAACGATCTGCAGGCCATGGCGCGTGTGTGGCGCGACGGGCAGACGCGAACCGTGCATCTCTACCGCATGCTTTTGACAGGAAGCATCGACGAAAAGATTTACCAGCGACAGCTTTCCAAGCAAGGCTTGAGCGTCGCCGTGTCGAGCAACGAAGGCGAGGCCTCGGCTGTCTCGTTCTCGCAGGACGAATTGCGAGACTTGTTTTCGCTTCGAGAAGACACGCTGTGCGATACGCACGATTTAATGTCCTGCTCGTGCGAGACTGGGCGGGCCGCGCGTGAGGTCAATGATTCTGAAAATGTCGGCGGGAACGCCCTGAAAAAGACTGGGCTTGGTCGCGGGGGCGCCGCAGCCGCTCTCAAGCAGCGCCTCATTGACACCGGCAAGCTTAAGGCCTCCGTGAGCAGCGAGCTTCAAAGCTGGGCACACGTCGACCGCCTTCATTTTGAGCAACTTCCGTCGGTGCGTTTATTCGTTTGGCTTTGCTTTGCTTTGCTTTCCGTGTTCCGCTTCTGTCGGTGACGCTTGACTCACCCGTCTTGACTTGACTGAACTGCAGGACGCCGGCTTGAACGATGTTACGCTGGATGGGAAGCTGTCGTTTGTGTTTCATCGCGTTTTTAGCTTTGGGAGTGCACCGGCACCATCTTCTGAGCCGACACCGATGACTGTGGACGGCACAGATGTGGCTGGAGCCGCGGCTGACGAGTCCTTTGCAATCGCAGAGCTCACAGCCGAGGACTTTGAAGATTGAAAAAAAACGTTCAAGTCAAGTGGCATGAACATGTCGTCCTTTGTACATTTAAAAGCAAAAAAAACTAAGTTTGTGTATTTCACAAAGAAATGCAAAGAAAGAATTCCCTGTAGATTTTGATTCCAGCACATCAGCAGACTGTTGCAACTACAGCCCCAAAGCTTAATGACCAGCAGCAGTAGGACCGTCAGCAGGCTTCGGACGATAGGTGTTGACGGCAGGAACGTTGACCTTGAACATTTCAACCTTGCAGCCGTAGGCAATCGGTGTCAGCTTGATGACCGTATGGAGGGGCACGTCCACATAGGGCAGCTCTTCTGAGGGCTTGTCCAAGAAGTATGCCAGCAGGCACCGGAGGACGGCTTGGTGGCCAACGACCACGACATCCTTTTGACGCTCGAGCTCCATGATGCACGGCTCCAGTCGAGACACGACATCGCGGTAGGACTGTTGGCAATGGCATCATCAACCAAATAATGTGTACGAACGTCAGTAACGGAGCAATGCTTGGGCGCGTTATCACGCAAGAAGGCAGTCGTCGACAAAAAATCAAACCTCGCCACGGGGGTAGCGATACAAGTACTTGTCTTCATCACGTCGCGCAAAGTCTTGCGGGAATTTTTCCTATTCCAACGCAAAGAAACACACAAAAAGAACGTGAGTGACTCGCAAAGCCTGATGGCTTGAAACTTCGCCAACGAAAAACTTCAAACCTGAATCTCCTCGTAAGTCATCCCATCGCACTCGCCGGCATCCAGCTCGTCGAGCGCTCGCCATTCGACAAAAGGCCGGCCAAACACCGCTGCCGTTTGCCGCGCGCGAGTGAGAGTACTGGTCCAGATCTGAAAAGCAGGAGGAAGAGACAAAGGGAAGTCAAAAAGAAATAGTCAGCTCTGGTTGACAACAAGCTGGGGGGGGGGCTCCAAGCTCTGCAGCAATAGTGACGCCTACAGTAAAGTCTTTCGGGCCAAACTCGGCCATCCAGTTCTTGAGCTCGCGGGCGTAGGCTTGGCCACGGCTGCTCAAAGGAGCATCGCCACCAATCTTGCCCTCTACGTTGTACTCGCTCTCGCCATGCTAACAGAAATGTCAAGGGCAACAATCAGAAACAACAAGCCAAAAACAAAGTCAACCACACACACACACAAAAAAAACTCTAACAAAAATGATGGCATCTCGACACGAATTAGCAAGCTTACCCGAGTCAGGTAGATGGCACGCGGAGCAATGTGCGTGTTCATCAAAAAGTAGACAATGCGGCTCTGCAGATAGCCGGTGGTGCGGTTGACGACAAACTTGGCACCGACATCAATCATGCGAATGTAGCTGAGATGCTTGTCGAGCTCGTCGTCCATGGGCTCGTATGCTGCCTGATAGTGCTGGATGCGTTGGATAAAGTCCTCAATGGCAGCCTCCGGGGGCATGTTGCGGTAATCCGGAGATCCGAGCTTGACGAGCTGGATGTTTTGACGGATGAGGTCTGGATCGTCGCAGATGGACTCGATGAAGAAGGTCTGGATTTTCTCCTTTGTCATCGTGTCGACAATCAGCTTGCGGCGGTTGCGTGTCGTGTTGGTGGCGTCGTAAAACCCGACACGGCCGCCTTCCTTGAACCACTGGAGCAAATCCTGCAGCGCGACGAACGAAATTTCACGGCGCTTCTGCTCCGCCTCGGCGTTCTTGGGATCGAAAAAGTCGGCTTTCTGCTCGGCGCCCACCGTTTCGCGGCGATACACGCCGACATTGAAGACCTTGGCCTCGACGCCCAGCCAGCACAGGTAGCGCGCGAGTTTTCGCGCAATGTACGACTTGCCTCTCGCGGGCAGGCCCACCATGACTGATGAAAATCAATGACAAAGGGAAGGCCAAAAACGAACAAGAAGCAAGTCAAGGTGAGGACAACGGCGATGAAAACAAAAAGGGCATTGTTCTGAGAATTGAGTGAGATTGAATAAATTTGGGAACCGGCAAAGATGAAGATTGAAGAGTCGAAACCCATCCCCCCTGCTGCTACCACAAACAAACGAATGAAAGAAGAGAAACCCCCACTGCAAAAACGATGTCCACCGAGACACAAGATGGAGTCGAGAAGTGAGAGGGTGTGATACGGTGATATGGTCAAAGTGCGAGTAAGATTTTTGGTCGGATTCGCACAAAGACGGTCGAACCACCAAAAAGCGCGAACAAACGCCGGTCGTCCTAGTCAAAACGCGTCGTCGACCCAACCGCTTCCACTTGCAATAGCGAAACTGGCATACCGATGGCAAGCTTGTCTGGAGTGCCCGTCGGTGTGATTGAGGCGTGCGTTGCGCGCGAGTTGGTGAGCAGCGTCGAGAACGACTTGGACGAGACCAGCCCGGTGCGCGGATGCGACGAGCCGCCGCCGCCGCCGCCGCCGTGGTGTCCGTCGCCAGAGGACGAGGATGAGGACGAGGATGCCGACGAGGATGAAGTCGAGCTGGCTGCTGCTGCGGCGGTCGCGTTGGCGAGTGCGCGCTCGGCCAGCTGCGCCGAAGACGAGTCCGTCAGCTGCGTCGAGTCTGCTGCAGCAGCAGAGTGTTGATGCGCCATTTGTCCGGATGAGAGACTGAGCTATTATTGCGTATTGGTTTCAGAATGAGCTTTAGCTAGTCCTATATGTGGTGATGAACCCAGCGAATGCTCGTCACAGTGAGCGGTTTGCAGGTCGAATTGAGATTTGCTTGGTCAAGTCCTGCTTGTCTTGAGTGAGAGCAAAGTGTGCGTGTGTGTGTTTGATGTGCTTGCTATCATGTCGTGAGTACGACGTGTCGCTCTCAGAATCTCACTATCCTGTCACGTCAATCTCAGTCCTTGTTTCGCTCTGGTTTTTGAAACAAAACATGCACGTCTTGATGGTCTGCTTGGGTAGGTGCCTTTTGGCAGCTGTTGAGATGACAGCTGCATCCTAACACTGACGATGTAATGCTGCGACTAGGGAACATTTGCCGGTCGCCAATGGCCGAGGCAGTGCTCGCTCATCTCGTGGCAGAGGCCGGATTGACGGAAACCTGGCGGGTGGACTCGGCGGGGACTGCCAACTACCATGTCGGAGACGCCCCAGACCACCGCACAGTGCAAGTGTGCCGATCGCGCAACGTGGCCATCAAGCACACGGGCAGGCAGCTCTGCAAGGAGGACTTTGAGCTGTTTGACTGGATTCTCGTCATGGACGACTCCAACCTCAGCAACACGATGAATGTGAAATCGCGCCACTATGGCCAAAAGAAGACTCGAGCAACTGTGGAGCTTCTAGGAAACTACGACCCGACTGGCAAGCGCCTTGTTGACGACCCTTACTATGTACAGTAGTCGCGCCAACACAAACTTTTGCCCGTTTGGTTTTTGGTTTGGTACCGACCTCTTGCTCACTGAATCAACTCTACCTGGAAATTGATTGGTTTAGGGTGGTATCTCAGACTTTGAGGACGTGTTTGCACAGTGCGAGCGCTCGTTGCGACGATTTCTTGAGGCCCACAAGGCCTCCTGAACGAGAGATTATCCATTCTTTTTGTGGGGTGTTGTAATCGCCTGCGTGTCGTTCTAGACTGGTATACAGCTCAATCGCATAACAGCAACCATGGACCTTTACTGCTGGACAAGCAAATACCAAACAGAACACCGCAGCGGCGTTGTGGGTAGCGAAAACAAAAAAACCCGTTTCGTTCATGTTAGTCAGACTTTGTGGTGTCGGTAGAGGTGGTGGTGGTGGTGATTGCGCGTTCGCGTGCTGGTGCGGCTGGCTGCGCTCGCGTTGCGACGTCAGACAGGGCGGATGGAGCGGAAGGCACAACGCCTTGAATGCCCTTGAAAACGGCGAGAGCTTGGGACACCATACTGGCGGGGTCTGTTGCGTTTGCGGGCAACAGGATCGTGTTGCCGGCCTTTGCAATCTTGCTGAATGCCTCCATGTACTGCTGTGCCACCGAGAACGACATGGCCTCAGCACCTCCCTGGCGAGCCATGGCTGCGCCAACCTCCGTGAGCGATTGAGCTGTCGCTTTGGCAATAGACTCGATGGCTTGCGCTTGACCTGTGGTTGAAAAGTCATCCAGCAGCAGAATGGTGATGATGATGAGAGGGAGGACATTCTCGGTGCGAGTCAATGATGACTTGAGGTCAATTCGACTTTGTTCTGAATTTACCTGTCGCCTCGTTGATCTGCTTGAGACGCTGTGCCTCGGACGACAGAATCATGCTTTGCTTGTGACCTTCTGCGATATTGATGGCAGCCTCACGTTGACCTGCAGGAATCGAGGACAAGTTGAGCGAACTTGCACAAATCAAAAAAACGATGACAACAGTGGGACTCTTTCATCTCAACCCCAAAGCATGCCGCACCTTCAGACTCGAGAATGGCCGCGCGCTTTTTACGTTCAGCGGCGACTTGCATTTGCATCGACTCGATAACACGCTCCGGGAGCTGAATGTCACCTGAGATGCAGGAGAGTGTGAGCAAAACGATGCAACAGCGGGGTGCATTCATCAAGCACAAGCTCTTACGAATTTCATAGCGCAGACACGTGATGCCCCACACGTTCGAAGCGCTGTTGATGGCCTCTACAATGCGAGCGTTCAGTGAAGCGCGCTCCTTGAAGACATCATCGAGCTTCATCATGCCGATTTCAGAGCGCATCGTGGTCTGCGCGAGCTGTTTGACAGCGTACTCTGGGTTTTCGACTCCGTATGACGCCTGATGGTGCGAGCGAGGTTGAGAAACAAAAAAAAACACACCAGTGATCAGCAACGAATGCAATAATGCCAAAAAAAAAAAAAAAAAAAAGTGAACAAAAACACAGCACTCTCGCCACTGACCTTCTTTGGATCCACAATGCTCAAATAAAGGACGCCATCCAAGTTCAGGGTTACGTTATCTGGGTGATGAGCGATTGGGCAAACGCAGATGAGTCAAACACCTTATGAACGCACAGAAACGACACAAATGACACCGTTTTGAGCTACCTTGAGTGATTGCAGACTGGGATGGAATGTCCAGCGCCAGCTCTTTCAATGAGTGCACATATCGGATTTGGTCGACAATCGGGACAAGCAGGTTCAATCCGGGCTCGAGCACCGAGTGGAACTTGCCAAAGCGTTCAACGACCCAAGCCTCTTGCTGCGGCACAAAATTGATTCCCTGCAGCCAGAAGCAAGTATGATTTCGAGGACAATGTAAAAGTCAGGATTGTGAACGTTTATATCGTGTATCTTGTGTGAAGTGCATGTCTTGGCGGGCTGGACGGTCGTGGTGGTCCATTTGCTGCCCCATCCCCCCCCGGGTCAGAACAAACCAAGCACACATGCGTTCTGCTGAAGGTGGATTGTAGCCATACCGTGTTGAGCGGGATGGTCTGGCGGCGCGACTGGAGGCTGGCGTGGCGAACTGGCGCTTGTGACAGCGTAGGACGGAGGGCAGCAGTGGCGAGACCAGTGCGCGCTGCGAGGCCGCCGTACCGCGCAGCAGCAGCAACAGCAGCAGGATGTGAGATGACGGAGGCAGACGCGACTGCCGACGGGAGCAGCGTGGCCGAGCGCAGCATGGACGAGGCAGCAGCAGTCTGCATTTTGAACTCAAAAAAGCTCAGAAAATCGGGACAAGTAAGGGAATCAAAAACAAACAAAAAAAGACTGAGATTCTTAGTTAGTGCAAAGTACCAAGTCGACCACGGAGAAAGTGCTCCTCCATGCTTTGGCTCACAGTGAAACTGCTGAATCCATTCATCTCTCCTTCTTCCATGCGTGCCGTAGCGACTTATTTCCACCTTGCTCTGATTTATGTATGATTCCGACTCGACCAGTCTTGAAAATTTGCAACAAGCTTTTTTTGCAGTTTTCTCAGATTTCTGAGCTCTTTTTTGGCCTTTTCTGTTCGTTCTCTTCCTGAGCGGTCTTCTAACACGTTTGCTGATTCAGTCCCACATCATCATCATCAGCAGCAGCATTGCAGACAACAATGTCAGCAGAACTTGGATCTGCACCTGCACCTGCACCTGCACCTGCACCTGCACCTGCACCTGCACCTGCGCTGCCGCCGCGCGCGCCTCGGATTGTCAATCGAGTTGAGACCCGGTTTGAACCAGTCTGGCTGGGATTGCCCTCGGCGTCCGACCTGCCGCCGGCGACGTTCTCGTACATTGCCAATGCATCTGGCTCATCGCTGGTCTCGGTCGCAGGCGCCCACGGGCAGCACGGCCGCGACGGCACGCAGTTTGGCATGCCCGGCACGGACGGGAGTGCTGGTGCGAACGGGCGACCTGGCCTCGATGCGTACTCGCTCGCTCTCACCATGACTGCAGTGACGACGAGTGCTACAGCTACAAGCGCAGCAGGTAGTTCCAGCCCGAGCGGTGGCAGTGGCAGTGGCAGTGGCAGTGGTGGCTTGGTTGGTGAGGCCCAGCAGGGGGGGTCAGCTTCGCCCGAGGAGAGCGAATCGTTCGTTGTTGCGCTGCGAGCAGTCTTTGCACCCGCGCCGGGACAGCCGCCAAGCAACATTGTCGAGGATCGCTTGCCATTGCCATTGCCAGGCGATAGCAGAGGCAGCAGCAGTGCCGATGGCGTCGCTGCAGACCTTCTTGAACTGCAGCAGCAGCCTGCGATTGAGATTCAGGCGCGAGGGGGAGACGGCGGCTCGGGCGGCAACGGCGGCAACGGCGGCTGCGGAGCGCGTGGCACAAAGGGCAGCGATGCCACAAGGTCGAGTCCAGCGGGCGATGGCGGGCAAGGCGGCGACGGTGGCGACGGTGGCCGCGCTGGCAACGGTGCGAATGGAGGCCGTGGTGGCCAGATTCAAGTCTACGTCCATGAACGCGACGCGGATTTACTCATGCTACTGCGCACGAGCCTCGCCCCACCGCCGCCGCCCGCAAGTATGTCAAGCACATCGAGCATCAACTCGGGAGTGAATCACAACACCTCAAGCGCGAGCCACTCGTCGCCTTTTCAGACGAGTCAAGCTACCGTTCCGACAGCCGTGGCAGGCGGCCGCGCTGGGCAGGCTGGCACCGCTGGTCTCGCCGGTGCTGGAGGGCTTGGCGGTCCTGGAGGACTCGGCATTGTGTGGACGGCCCCAGCCTCGGGCTCGGGCAGCAGCAACGGTGGTCAAGCCAAGACAGTCCGACAGGAACGGGCCGCGGGCCGCACGGGGCCTTCTGGGCGAAGCGGTCGACCCGGGCTGACAGGCATGCACGGACAGGACGGCGCGAACGGTGCTGCTGTTGTGACTGTTCAATTCGACAATGGTACTGCGGCCAACTTCACGCAGCCGTACGCGCTCCAGCTGGCACAAAGCGTGCATTACGACACCCATGGCTCGGGTATACTGGAGCCGTCCAGCAACCTGCACGCCGGCGTGGCTCTTGTGAACGTCGGTGGCATGCCTACACCCCGTCATCAAGATATCGCTGTGCGCATTGTTGCCAACCAATGGGTCGGACCTGTCACACCACACGGCCAGGCCGGCGCGCAGCTTCTTCCTCGAGGAATTGCGCCAGGGGCCACGGCGGCCATCTCAACCCCCATTTCAGCAACAATTTCCGACATTCGGCTCCAGCCCGTACCCGTCGAGCCCTTTGTGGCGCACGGGAAGATTGATTATCGCGCAACTGTAAGTCGCGTCAACATTGACTTTCCTGCCGTTCGTGCCCAGAGCACACCCGTCACGATCTGCTTCCCCGTGCAGCTTTCAGCTGTACTGGGTGCGGACACACTGGTCCGTGGCGGGGAAGCCCCGTTTGCGTTCAAGGTGACCAATATCGCGCAAGTGGCCCTGGGCACCGGTTCTGCATCAAGACGCCCCGTGCTTGCTCACATGCGCCTTGTGAACACGGCCAAGCTAGACTCATTGCGGGCTCACGTGGCTGCACCAAAGTCGACTTCCATCCCCTCCGCACCGTCACTCGTTGGCATCTCAGACCTCGACACGTCCCATCGCGACGCTGGTCTCCCGACGAGTGCTGAAGATGATGACTTGCTCAAGATTAATGCCAATTCGGTGCAAGCCGGGTTTGGCAAGTCTGATCTGGCCGAGTTTGGGAGATCGCTGTCGCAGCCGCCGCGGCTTTCTTTGAGCTCGTCGCTCGGGTTTGAAGACGATCTTTTGCTGCGCTCGAGCGCTCCGCTGCCTTTCGCGGCAGAGCAAGTGATTTTCCGCGACAAAAACGGATTCCCATTGGACTTGCAGGAAGGCCTCACTGCCATGTTGGAGACGCTCCCCGCTGGAAGCTCGCGCATTCTTTCTGGCACTTTTGCCTTTGCAAGCAATGAGGTACCCTTGTACACTCACGCTGTTTTGCAAGCATCGCTTGCACTCGGTAAACTGCGCGACCCTGCCCAGCTCCAGCTAATTCAGCAACGGCTGCATCTGGTGCAGCTGTGTGAAACGTACGAGCGCAACTGGTCTGCTGACGTGCTACTTGTGCTCAACTCTCTCACCACCACCGACGAGATTGCCGCTTGGGAGCGCGTCGCCCGTCGTTTGGGCCTGGTTGTCAACCGCTGGAACGTGTCCTTTTATGGTGGACTCTCGCTCCGCGATCTGAAACCAGACGGCACGTCGCTGGCTCGGGATTTAAAGCACAAGTCGATCATTCTTTTGAACAATGCCTTCCGCCCTGGCGGCCCTGCAGCGGCTGCGAGCGTGTCTGGCACGGCAGTGCTGCCGCTGCATTTGATGCCGACCGGCGATCTCCTAGCCGCCGCCCGCGACTTTGGCATCCATTCTTATATTGTTGGCAGCGTGCCACCATCGAAAATCCCTGCAGAGGAGCTGGTTCCGCTCGATGTGAAGAGGCATGTTGCGTCGTATGCAACCCGCGAGGACTTTTTGTTTCACCCACACATGGCCGACTTGGGATTGTGGCTCCCTGCACACCACGTCGGGGACTTTTCAGGTCAGGTGCACGTTCACCTCGAACGTAGTTGGCGATGGAAAGCCATGTATGGCGTTCTTCGTAAAGCAAGCGGGACCCTGTCCCTGTACTACACGGAACGCGACGATCGTCCTGTCGCGCTATTGCAACTAGCCGGAGCGGTGCTCTACCGAGACACTCACGACGGATGCGCATTCACCATCATTACCGCTTCACACAACATCAAATTCCGCATTGGCAGCGCTGCCCGAGCGACTGCTGTTCAATTTGCGAATGCATCACCTCCAACGTCGCCCTCACCACACTCCCTGCAACCAACAGCCAGTCATCCATTCGCCGGATCTCCCTCTGGCCTGCATGGATCAGGATCTCACTCTGGGTCGATGCATTCACTCGACTCCCGCGAGCCAGAACGACTAGCGCCCATGCCGCATGCCTCTGCTCCCCGGAACAAGGGCAAGCTGGCAAGCTCCATCCTTAAAAAGGCACAGTCCGCTCGTCACCACCTAAAGCGTGACTCGGTGGAATTGCTGGCGCAGGCAGACACCGACGCCACGGATGATGGCTCCGATTTGGACGAAGATTTGCCAATCCAGGATGGCGTCGGGGTCGATCGCAGTAAATCATCCAATGGCTTGCCACATCAACGGTCGGAGCAACCCACCTTTGAGCGCGTTGGGGAAGACGAAGAGGAAACCGGCCCGGCTGTTGTCGATGTCAAAGACGTCTCCGCCGATCATGGCGAGTGGTGGCGGCAGATTCGTTCTGTTGCCATCTCTGCCTCGCAAGCTCACGTTGCACTGGCGTCGCAGCGTGGCGGCGAAGAGTTTCCGTCCCTTGGCAGCATTGATGGCTTGTCTGGCGAACTGGAGCTGGAATTTAGCGTGTTCTTGGGCAAGCGGTATTCGTCCAAGTTCTTTGTTCTCCGTGCTGAGCGCCAAGAGCTCGACCAATTCGAGTCCGAGTCTGCTCTTGAGCCAGACCGTACAATTTCCCTGCGTAACGCTGTTGTTCGCTGCGGCCATCCACGGGTAAGCTGTTGGCTGTTGTTGCTGTTGCTGTTGCTGTTGCTGTTGTTGAGCTGGGTTTTGTTTGTGTCCCTGTTTCCTCACACATCAACTATATTTTACGGTGTAGGACAACCCTCTGAGCGAGCAATTCTTTACCATCATGTCGGCTACAGACACGATCGTTCTGCGACACCGGCCTGGCTTGCCGGGCTCGGGACAACACACCCGCGACGAGTGGCTTTTGGCGATCGCAGTCACACTTGCCCATCGACCAGAAGAGAGTGCGCAAGACGATCCGGAAGACGACTACTCCATCGAAGCTGACAAGCGCGGCGTGAGCGAGCTGCCCTCCGCGTCCGGACGTTCCACTGCAATGCTTCGCGTCGACCGCTGGCCGTGGTACGCGTTTGATCGGTGCAATCGACTGGTGGTCGAAACTTCTGCGCTGGACTTCAAGGGTTCTCCGCAGCTGAACGATCTCGTCCGCAAGGCCTACCGATTCGCGTCTCGGTTGGCCAAGCGGTACCCGACTCAGCGGTTTGTGGTAGTCTACGAGTTCAACCCTGGAAGGGTCGCTGGCGGGTTTATCAAGCCGCGATATCGTGTCGGCTCGCTTCGAGTCTTCCGCACGCTCGACTCCATGGGCACATCGCTTATTCAGCAGCGTGTCGAAACCGACGCTCTTCATTCAACCGAGTGGATTGAGTCAAACTTGAACTTGTTCAACACTTTCAAGACTGTCTCATTTGCTCGAAAGTTGGCGCTCTTGCCAAAGCCCAATCTTGCGTACCCGTCCGTTCAACAGTGGCGGAATGGCGAGGCGCTCACCACCGATGTCGGCATCATGTACCAAGCACTCCTGTCCGATCTAGCGGATGAGCAAGCGGTGAGTATCAAGCTTTGTATCATGATTGTTTTGGTTTTGTGGATGTGCAATTGTGGGGAACCTAACGCACACAACAAAGCTAGTGTTTTCGTCCTGGTGGGTGGTTGATTTTTGGGGTTTTTTTCTGACATACTGGTGCCCTGATGCTGCTTGCTGCACCTCGTCCGTGGTTCAGGCGCTCCGAAATCACCGCTGGATGTCGACTCTCGATCAAGACAACCTGTTGCCTCATCTCCAATGTCTCCGAGAGCTTGCAGCGTTTGCTTTCGGAACTGTGGATGCATCTTCCACCAAGGAGTTCTTCCTGGCAAGAATGTTTGCAGACATTCTATTCATGGCGCGGAATATTACTTGGTTTTGGGACCGCATTCTGCCTCGACGACGCAATGCACGAATTTCTCGCGCGACCGAGGCTGTCATTTTGGCTGCCGTCAAGACGACAGCCTTCCGAGCTCCTGACAACTCTTACTACGACGGCACTGATCTGGTCATGGCAGAGCTGGCGACGTTGCAGTCTCTTCAGGGTCGCAAAGTTTGGCGCATGACTCCTGGTCAAGTGCTGCATCACTTCTGCTTCCCGCCTGGTTTGAACCTCGCGACTCGCGACAACCACGACCGCCACACGCGCCGCTACGCCGAGCTTGTCACCCGATCCTCTGCCCCTTCAGCGCCGAACGGCGCTGGAGCTCACCCCACTCCCGCGGGAGCGCTCCGAGTGGACCCCGTCCCTGTGATGCTCCCAACCAAGCTCGAGTCCAAACCTGCGACTGTCCACTACCGGTTGCACGACAATCGTTGCGTAAACATCGTGTTCAGTGCTGCGGAGTTTGAGCAGCGCCAAGCAGAGCAGCACAAGGGCTGGCCGATTCGGAAGGATGCTCAACTCCAGCGGTTTGACTCTGCCTCTCGCGTTGCTGCAATCGAGAAGCTGGAGCACTTGCTTGCTTGAGCAGGATGAGTCTACTCGTGTGTATTACTTGTTGGGGATGGATTGGTTCGGTTTCCGTTGTAATCTACAGTAAAAATATTGAACTACTTGTTGCTTTTCGCTATTCAACTCCAAACGACTTGATCGCTCAGCTGGTGATGAGGTCAGCGGTTTGTGCGCCCGTAGTACGAAGGAAATCATCAACGGACACGACGAGCTTCCAATCAATGTCTCCGGCGCCCAGATACATGACAGGCGGTTGCAAACTTAGGATTGCACGGCTGACCAGAATTGGGACGTTGCGTGTCATTCCTAGAAGAATCAGAAGAGAATGGCGCACACATTTCCACACAACGCGTGAGTTTTTTAAAGCATGCAAGGGCTCGGGGTGAGGGACGGGGGGGGGGGAATCCAACCAACCCACTGACCAATTGGGCAAACGCCATTCTTGTCAAAGCCAGTCAATGCAAATGACACTTCCGGATCAACAAGGCGATAGTTCAGTGTCTTTGTCGACAGAACAGGCTTGTGTAGGTTGCGAATATACGACACCATCTTGTCCGAGTCGAACTTTGTTGTATACTGGTGTCATCCAACGTTTGCAGCGATGAGCGGCGGCCAAGCACCAATTCAAGAGGCATCGCCACAATTTGGATGGATGGCCATTACTTTACCTGAACGATTACACAGTAGTACTTTGAGTTGCGAGGATCTGAGGCGATTGATTACAAGATGAAAGTGAGCCATTCCCGCACACTGCGTTCTCCCTGCCGAGCCCATATTGCAATTTTACCAAGACTTGCACTAGCTGCCAGCTCGGCAGCGCCAATTCCAGTGAGATCTGCCTTGTTCGCAGCCTTGTTCATTCTGGTGTTTTCCAGCACGATGGACTTGCACAGGTGGTGAATGGACGGTGCTTGGAGAACGTTTCGCCGTCGCTCCAGCGTCCAGTCATAGTAATCGCTCGGCACACATCGCAGCGACATGTGCAATGCAGCAGACTCGCATGCTCGGCGGACGCGCTGGACAGCCTCGGGCTCGCCGACTTTGGGCTGAGCAGCGTCCTTGGATTCAGATGTCTGGCCCTGGCTCAGCACCAACGCCCGATTCACGTTGAATTTGACTGGAACAGAGGCCTCGTCCAGAATGCCAGAGTATAGGAGAGTAATGGACGTTGACAGTTGCTCCAGCTGGGCGAGCAGCGTGGCCTGTCTGGCCTCCGTCGAATCCATGACTGTGCGTTGATGAAAATTACGACTGAGCTGAATTAACTTCTGAGAGATGTTGACAAGAATTGACGTCATTGAGAGTCAAGGCACTTGACAGGAACAAACAAAGAAACCAACACAGAAACAAAGCAACAAAGAAACAAACAAACAATCATCAAACAAAAACAACGAAACAACGAAACAAAGAAACAAAGAAACAACAAAGCAACAACAAAACACAACACACCAAAACATGAAAGGAGCTCACCAGCACCAACGAGATCTACGATGCTGCCGAAAACGCCGAAACAGAAATGGCCAGCTTGAAGACGTGGGGCAAATGGTGCACGCGGATGCTCTGGGGAAGCAAGGCCGCAAATTCCTCCCATTCTTCGTCCGAGTACCGCATGCTCAGCCGCAACTGTTCAATAAGTGGCGTGACGTACTGGAGCTGAGGACCAACTGGCGCTCGTCGAATACGTTTGCGTAGCAGCTCAAACAATGCCAACTGCAGCGTCCAGCAAGAATTTGGGGAAATATCTTTGAGCGCTTTGACCAGAGTGTCGGCCACAACGGACCCTAGCATTGAATTGGCTGCGAAGGGCTGACAATCCGTAGAAGACAGGCGCGCTGCACGCCAGAGAGCCAGTCCTGAGGAAAGAGCTTGGATGTGCTGCAGGCAAATCACGCGTGATTCAAAGACACTGGCGATTCTCGCAGACACTCTGGCGCCAGCCATGCTTCGCTGGGCAGGCGATGGGAATGACTGCGATGCCGCCGAGGACGAAGCAGCGGCAGGAGACGCCGACTGGACATTGTTCTCCTGAAGCAAACAAGTGTTTCGAAGGTAGTTGACCAGCCGCTCGGTCGGGCTACCACCCGTCACCTGCAAGAAGCCAGCAGCCATCTCCAACACTCGTAACAAGTTGCTGACATCAACGAGATCGTGGTGGCACTCTGTCACGACGGCTTCAATGTCAGCAACGCGAAGCGACGCTTGCGGAACTTGCTCTGCGAGAACGGCCGAATCGCCATCGAAAACATCCGAGCTACCACAGAATGAGAACACCCATGGGCAGGTTGCAATCTGCCTGCCTGCCGCGGCAGAAGCTCCTGGAGCTGCACGCTGCTGCGGCTGCTGTTGCGACGGGACAGTTGGAAGCGCAATCACAGGCCGGTCTGCGACGAGCAAGAAGAACAAGTTGGACTGCAACTCGGCCATGTCCACTCCAAGCTCCGATCCTCGTCCAATTTGGAGAGATTCGTGAATGCCCGATTGCAACGACAAGTCGATGGCCTGATCAATCCGCCCGTGCGCCAATAGATCGATCGGCTTCAATTCAGTGAGCAAAACGGATTGTGGTGAATCCGCGTCGTTCCCTGCGGCTCGATGGAGCAGGCGAGCGCCAATATTGTGCACCTCTGCAAGGGTCAAGATTACAAACGGAAGCACCGACCAGGGCTGCGCTTGGTCGTCCACCGTGGCCCAGTGAGACTGTTCAGAGAAGAGCTGCCAAGCACGAGCAGGCGCCAGCGGGAGCAGGTCCAGCAGCTGAGATACGTCCCGTTTTTGCAGAGATGCAGGCACCGACACGGGCCAGTGGCTTTGTAACAAGGTTTTCAGACGAGCCCACGTGGCCTGCAGCTCGTCAAGTTGCTGCATTGCCGTTTCGAGCTGACCTGCTGCAAGCCGAGATTCCAGCGCAGATCGGGGGCGCTGCTGTCGCGGATCTTCCTGCTGAGTCAAATGATCAGCATAAAGCACCTTGTCAAACGATGTGGCCACGGTGTGCTGCAAGGCAATCAGAGCCGGGAGCTTCGCCGTCAAAGCGAACAGTTGCGAATATCGCATGAGAACAATGGCCGCCGCGTTGGATGGCAGATCAAGATAGGAGAGCGAAACATTGAAATCGCTCACGCCACGGTCAACATGCACGCGCGATGCGAGCGCCAAGGACGCACGGGATGCAGTTCGGCCGGCGCGGAGTCGCAGGGGCGAGTAATGCGCTGAGGACCAGGGCACATTGTCGGCACTGACGTTGGCAAGCTCGTACACTCCGGCGTGGTTGTGAAGATGCCTCTCTGGGATGCTGACAGTCAGGAGGTTCTTCTTGCAGCGCAACTCCTTCAAAGCGGGGGCAATGTACGTCGCTGCAAAGCACACTTCCCACGCCGTTCGGCGTTCGCAGCTCTCGAGCATACTGAAAGGCGATTGCTGCATCGCTGCGGCCACAGAGTCGAACGTACGGGAGCCAGAGTTCGGGCTACGTCGAGACGTGAGCGCGTTGTATGTGTGGAAGATGCGGGTTTCGTCCGATGCATCAATGTGCTTGCCAAAGCCTTCGACGACCGTATGGATCAACACCGCAGCGTCGTCCACGGATGTGTCAAGCAACTGTGCGAGACTTTGCAAATCACGCTCCAGGTGTGCTTCAAAGAAGCCAGCAATTGGGTCTCCTCTCGCCAAAGGCCTTTCCTCAACAACGCGACCCAGAGCATCTGCCCACGATGGATCTAGACAGCTAACAGTGGTCAAAAGGCCGTGCATGATGGTTCGGATGACGAGCAGGTCGACCGGCTGCAGGAGCGGAATATGGCCTTCAATCAGCAGCAGGTCAAAGCCGGCTTGCAGCAAAGCCGCCTCCTCCTGGCGAACGTTGGGAGGATCAAGCGAATGCTTGCGCCGATGGACTTCGCGCTCGCTAGCCGAAAGGCGATCTCGCCTCTCGACCAGGTGGGGCACGGCTAGCTCAAACCGTGACACTGCAGCATCTCGTGGCGAAGCGTCAAGATCAACTTGACCGCGCACTGATGGGTGTAGAGCGCCCATGCCCGGCATGAAGCTGTGAGAAAGCTTCGACGGAGACGTTCCGTACGTGACCAACGGACTCAATAGCCATGAGCGAGCCGACAATGCGCCGACGCTTGCGTGAATCGCAACAGCAAATGCAAGTGAGCGAATGCTGGGCTGCAAGGCATGCAATGCGAAGACGGAAGAGAACGAGCCGGAATCGTCCACGGAAGCAAAGTTGCTGACATTTGACCGGTCGCTGTTGCTCATTGCAAGAATGAGGGTGCGGAGCACGCGAGCCGAGTCAGTCATAACGGTGACGGCTTCCGAGTTTGGCGACGCGCGGTCGGAAAGAGCGACTTGAGGCACATATTCGAGAAGCTTGTCGGCTGCTTCGCGAACCAGCTCTTGCTGAATCGGAATCGGGATACTGTAGTCCCCAGGCACAATGACCGAACTTTGACTCAATGCTCGCAAGTGCAAATGGGTGGCGACAAAGTGGATTGCCAGGGAAGAGGACACAAATTGAGCGAAAGACTTGGATTCCAAGTCGAAAGTCGCCGTCCATGGCGCGAGTGCTCCCGTTTCACACGAGACAACCAAGGCATTCACGTGACTCTCGCCGTACACATAGCTGGCGTTCAGGCCGCCCGGGAGATGCACAGGTGCGCGGAGCAGCCTGGACTCGGCGGTCAGCTCGGGCAGCAGCTCGGCGAGACCATCCTTCAATCCATTGTGCTCAAAGATTGCGTCAACGGCTGGAACGCCGTGAGTCGCCATGAGGTGCTTGAAAAAGAGTGCTCGAAGCGGCAACCCGTCGGCAGTTGGTGAGTGGGGTGTGCACAAGCACAAACGAGCGAGGTGTTTCAGCACCAGATCAAGATGTGGCTGGAGCCACTCGCCCCAAGCAAAGCGGCGCAACGAGATCGCGAACAGCTCGTCGGCACATAAGGCCAGGCTCGCGCGCACAAATCCAAGCAACCAGAGCCCGCTGAACGTCACCTTCGCAGTATGCACGGGCGCAGCAGGCCAGCAGGCGAGTGCTCCAAACCACTCACTTGCTTCTGGAAGGCCGGCAGCTGCAGTGCTCAAACACTTGGAAATCATTGCGAGGCGCTGGACGGAAGCTGGCGGCGTGCTATCTGTGACGTGTTGCACGATGGCTTGCTCAAGACTCTCGACAATGCTGACAGCGAGAGGTCCACGATAGGAGGCGCCGGCATCCACCAAGTCTTCGTTGATGGGCAGATCGTGGACTGTGCCGTGCAGGGAACAGATCGAGTCCTGCTGCACTGGGAGAAGAATCTTGTTTTGAGTGCCGAAACGAGACCTGAGGCTGAGTGTCTTGACAAAAACATCGGCCAGTGCGCTGGGCACAGTGAGCTCGGCCTCTTCGCGCCAGTTCAGCTCTGCAATCAAACGACGCAGTACAACGCCTAGCAGCATACTGCGTTGACCCGGGCGTGGCCGAACTGCGTCCGCCTCGTCGTTGAGTTCGAGTACAAACTTGACCAGCACGGCCAACGACGCTGGAGAGAAGCCACGCGGCGGAGCGAGTTGACTTTCGGCCAAGCCACTGGAGGAGATCGATTCGAGCAACAACTGCACCTCAAACATCTGGACAGTCCGCCGATAGATGTTTGCCGTCTGATTCAAAGCGGCAATCCTCTCGGGGCTCAAAGCAAGAATCTTTTCGCCGACAAATGGCCTAAGGTCATGGCGCAGGGGACACTCCTGGGGCCGTCGGTGCAAGTGTTCCTCCAAGTCCTGGCGACAGTACACCCGCTTGCAAGCACAGGGGAGATAGACCTCGCCTGCCTCAGCCTGGCAAATGGCGCAAATTTCAAACTGCTCCGTCAATCCCTGCAGCAGGCTGTTGATGAAACTGATCACTTTGCCAAGTGTGGAAGCTGTAAAGCAAACAACAATGAGCGAGGGAATGCTACAAAGCAAAACATCGACGTCGTGCAACAACAGACTCGATCTAACGGAAGGGGAAACTTACAAGAGCGCACATCGGCATCTTCGAGCGTCGCAAACAGCGAGCTGGCGACGTCCGTGCCCAAGCCGCCCTCATCCGCTGAAGGCACGCGCACAACGACCTGGACGATGAAATGTGCAACAGCCGTCAAACTCGAAATCCATTGGCACGTCTTGTCGGTTTGTGCTTGAACAGAAGGCTCATTCACAAGCAGACTTTCAATGCGCGGGAGCAAGGAAAGCGTCAAACTGGCCCATTCGCGCTGGACTTGAACAGAGGCTGTTTTGAACTCTTTGTTTTTGATCCTGCCCACAAGAAGTTGAACCGCCTCGGCACACAACAGCGCTTGCATGCGCTGGCGAAGATCGGACGAAGCGATGTCGGATGGCTCGAGGTCCTCGCCGCCAGCGGCACCGTCCAGGAAGCCCTGTAACGTTGCAACAATTGCCAAAGCGTCCGATTCCGCAGGAATGGCAAACAAGACGGCAGACCAGGCCGAAAGCACCGAAATCGTCTGCGAAATCGCGACTTGAGCACGCACGAGTGCCGGTAACACTCGATCGGAGCCCGGCAAGCAAGAAGAGGTCCAGCCCAGTAAGAGCTGAGCGATTGCATCGTAGAGTCTTGAATTCTTGTGCACAGCGAGCGATGAGCCGTGCAGAGCAAGTTCCAGCGCGTCCAATTGGTACAGTTTCACCAAAGACGCGAGCACAGCAGGATCTTGCCCTGGATGGCAATGGTCAAACACATCGGCAACGATGGCGCCGTCTCGTGCGGCTGTCGCGCTCAGCATGATGTCGCAGACCGACTTCTGTACTTCGACCGCTGTACCGACCGAGCGCGCTTGAGCCAACTTGTACAGCGAGTTGAGGAACTCAAACACCTTCCAACTGAACGGGAAGCGGTTGATGAAAATCCTGTTGTCGCTGAGCGCGAAAACGGCAAGAGGACGGAAGCCTTCGCTTCGCTCGAGATGGTCAGCCACTGAGCTCAGTGAGGTCACGCGATCCAAGGCAAACAGACCGCACCAGACACGACGGATGACTCCACGCATCGCGTCGAGGTGTCGAGCTGGATGGAGTGAGGCTCGCCCAATCTGCTCCCTCGGGTTGAGCACCGACTTCTTCAAACGATCAGCAGCACGTGCATTCAGAGCATCGTCTGCATTCACCTCGGGGACATAGCCGGCCAGAAGAGAGAGATTGCCGTACGAATCGACGAGAGCCAAAAGCGAGGCAAGCATGGTTTCCGCTCGATCAAGCAAGGTGCGCCACAATGCGGCTCGGAAAGTGCCGCATTCGTGAAGCAGGTTGAACTGCATGGCGATTGAGCTCAGCCAGGCGCTTGAACGCACTTGCTGTTGTGCTTGCGCAGACACGTCGGATGATGACCGTTGATGTCGATCTCGCATCAGCAACAGGAATCGTGACTGCAGAGCGGAGATGAACGGCTCGTCCGTGCTCGTCAACTCGAGAAGCAGGCGAATCCGGAAACCAACAAACTGGGTCAAGGTTGTGTGAGGATCACTCAATGCCGCTTCTTCCACGTGCTTGCGGAACTGCTTAAGCTCAAGCTTGGCGAGCGCCGGGTGAATTGCGTGGCGAATCAGAGTCACCGGATCCAGCAGATCGTGAACAGATTCAGAATGGTCGCGCAAAACTGCATCGGGCTGGGAGCCAGTTGCGTCGGCGAAGAGGTCGTGAATGGAATGGACACGACCATAGAGCAGGGATACTTCGTCCAAATTCTCTGCTGACGGGGGAAGAAGACTGTCAACGTGGAAGGCAAACTGGACAGACGTAAACGATGCAGAGAACGAATGGTTGGCCGCGCCACGCGGAGCATGAACCAGCAAGACGATGTACGCGTTCTGCATCTGTCGTCGGTGGTCGGGGAGTTTGCCGACAACTTGCTGTACGTCGGTCTCGGCCAGGAAGGCAGTACGCTCACGATGAAGGATGTGGCGGACGCAAGGCAGAAGGTTGGGGCTGGCGACCGAGGCATCACACTGCACCAGCAAAAGACAGGGAGGTGCTGGGTCAAGAGAGCTGGTGTCGGACGTAGAGTCGCAATTCTGGCCAAGAGACATGGCAATGCCCGCTTTGAGACTCTGCTGGTCTTCGCAATAGTCGGCCAGCGTGCGTAATGCGGCACGGTAAAACCTGTGGATGGCTTGCACAAACCCGAGCTCTGAGTCGTGCTGTCGCAAATCCAGCCAAGTGGTTTCCACACCTTGCAAGGTTTGAACAACAGCCTCCAGATTCTCGGACTTGCTGTGAGTCGAAATCACCGATGGCAGCGCGCTGGACGGCTTTTGGGTGATTGCGTGAATGGCGTCGGCCAAACTTGAATGCGGCTGCTGTGTAAAGTACGTCTCACGCCATTTGTCCGCTTCAGCCCTGAGATTGGAGTGATTCAACCGAATGACGGCGTCCGGCGTTGCCAAGCCAAGCATGGCCAGCTTGCACTGCTCGAGCAATTCCGTCGACAGACCCTCCAGCTCAAAGCCACTCCGCGGCTTGAACAACAAGCAGTCTGCGTTCAAGTGGCGGGCCACGCGGATGACGAGCGATGGGATGAGATCGTCACAGAATCCAACAAAGGCATCGGACGCCGCCAGCTGCCAAGGCGGTGCAGGACCAGCACCAGCGTTGCCAACTTGGGCCGGCATTCGACCCGAGCAAAAGTCTTTGACCCATTGAGCAAGCTCGCTGACAACCGTTTGCAGATGCTGCTTTTCAGACGAGAAGACCACAGACAGCATCAAAATGTGCTTTTCGAGACGGTTGATGAGAGGAATCGGGAACATCTGAAGCACCTTCTGACGCTCTGCGACGACCACCAGGCGAAATCCGGGATCGACGCGACACTTGACGCGGTTGGTACCAAGGCCCAGATCGACGTACTGGTAGTTGTGGAACACAGTGTAAAACTGGTTGAGCAGGTCGTACAAGGATTCGTACAGACTTTCCAGGTTGAGTAGCACCACTGTGCGACCCGTTTCGGCGCACATCTTGATCCTGTTAATGTTGCGATAGATTTGGATTTGAGAGTCGTCGTTGGGGAACGGACTTCCAAAAATGACAACCGTTTCGTTCTCGTTCAGGATGCCATTGCTGAACAAAATGTCGAACGCCGAGTAGTTGTCCGTCAGAAGCAACAAGTAGCGAGAATCGCCGAGCGTCATCATGCCGCCGCCCCTGCGCTGCTCGGCGCGTGTTGATGCGAGGTTTGCTTGCACGAGACTGAGAACATTGTTGTCGGAGGACTCGTTGAAATCCAAATCGTCGGGTTGAGCCTCAGCGGCGCGGGAGCCAGAACTGTACACATCTTGATGAAGAACGGCCAGGTGGTCGAGCTGTGCTTGGATGTTGCGGCGGAAGATCTCGACAAACTGGTGCATCTCGTGTTCGTCGCTTCCTCCAAAGTTGCGGCGCACTGCACGCTCAATGTCGGCCCATTTCAGGTTGTCTTGGTCCTGCTCTCGCAACTGCTTTAGCAGCATCTTGATCAAGTAGTAAAAGTCTCGCAGGCCAAAGTAGTCAGGACGCAAGCTGGGGAAAGCACCCTTCTGCTGCTTTTCATACAGCTCATAGTAAGCCTCCGCCAGGAATGGAAGGACTTGCGCGAGTTGAGGATAGTCCACGGCTCCAGAGACTCCAGAGGTCGAGCAGATGCCGCGAGCAGTCTCCTCGAGCTCGCTCACAGTCATCTCGGTGCGACTCACAAACAGTCCGCGATTGAGCTTGGCGGGATCAAGCGCCCAGTTCGAAATGCCCACGAAAGACGCCTGTCGCTCCTCGAGCAGCGAATGCAAGATTTTGAGCGGCAGCTTCGGCGAGTCCTCGGCAAGACCAATTTCATCCAAGCACACAAGGGAAACGCATTGGTCAGAGCCACGGCCCTCCTGGAACCGAATGGCTCGTTCGAATGTTCCTGCAATACCCTCGGAGGTCGACAAGGGCGAGCACTGATACGAGAAAAGCTTGAGTGCCTTGAGTCGCTGGAACAAGGGACTTTGTGAAGCTGCGCCGTGCATGGCATCGGCGACTACCGCCTTGGCAAGAGATTTGCTGCTTCCTGGCTTGCCCACGAGGAAGAGGGGGATGCGCTGCTCAGCACACACGATCATCATGAGCACGTTTTCGGCGAGCGCATCATTGCGGGCAATCCGTGCGCCAAGCGGCATTTGAGACAAGAAGGCGCATTGCATTCGACGAACTTCACCCAAGAAACTGGCTTCGGTGACCGCGGAAGTGTGTTGCTCGATGCTAAATGCAGCGGCAACGCGAGCGCTTTGAACTGCCTTCCGACCACCGGATTGAAGCGCTTGGCTGACATGCTCTCGGTACTTCTGCCGGCGCTCCCTCTCTGAGAGACGAGCGTGGTATCCAATAGCAAGCGCCAGAATCAAGCACCGGGTCCAGTGTTTGACGCGGTCGGGCAACGAAGTGGAGGCAGACGAGGGGGGTGCGCGTTTCCGCCCAAATCCGGAAGCGAACGAGTGATTGGGAGCCATTTCCACCTGGTCGGCAAACTCGGTGAATAGCCAAGTGCGATTGATAAACCAACTCGCAATTTCGATTGCTCGGTCGACATCGCGCAGAGACACAAAGCCACATTCGTCAGTTTGCTCGCGCATGTAGACCTGCGAAGCAACAAGTGCGGGCGCAATGATAAACTTGGCAAAGAGGCGAGCGGCGTTCTGAACCTCCTCGTTGTCGTTTGGCATCGACCCGACCAGCAGCGGAATCAGGCGTGTAGCCACCATTTGGTGGATGGTATCCGCTTCCGCAATGGCGTCGAGCTTGCCGAAATCCCAGACAAACGTCGCAAGGCTCTCGGGCAATGGGTGGACAGCGTACACCAGCTGGCGCAGCGGCACATGCCCCAGCTTCTCGACCACTCGATCCGACGCAACGTGATAGCCGAGGCCCGTTTGCTGCAACTGTCTGAGTCGCTCGTCGGTATGACGACGGTACGGGTTGCACGCTGCAACAATGCGCAGACGGAGGTTGGAGTTGATTGAACGTCCAGCAATGCGGCCGTCGCAGAGGAGCTCCTTGATCAACCCGAGATGGTTGCACGTGTTGACCTCGTCCAGGAACAAAACAGTGTCGCGCTCATCTCCTCGGCTGCAGCGATACTCGGCAATCGCCTCAGCTCGCTCCACAGCTGCAATAATGTCGGCTTCAGAAATTCCACCGTGCACCTTCAGCAACACCAAATCGCTGCCTTTCAAGTCGCACATGAACTTGATCAGAGTCGTCTTTCCACAACCCGTTTCGCCTGTTAGGAGCGGAGTGAAAAAGAAACAAAAAGAAACAAATGCCGCATTTGAAGAAGCGATGAGTGACGAGTCCAGAAAGCCCACAAGCAAAAAATAAGGGTCGATGCTCTCACACACACACTCACACACACACACATCATACACTTACCAAGCAAGACGACGGCGGTGCGGCTAAGGAACCGGAGATGAACAGCAATGAGCTTTTTCATGTTGTCCACGTTGAGCACATAACTTGGGTCAGGATCGCGACCATCCGCCAAGTGCGCCACGCCCATCACGAGGCGGAGAATGCGAATTTGGTATTCTCGGGGCCACTGGTTGTACGCTGGTCGCAGATCGACTCCGTTCCTCTGAAGTGATTGCACCAGCTCAGGAGACAATTTGTCAAGTCCAAGAGGCCGAGCGCGGTCGCCCACCAGCAAGCCAGGAGGGGCGATAACGTCACGATTTTCATCCACTTGGAAGCCAAAGAATGTCACCGTGCCGCTACCACCTCCGTTAAAAAACACGTAGGGGTGCGAAGAGTCCTCCCAGGCGTGTCGGACCTGAAAGTCGGCAAGCTCAAGCCCACTTGCGAGAGGACCAGGTGCGCTCGAGCCGCTCGCTGGACGGCTCCCATCCTGAGAACTGGAAGCCAAGTGACTAAACTGTTGAACGAAGCTTAGTGACGGTGTTGCAAAGTCTCGAGCGACCAAGACGAGAAGTTTGAAAACAAACTCGCGGAAGCCAGGCAAGTCATCGGCCAACGCCGGAGAACAGTAGGGCGATGATTGAGCTTCAACCAGGCAGACGCCGAGAACCATCGAAAAGCAGCTAATCAAGGTCCAAGACGGGTTAGAGATGCCGCAATCCTTCAACAGCGCCTTCAAGGCAGCTGCACCGTCGGTGAACGCGGTCACCACAGAGGTGACAAATTGGCCTGCCGCTGCAAGACCATCAACTCTGGTCGTGTCCCACAGCTCCAGCGGAATCTTGACATTCAGCAATCGCTCGCGATGGCTGAATGCCGCACTTTTACCAAGCTTCGACAGGTAGTCGACAACGCGCTGGAATTGCATTTCGCATCGCACAAGATCGGAAAGGGCCATCGTAACCAACTCGAGTTGGAGCTTTTCATGCACATTCACAAGCTCAGCATAGGCCAGTTGTCGGTGCGCATGGCGCAGTTGCTTCAGCATGCGCGCTGTGACGGAATCCGCGCTCTCGCCAGCCGTCTTGAGCGAAGCGTGAAGTTCGATAAAGCCTTGCATGAAACGACACGTGTCGAAGGGCGATGTGCCCCGAAGGCATGGTAGAAGACCCAAAACCGAGGGCTGATATTCAAACGAGCTTCCGTGGTTGTGGTTGCTGTTCTGGTTGTTGTGGTTCTGGCTGTTGCTCTGGTTGGTGTCAGGGATGGCGTCAGACTCGACTTGCTTTGTTGCACCGATCAACAACGCGGCCAAATCAGCTTCGACGATAAACACATCTTGAGGCAAGCGGTGTCGGAGTCGGCCATCTGACCCTTGGATGCAGCCCAGGATGAGCAGGTTGAACAAGTGCATGGAAATGTCGTCGCCAATCGCCGACACCATCTGCCGACCGCTGGGCGAGGTTGAGGGAGGTGGAGCGGATGCGGCACCCTGTGCAGAGCCAGCCGACGAGGAGGAACCAGGCTTCGCTGCTGCTGCTGCTGGACCAGCCTGGCTGGCAACGGTAGAAGACAAACGGGTCGCCTCTGTGACTCTGCCAACCAAATCCAAGCGGTACACGCGCGGCGTGGAGGCGTGCGGTTTGTGATCTGGAACCAGGCCATTCACAATGTCATCATTCGTGAACGCTCCACGGAGCGAGAGCACCTTTTCCGACGCACGATGCTTGCACGCGGACTGAACGCGCTCGCCCAGTCGCCCTGCAATCAAGGATTTGCCCATACCAGACCTCTCAGCCGTGACAACAATGACATTGGGGATGCCATCGCTTTCGAGTCTGGAAGAGATTCGCGCTTGCTGAATCGAAACGCTCAAGCTTTGCTGAAGGTGAGCAGGCGATGAACAAGTGAATCCAGCCACTCGATAGCGCGCCAAAGCACCAGCAACGTAGCTCGATCCATTGGCCACGAGGATGACCAGTTGGAAACCCGTAGGCGAGCGGTCGGCAGTGCGCGTTGGAGCGTCGATGAGGCGCAACTTGTGCACCACCTCGTCCTGTACTGCAAACGGCAACTGGTCGGCGAATGCGAGGCAATAAAGCGGTTGCTCGCCACTTTTCGCGCCTTTGCCCGCTTCCTCCGCTCGTCGGATCAGATTCAGAGCTTGCTCGGCAGTGGTCGAGGCAGAACAAACCAACACCTCGTCAGCAGTTGGCAGGGCAGCCTCCTCAGCAGCAGCGCCACTGTCTGTCTCTTGTGTGGGGTCGCGCAGGTACAACGAGAGAAGATTGTAGTACATGTCCTTTGGGGGGCAAACCAGCAAATTTGGACGACCAAGATGGAAAAGCCCAGACTTGGGGAACGTGCGGCGAGGTCGGACAAGGGATGTGGGTTTCTCAGAAGCGGTATGGTCTTGAATCCTCGTCAAAAGCCTTGCAAGAACTTGGATAAAGTTCACACCGCTTGCAAACTCTGCGTTGCCTGTGCGTGGCTTGCCATCACCGGTGCCGGGGTGTTGCTCACCGAGTGAGATTTTAACGGCTTGCTGGATCAATTCATGCTCAGACACGGCAGCCTGTGACAGCTGGATAGCACGTTGCAAGTCAGCCATTTCGTCCGGCTCGCCACTTTCGGGGTCTTCGGCGTTGTCACTCGCAGCACGAGTCACCCGCACCCTCTCCACTCCATCTTTGCTGACTTCAGCACGGACGGAGTACTCGGGTTTCGCAGGCTCCGAAGTCCACCATGACTCCCACGAACAACCAGCGCCGTCAAGATGGTCGTCGCTGTCGTCGCTGGCGTCGTCGTCAACGCTGCTGTCGTCGTCGTCGTCGTCGTCGTCGTCAGCATTGCTGTCGTCGTCAACATTGGCGTCGCCGTCGTCGACATCGTATTGGTCGAAGGGTGCAGCAAAGGACTGTGCGGGAGCGGCAGCCTCGGCTGCTGCGGAGGCAAACTGGGCTGGTAGATCGTGGTCAAGCCTCTCAATAATCCAGTTGACGAGGTCATTGGTGGTGCGATGCTCGCCGAGCTCATTTAAGGCCCAAACGATCTTTCCGTGATCAAAACCCATCTGCGTGAGCTCCAAGATTTGCGTGTTCGCCGAAGGAGCTGAAGAACTTCGGGTTGCAGATTGCACAGAAGCTGCTGCTGCAGACTTTTCGCGCTGGCGGCGAGAGGGTACTCGAGATTGCACCTTACGCGACCGTCGAGCGGGGCGCTGCCGCCCAACTTGGCTCTCTTGCTGTTGTTGCCACAGCAGTTGGTCTCGCACGGTTTTTGCGAACAAAACCACCGCATCCGAGTCTTGAACCAGTCTCCCCATCTGCTTCGCGGTCAGGTCGCTGCGAACCGCTCGAAGTAGGTTGTACAGCTCGTACGGAAGAGCTGGGGGACGGTGCTCGCCATGGGCTGCGAGCAAGTCGTGCAACAAGACGAGCTGTCGTGTCGTGAACACATTGAGAGCTGGGTTTGTTTGGCGAAGATCCTCCATTGACTTTTGCCAATCGCGCAACGCGTTTTCGAGGTGACGCGCCTGCTCCGTGAGAAGATGGGGATTGTCTGCCAGCTCAGAGTACCTTGCAGTCCACTCAAAGGTACGATACGACAGGTGGCCAGCAAGCCGGAGTTGGGTGACGAAGCGCGCAATGCGAGAAAGCAGATGCATCACTTCAACGAACTTGTCCACATCCTTCTTGATTGCCTCAGACTTCTCGTCGGAGCTGGACACGAGCATGAGCTTGCTCTGAAGATCTCGAAGCGCGTGATGAGAAAAGAAACCCTTGTTCGAGCGATGCGCGTGCTCGCCATCCAGTCGGACCCACACGCACTCCTCGGGGTCGTCAGAATCGCCAACGGCGTCCAGGTCAAATGGGAGGACGTGCGATTTCCGTGCAGGGCCACTGCCATCAATCGCAGAACCGTCACCACTATCGGCAGCCGCAGGCGGCTTGGATCCGACGATGCACAAACCAGCCTTTGCAATTGTGTGAACCTGCGAAATCGAGGTAACTGTCACATCGTTCAGCGTGCTGTCTTTGAGGTTTCGAATCCAGGTTAGCTTGTCAGCGGCGGACTCGACCTTTTGGGCAACATCGGCCGTGGTTCTCACGGTCTGCTTCATTTGGCGCAAGGCAGCGGCAAGATCCTTCCAAAACGAGCCATCGACAACACGCATCGCTTGACCGTACTTTGAGCACAGCTCCAAAAAGGGAGCCAGCACAGTTTGAGCGGCATGCAGCCATGAAATCGCATCAACCTCGTCGCGGTGTTCAACCATGCTGTTGCAGACCGAGATGAAGCTCTCAAAGTTGTGTTGACCCTGGAGATTCGGGTCGCGCAAAAACGAAATCAACCCGCTCGGGCGGCCCGCGACAGTAGCAATCACCTTGATACACGCAATGTCGCCATCGTCCAGCGAGGCGAGCTCGCCGGCGGACGCCTGGACAGAGTCGGTCATAAACCCGAGCTGGCGCTTGGCGACGTTGTCAGCGTCGTCGCACAGATCGCGCAACAATGCGCAGCTCGGATCGTCTCGGACAAGGTCTTGCAGTTCGAGGGTGTTGCAAAGCGTGTTCACCGCTTTGGCCGCCTGGCGCACAGAACGAAGTGCTCTGTATTGGTGGATTTGGCGCTGACGACTCGATAATCTGCCGGAATCGACAAGCGGGAGACCGTCAGGCAACCGGTCAGAAGGAACCCACCTGCGTTCGGGCTTTTGCGAGTCGGGGGTCCGCAAGAAGCGAAGCAAGTCGGGCGAGAAGCACTTCCACAAAAATTCAAGCTGCTCTTCTCCCTCCATCTTGGCGTCCAACTCGGCAAACGTCACGGTTGCGTCGCGCACCTTTTCAGCATATTCAGCCCACTCATGAACGACATCAAGAAGGAGACGTTCGACCACATCGGTAGAAACCTTTTTGGGGTCATGTGCCGAAGCAGAGTCGGGAGTCGACGCAGACGGGCCTGCAGACGAGGAGGACGACGAGGCCTGAGATGCTGCAGATGAGGAAGCAGCCGACTCCGAGGAGGAAGCAGCAGCCAGGGCAACGGCACGCTTGAACTGTGCCGCCACAGAGTTCTCTCGTTGTGCAAGCTCGAGCCAGGAGCGAGCTGCACTCTTCAGAGACTGTCGGAAGCTGATCGTGACAGGATCGGTCGGTCGAGCAAGAAGCCAAGTGACGATATGCAGAACCGTGAGGGTCGAGCGTTGCAGAGACTGTTCGTGCGAAACAGCGACAAATTGTGTCGAGAGCCGCTCAATGGTTGAGGTACCAACTTGGAGACGCAAAAGACCCTTGAGCCAAGCGGAATCGAGGACAATGTCCTCAGTTTCGAAAAGCTCGCACACTCTCGCGAATGTCTCGTGCAGACCACGGCGACGAGTATGCTGTTCAACAATGCTGTCGCAATGCGCCAACCAAGCTTTCACACTCGGCGCTGGATTGGAGGAAAACTGGTGAAACCCACAAGTGTAGCCTTTCGCCAGCAGCTCGGTAAACTGGGCTTGTTTGTCAGCAATCAGGCGATACTCGGCATAGGGAATGGTGCAAGTTTCCAACATCAGACTCGCCTGTGAAAGAATCTGGATTGCAGAGTCGACAATTTTCCACGAAGCAGGCGAAAGAGTGGGGACGACTGGATCTTGGGATGGGCAAAGCCTCGCCAGCTCAAAGTACACCTGCCAGCACGGCCAATCCAGGACCAGATTCAAAGCGCTGCGAGAATTCAGCTGGTCGATGTTCGTCCCGAACGACTCGAGGATCTTGCTCAAAAGATCCAGTACATCCAACCGGAAGATGAGAATGGCAGAAGGCGGGAGAGACTTGAATTCGGCCACGTGCGACTGCAGCAACGTGACGAGCTTGTACTGGTTCGCCCAAGCAGCAGCAGCAGCACGTTGATCGGCGGAAGCCGTCGGCTGGTTGCGAGTGACCGCTGCGCGACACCACTCTTGGATGGCCAGCTGCATGGACGGATGCATGCGCACGTGAGCATTGTTGGAGATTGAAATCTCTGCAAACATTTGGATGCATCGCTGGTCATTGTCGGGAGAGCTGGCAAAGCGAGTGCTGAGCCACCGCACGAACGAGTCGTGGGCTGTCGTGTACCATTGCGGCCTTGATGTGGGTGCGTGCTCGCCCATGAAAGGTTGAGTCGAGGATGGTCCAGAGTTGGTGTCGGCCACATTCGGCCCAGTCGCAACAGCAGCGTGATAAAGCGGCTGGTCAAAAACGAGCTTGCAAGCGCTCTCTGCTGCATCAGCGTCAAAGATCTCATTCCACCACGCGAGAACGTTCAACAAGTTGCTTCGAGGATCGACATTTTTGTCGCTTGGAGCAGCACGAGCTCCAGCGGCCGCTGCAGACGCGTAAGAAGGGCCAGAGTGTACAAGCATTTGAGAAGCCTCTTGCAACCAGCGGAAGAACGCTTCGACCGACATTGTCAAAATGCGCTGAGTTTCATACAACTCTTGCTCGACAGACAAAGCACTGGCAGGCGAGGTGACCAGCTGAAGACCTTCGCCGCTGCGACCCACTGGACCAGAGCCCATGTCACGCAACAGTTTGAATCTGGCTTTAATCATTTCGGCCTGCAGATTGATGGAACCGAGAACGACGCGCAAATGAACGTCTGGGTGAGTGATGGGCGCAGCCAGTATGTTGTGAACGAGCAACTGCGCCGCCGCAGAGTGCTCAAAAGTGATGGGACCACTGGACAGTCTGTTGGCCAAATAGGTCATGTACATTTCCAAATCCTCGATTCTGTCGTGCGTGACTGCCGAATGTTCAACGACTCGGATCAAGACATGCAAGCACTCCAGGATGGAAATGCGACTTTGGATTGCATCGTCGTGCCAGAGCCACAGTGGTGTAAACATGAGCAATGTGACTCCAATGTTTCGGTCGAAAGGCTGGGCTGAGGTATAGACACGCACCCAGTTCGACTTAAACCGGATGGCGAGGGCACTCGTAGAACTCAACTCTTTTTTGAGGTGTCGGGCATTGAACCCGTCAACACGAAGATCTCCCAGACCGTCGACAGGAGTAGAGTGTTGCATCCCAGCAAGAAAATTGAGCAGGGGGACGGCCACGAGCCAGTCGGGGTTGCCAGCGTCCAACCCAACGTTGCAAAGCGCAGTTACGGCTTGGATGACAGACTTGAGCCCGTGCTTGCCGGGCAATCGTGCCGAGGACCCGAACACGCTTCTAAAGTTCAGCAAGTCGTCGCGGTTCTTGATCTCCAGTGCGTTCAGGATGTAGCTGAGGTCATCCGCGGCGAGGCCGCTGAATCGACATTGGCGCAAAACTGCAGCGATGAGAATCGCCTCAACCAAATCAGGGATGGTGTTGGAGTCGGTCGCCTGAGTGGAAGAAAACAAGGACAAGAATCGTTTGCCGAAGCTGCTTGCAGAAGCGTCACTCGAATTTGGCTTCCGCCGGTTGAGAATGGTGGCTTTGCAGTAATCCAGAAGGGCATTTGACACCGCGTCGCAGATCCGGTTGTGCGAGACGTGATACTTTTCGATCCCACTACCATTTTCGTAGTGGAGACGGACTTGATGCTCGGAGAAGCCCGTGCAGATGTCCTCTGCACGACTAATCAAGTCTGGAAGTGAATCCGTCGTCAATCGCGCCCAGAGCATGGAATTGACAGCAAGAGTGACTGCAGGTGCGACCGAGTCCGCATCCATTTCCTGGTTCCAGGAATACCAGTCCGTCATTGGCACCAGTGGCCCATCAAACCGAATGAAAGATCCGCTTTCGACAACAGCATTGTCCAGAAGGAGAAGGCGGTCGGACAACTTCGGGGATCGGTAAAGGAACTCCCATGTGAATTTATTGTCTTGACGCTGGACAAAATACTTGTACGTGATAACGTTGCCGGTGGTCTTCAAATACTGCAAAAGCCGTGCGCGTGGAATCACAATGTGTGTGACGAAATGCGACACTCCCTTTTCGGTGGTTGACAAGTGGTGAAGCACAACGTCCGAGTGCATCCCGAGTGCTTGCAAATCGCCACATCGAAGCCTCAGAGAGTCGCTTGACTTTAACTTCCACGAGGGACCGAGAAATGCTTCAAACGATGCTGTGAACATCTCGTTCGCCTGGCTTGGCGGAAACGCTTCATGCCTGAAGAACAAAAAAAAAAAAAAAAAAAAGGTTAGCCAACCAGTTGAAGCATTCACAAACACATAACACAATGCACTCACTTGAACTCGTAGGAAATCGCATCCACTTTGCGGTCGTGCACCGCCTCCTCTCGCGCATTGTTGTGCTCGAGTTGCGATCGCGGCGGCTGAGTTTGTTTGCCCTTCGGTCCTTTCGGTCCTTTCTGTCCTTGCGATCCTTTGCCAGCTAGCCCTGCTGACTGCTGCTCGGCCTTTTGTTGGCGTTGCTGTTGAGCTGATTGCTGTCGAGGTTGCTGAGGCGGCTCGGTTGTGGGAGTAGATTGCGAATGTGGTTGTGTGGAGTACTTTTCGCTCGTGCTGCTGGACGCGGACGACGACGCCTGCGACTGTGGCCCAAATCCGCCGCCGCCAAATGAGCTGGAGGCTTTCCCACTGCCTTGGTTTGCATGGGATGTCGAGCTCGAGCTGGCAGCCTTGGCGTACGACAGCGGCGGCTCGCTCAGACGTGATGACGCGCTTTCGGCGTTGGGAGCCAGTGGATGGTTTGTGCTGGCGTCCACGCGCTCCTGCTGCTGCATCTCTGCGTTCTCCGGTGATGCAGTGCGGTGGTGAGGAACATCGTGGTGCTCTGTAGGGGCAGACGGCGCGGCGGCAGACGGGACGGGGGCTGGGCCAGGCGCCGGCTCAGGAGGGGTGGTGGTTGCTGGGAGCTGCTGCTGCTGCTGCTGCTCGCGCTCCTCCGAACTGCCCTCGCTCGGCAGCGGCGGCGGTGGCGACACGGGCGGTGGCGTCTCGGGTAAGAGAACCATCGTCTGTCTCAATCGAAGCAAAGCAACGCAGAACAAAATCAAAAAAAAAATCAGGCGGAATAGTTGAGCACAGCAAAAAAACAAACAAAACCAAACAAACAGCCAAACAACCAACCCAGCTAAATGCAAGTTCATGGTTTTGCTCCTTCTGCCCCAATGCCGCCCTCCGTTTGAGTGTTCTTTTTATGTGTTGTTGTTGTTGTTGTCGTCGTCGTTGTGTGTCGCTCACTTGAGTGCATCCCGACGAAGTGACGTTGAAGTGGAAGTGGGGAACAAAAGTGTGACCAAAACAAACGAAAAATACAAGAACAGAATAACAAACCTTACAAAAACAGCCAAATGAAAGAGTTGTCGAAAATAAGCGAAAAGGCACAAAAAAGAAAAGAAAGCAAGAAGAAAACAAAACAAAAAAAAAAAAAGAATGAATGAATGAACGGATTTGGACGAAAAGCCGAAATCCGAAATCTGAGAGTGCTTTTGTTGATGTTGCCAGTGTTCTCACTCACACTCATGCGGATTGTGTGCTTGTGTGTGTGTGTGTTGTCTTCGAATTGATTTTCATAGTCATTTTCAAGTCATCCATTCAGTCATCAAAAGATCAAAACCAATGCTGCGCCGTGAAGCGAGAGAGCGACGCGAGTACTTGTACCGAAAGGCCGTCGAGGACCGCGAGCGCACCATCACAGAGCGGAAGGCTGCCGACCGCCTGTTCCAAGCCAACCCGCTCCTGGCACACCAGATGAGCGTCACGCAGGCCGCGGCTGCTGCAGTGGCCATGGACGAGAAGGCGGACGGTAAGCGGAAAGCGACGACAGGCTCGAGCCATGTGGTCCACGTTGAGCCCAACCCCCTTCGTGCCCCTCCCCCCCCCACCTCCGCTCATGCGTGAGAACGTCCTGTTGACTGACTGACTGACTGACTGACTGACTGGCCTGGTTGTCCATTGTGGTTTGGGTGCGCTAGGTCCGAACGTCAATGAGGACGCGCAGGGCATGGAGTACCAAGACGACGAGTACGCCTATGCCGGCAACGTTGAGCCCAAGATTATGCTGACCACGTCGCGCGACCCGAGCTCGCGGCTCAAGATGTTTGCAAAGGAGCTCCGAGGGCTGTTGCCAAACACGCAAAAGATGAACCGCGGTGGCTACATTCTGAAGGAAGTGAGTCAATCTTGTTGAAATCAGACGACTCGTTCTGGTTCTGGTTGCGAATGGCAGGGATCTCGTTGATTGTGTCATGACTTGTCGTTAACACTCACATTGCTGAAACGGGGGGCGGCGGCGGGGGTCGCTTCGATTTTGTGATTGCATTGATTCTGGTAGCTGGTCGCTGCATGCCGCAAGAACGACGTGACAGACTTGATCATCGTGCACGAGCACCGTGGTGAACCAGGTACAGTGCTGGGAGGGTGGTTTTGGGAGCAGGAGGGCAGGGGGGGTGGGACTGGGATCTTGCGACCGATGCTGAATTGGCTCTGCCTCCCTACCCCTTTTTCTCCATAGATGGCCTGGTCATTTCACACATGCCGTATGGCCCGACGGCATACTTTGCCCTCTCGAATGTCGTCATGCGTCACGATCTTCCCGAACTCACCACGGCTGGCATGCCCGAGGCGTACCCTCACCTGATTTTCAACAACTTTAACACACGGCTCGGCGAACGCGTCCGCAACATTCTCAAGTATCTCTTCCCAGTACCAAAGGACGATTCTTCCCGTGTTATTACCTTTGCCAACACCGATGATTACGTGTCTCTCCGGTATGGTGAATTCGGCTGGACAACAGCGAAATATCGTGCTTTTTTGTTTTTTCCAAAATCGCTCACCCTGAGAATTGTCGTTGGTTGCTGTTCACGACGCAGACACCACACATTCAAGAAGAGTGGTCGGGATATTCAATTAACTGAAGTTGGACCTCGTTTTGAAATGAAAGGTATGGGAATTCACGCCGAGTCTGTTGCTCGCAGCAACCTGCAGCAAACCTATCCTCACGCTGTCCATTTTGTTGTTGCTGGTGTTGTTGTTTTGTTGTTCGATGCAGTCTATCAAATCAAGTTGGGAACCGCCGACGAGACGGAAGCAGACGACGAATGGGTGCTCAAGCCCTACATGCACACTGCTCGCAAGCGAACAAACTTGTAGTTGTTGTAGTTGTTGTTGTTCTCTCAGCGCGAATGTTAGTTGTTGTTTGTTTCTTTCAATATTGAAGTTTCATTACGCTCTCCAGAGAGGGTTGGTTGTCTGAGGGTCTTCTGAGGTTTTTTTTTTTTTTTTGTACTGTAATTCTGGAATCGCTCAGATCCCCCGTTTGCTTCCTTCGCTTTGATCATGCATTCAATCAATCACACAACCAATCTCTCCTGACAGTACAATGTTTTCCTATGATCTACTGGGCTCAGCTCAGTCTTCCCTTCGAGTCCTTCTGCCATTTGACAGGTCAGCATGAAACCTTCCGTTCCACGCGGTTGCAGCATTGGTCCGCTCTCTCTCTTTCTCTCTCTCTCTCTTTCTCTCCGTCCCACCGTCGCTTTCACATCCAGGCACGCTTCCTGCGGCTCGACATCCCAAGTGTCCTTCGTTCCATTGCTCATCTCCCTTTCGTTCGCTCGCATCGTCCGTCTCCTCAGTTCGCAGCGTCACCATCTCTGGCTGAATCTGAGCTTTTGGTCCATTTCTGCCTCACTCTCATTCACTCACACTTTCAATGCCGTCTCATCCATCAGATTGATCCTTTTGTTTGTCTGTGTAATGTGCTATGCTCTGACTGATGAGCGATCGCACATTACGTTCCCCCGTTCTCTGCCAATCGCTGCCGAAGCCCAAAACGCGAGATCTTTTTTTTTTTTTCCGTTCTTACTTCTTGTTCTCTGCTTCGGTCACTCTCACTCTCTCTCACATGTCACTCCCTCACACTCTCACATGTCACTCTATCGCTCTCGTCGTCGCTTCTTCCAAGCGCGCATTGCTGGATGTTGGATGTTGACTTGTGGGTGTCTTGGCTTGAACCGCGCTTTCCTCTGTCCTTCCTCCTCGCCGTTCTGCACGGTGCCGCTGCGCTCGTAGCGAACAACACGCCACAAAACTCGCAATAGCACATTTCTTTCAACCGGTACAATGATACGGTTGGGTGGGGGGATGCCCCGTCGACCGTCGAGGGGTCGAGCTTTCTTTCACCAACAGCATGGCGCTCGAACGCCACTCGCTATCGTATGATGCATGGCATGGCACTCACTCACTCACTCACTCTCTTCGACTGGTTGGCTGCGTACACAGATCGAATCAACCAAGGGGTCGCCAGTTGATCAAGGCAAAAACCGAACTGGGAACTAAAAAAAAAAAGAAGGCTCTCTCTCTCTTGTATCCACTCACCACACAAATGCAAAACCAGACGTTGTCTGCTGGTTCAGCGCAGGCGGGATCCGGCTCTGGTGCAGGGAACAACGCGCAGGCTGCAGAGAGGAAGGCGATCGCGATTGCGATGGAGCTCGCAAACGCACGAGAAGAGCTCGCAAAGCAAGCGTCGTTGCGCACACGGCTCGAAGACCTTTGCAGACAGCTGCAGCAGGAGAATCGACAAATCAAGGAAGACGCAGTCCGTCGCGATCAACTGTGGCAGTCGCAGACCGAGCAGGAGCGCGGCATGAGCCAGAAGGCGCTCACGTCCATGAAGGCAATGATTCTGACCTACCAGGAGCAGGTCGAGCTCCAGAACAACGCGCGGACTGCCATGGATGCACGCTTTACGCAAATGACACAAAAGCTCGACGCCATGTCTGAGCAATACGAGCTGCGCGAGCAGCACTTTGAAAAGCAGCTAAACTCAAAGGAACTCGAGCTCAAGCTGGCCGCAGCCAAATTTGAGCAGCAGCGGCACATTGCCAACATGGAGAAGACCAAGAATGAAAAGCTCGTTCAAGCGCTGCGTGCGCTGCGCGATTCCGAAATTGAAAAGAGCGCCCATCTCGGCAGCTACGCGGCCAGCTTCCGGCTCGTCGAGGACGTGGCCACCAAAAGCAACGAAATGTTCCACACCTGCCGCGCCAAGATCTCGGAAACGGAAAAGACAAACCGCAAGCTTGCGACAGACAATGCCAAGTTGCTTGCCAAGCACGACAACGCCCAGCAAACCCTGTCGTCGGTTATTTTCGCCTACAACACAACGGTCAAACTGCTCGACGGCACGACCCTCAAACTCTATCGCATCCAAGGCTTGTGTCGAGCGCTACAGGCCGAGCGCACGCAGCTCCGCAGCGTGATGGAGCGTGTCAAGGGCACGCTGCTCGGATTGCAAAACTGCTCCGATCCCACCATTGCCAACGCCATGACCCAGGCGCTCAACGAAACCGGGTGCGACTTTGGGTCGTCGCTTGCCGAGATTGCCGACGCCGCGCTGCAGTCTCAAGCCCAACTGCTGCCCGAGACACCACCGGTGCAGCTCGCCACCACCATGGCCAATCCCGAACAGCACGCTGCAGCGCTTGCCACAGCGGCCGCTGGTGCCGCTGCCGCCGACGCCGTGTCCCAGTTGGAGATGGCCCAGCCCTACGTCAATTACAAGGAGCTCAACTCGCAACTCAAGGAGGTCGGCGTGGATGTCGACACTGAGATGAACGCCGCCGAGGCGATTGCCAAGAGCATCATGCATGGCGAAGCCGTGGTGCTGTCGGATCCCGCAGGCTCGGCGCTGCCGACTGCTGGTAGCAAGCCTTTCAAAATCGCCAGCAACCCCGCGGTGAAGGCAGTTCTCGCCGAGGAGCCCGATGTGGAAACCGAAGATCCCGAGCTGGCCAAGCTCTACGTCTCGCTGCCGCCCGAAGTCGTCGCATTGCATGCCGAACTCTCCAAAAAGCGACTCGAGCCTGAGCAAGCAAACTCGCTGCTACAACTCGTGGACGATGCGCTTGCTGGCACCGAGTCCATTCCAGCTGCGAGCCGTCCAGTGACGGGCGCGGA